GAAGATTTCTGGTGTGGAAATAGAGAGGAATTGGTATAGATCTGTTCAGTTTTCATTTCACTTCAAACAAAAACAATGACATGGACCATGCAAAACAGTCTAGGGCCATTCCAGTCAGTTTTAGACAAATGTCAAGACACTGTTGAAAGGATTTACATCAGTAAATTACTTCTGGTTCAGGACAATAACCTAACCGGATCAATAGACAATAAACAGTCTAAGGCCATTCCAGTCTCTGTTAGACAAAAAATGAAATGAAATGAAATGGGGTTTAACGTCCTACTGTTCTGCTCCTAACCTGGGCTAATGAAGACGGGCATACGCCACACAGTGTGCTATGAGGGAAATTTTGCCCGGGCAGCGGCACTATCGCCTACTCTTATATCGAATTCCAACTGCCAAGGGATCTTTTACGTGCATTCCAATGTATACACGGGACCTCGGTTTTTCGTCTCATCCGAAGGACTAGACAGCTGTCCTTGTCTGGCCCTCCGTCCTGTATCACTGACAAGGGGGAACCACGCCGGAAAATCTGGATGGACTTTCTCGGCCAATGCAGGGATCGAACACCAGACCTCCAGGCTAGCGAGCCAGCGCCTTACCCACTTAGCGACGTGATCCCCCCTCTGTTAGACAAATGTCGGACCCTGTCGAAAGGATTTACATCAGTAAATTACTTCTGTTTCAAGACAATAACCTAACAAGTAAATTTAAAGGCAGAAGTCTGGACGACATTGAAATAAAAGGTATGAAATATGAATTAAATGCATTCAATCTGCATGGATAATTGATAGACATTGTATTGATAATATAGTGTGGAAACCTTGGGTCGATGCTAGTAATATTACTTTTTTAATTTTTAATTTAACAGGACACAAAGTTTATTGTTATTCTTTTAAAATTCTATTGTGATGGAAATTTACCAGACATCCTTTCAAGGCCAATGACCATTTTTGGTATTGCTCGACATAATTGGCCAATCGAATAAGTAATTGTAGAAATTTAGGCATATAAAAAAGCATGATCTTTGCAGGACAGATGAGACACCGCTTGGGTTCTTCAGACAACTATTTGATTCTGGCCATAATGTCGTGGTTTCCAGAATCTAGCCACGCTGGTTAAGTCTGTACAAGATTAGGGTGGAGAGAATGACTTATGTATAGCTTTAAATGAACCTAAGTAACCTGCTTCCATACAAGATACTATTGTATTGGTGTTCCTAATAAACATACGATTTGGCTGCTGTAAATACGTACGCAAGTCCAGGTGAAGTCCTAAAGAGTTGCGAATCACAATAAGATCCAAGACGGAGACTAACCTAGACAGTCAAGGCTGAAACAGTAGATCTGTAGCAGGGAATATGTCACATTATTGAAAATATTCAGTGACAGATCTCTGGAGGATATTTCTAAAACTCGGCTCAGAAACCTGAAAGAAAAGACATCACGATATTGTTTTCGTCTAATTCATGTACCAGACGTCAACCATCGTGCAGCGGATAGCCTCTCTTGCCACCCAATTGGTCCAGCAGAAGGTCCTGATCTTCAAGACGATATTGCCGCAATCACCCAGAACACACATTTCGACCCTTTATGGTCGAACAGAACATTCTTACCTAATATACGAACTACACCGGAAAAAACTTCCATACAAAATACTATTGTATTGGTGTTCCTAATAAACATACGATTTGGCTGCTGTAAATACGTACGGAAGTCCAGGTGAAGTCCCAAAGAGTTGTGAATCACAATAAGATCCACGACAGAGACTAACCTAGACAGTCAAGGCTGAAACAGTAGATGTGTAGCAGGGAATGTGTCACATGTCGGATGTTGTAAGCTTTCGGTTCTGCTTTCCACATTCGACCGACGGATAGAGCTACATCTGATTTGGTTGGTGTGCCAGGAATGATCCTGAAGGAAAAGGATCAACCATGGAAGAAAACACGTGAAAACCAGTGACCAAAATAACTCTGGTGGAAATATTCACAAATGGGTAAATAAATTTTTTCTGGAAAACTCAACATGTAATTTCGTTTAACAGACCGGATAATGCTTTGTATTTAATTAAAGAATAGTGCTACAAACTACTACAACAGACCGGATACCAGATAATGCTTTGTATTTAATTTAAGAATAGTGCTACAAACTACTACAAGAAAAAGTTTGTTAAATCAGGGAGATGAATGACCACATCAAAGATCTTAATGAAAGAAAGGAGGATTTGGAGGAACTACCACTGAAGGCTCATAACACTAATCAAAACATTCATTTTCTCAAGACGAGCAAATAATTGGTGAAATCATGGAACTGCAAGATCATATTTAAGATCTTAACGAAAGAAAGGAGGAATTGGAGGAACTACCACTGAAGGCTCATAACACTAATCAAAACATTCATTTTCTCAAGACGAGCAAATAATTGGTGAAATCAGGGAACTGCAAGACCATATTTAAGATCTTAATTAATGAAAGAAAGGAGGATTTGGAGGAACTACCACTGAAGGTCCATAACACTAATCTAAACATACATGGTTATTACACTATCTTGGTCAAGACAAGCAAATAACTGGTAAAATCGGGGAACTGCAGGATCATATTAACGATCTGGATGATAGAATACAGAAATTGGAGGAACTACAACTGAAGGGCGCTCATACAAATTTAAAAATACATTTTCTCAAGACGAGGAAATAATTGGTGAAATCAGGGAACTGCAAGATCATATTTAAAGATGTGTATTCAAGGGAGGTAATACAGATGATTGATCCTGGAAATGGTAATATTTTTCAACAGTGGAATAGGTCAACATAATGACCTTTATTCAAGGGAGGTAATACAGACGATGGTATCTAACTTCTGATTTTGAGTATTGATACAGATGAGAGAGATCAACTGTAGGGGGTCAAGATAAGGATTTATCTTGAAGGGGCTAGTGGAATATCCTAGAATAAGGAATAGATATCAATGGTAGAAGTCAACATATGGACGTCTATTCAAGGGAGGTAATTGATAACGATTTTGTACTGACTTTTTATACTGACGAGAGATATCAACTGTAGACATCAAAATGGAGACACATGTATATTTTAAGGGGAATAAAACAGACAATTGATATTGATATAGACATTAATTGTGGTTCAATATGGTGACACCTATATCAATAAATACAGGTAGAGGAACAATATCTATATACAGGAAATCATATAGATGGATGTTGAATGAAATATTCTATAACAATATCGGTTAGGAAAAAGAAAGTTTTTAAGGAATCCCCTACCCGATATTTGATCATAAATCTTAAACAGGAGAGGAATTGTAATAATATTCAGAGATCTATGCTATTAAGCGGTGGACAAATTAGTCGAATCGTTCGGTGTCAAAATTCGCCTAGTGTGTCCACAGTCATTTGGCTGAATGATTTGCCCGAATCAAATATTCGGTCAAATTATATTCGCCTGGTGTGTCCGCCAAGCCCGAAGCATTCGCACAAATGTAGAGTTCATTAACCAATGACCACTTATCATCCACTCATATCGAGGAGTCCCGCATTGTTTTTCCAGTCATTTGGCCGAATATAATTTGGCGCCGAATGATTCGGCTAATGTGTCCACCGCTTAATTAATATTAATGCTAGGCGAATATGAGCATTGTACCAAAATTAAGTCCTTGACTTATTGTTTCCATATTCATAGACAAGGCATATAATTCACAAAGACAAACTGGAATAACAGAAGAAAATACAGTGGGAGAAGGTTGAACCAAAAAGAATTACAAAATATAGCCAGAGACAAATCTAGACGATCACCGGCTAATAAAATCTGGAACAGGAGAGGGTATGCGAGACATGTCGAATGTGGTAAGCTTTTTTATGATTTGCGCTTTCTATGTCTGACCGACGACGTATATTGCCACACCTAGACCCAGTAGAATATATAGTGGAACTAGGAGTAGATATCAAGAGTAGAGTTCAAAATAACTAAACTCACGGAGATATGGTAACATATATACCAGAACTAGGTATAGATATTAACAGTAGAGGTAATAACTGATCACTTGTCGCTATGGTAACTTGGACACAGTAGAATATATAGTAGAACAAGGTATAGATATCAACAGTAGAGGTCATAGCTGATCACTTGTCGCTATGGTAACGTAAACACAGTAGAATATATACTAGAACTAGGTATAGATATTAACAGTAGAGGTCATAACAGATCACTTGTCGCTATGGTAACTTGGACACAGTAGAATATATACTACAACAAGGTGTAGATATTAACAGTAGAAGTATGGTAGAAACATCAGTTTCAACAAAAGATGTTTACTGTATTCTACGACACCTTAGGGGGAGCTATAACAAAATCAAAATTCTTCCTAGAGATATATACACAACATGATCAGACTGGCCTGGCAACAGTAGGCCTACACAAACCGCCAAAATGTTGAGCCGACCGGAAATCAAATTAAGATGGGAAGACAAGTGTGTGTTATTCTTACAACTATGGACACTATTCTGATTTGTACTCGTGTCTAGTTTAACCCCTTAACTGTCCAGGACTTTATATAACGTCCTACGCAGTTACGGGGTTAAAACTGACTGATTAATTTTGATAATGAGTGTCCAATTTACATTTGATGCGGGAAAGATAGGATAGTGCGTCAGACGAGGAAGATATTCCGTTAATGGAATTGTCCAAGCGTCTGAGGGCTCGTAATGATCAAGTTAATGAAAATGTAAAGGACACGAATAGTTTGCCATCAAGTAGAAGTGATACCTCTGATGAACGCGACATAATGCGATATAAAAAGCGATGGTAAATTAAAATCTGAAAAATCGCCGAAACAGTTGTTAAAACTTATTGCCAGTATGCTATAGTATTTGATTTTCTAATGTTAATGATTAATTAACTGAGATGATTTGAGTTAGAGTGAAAAAAAAAAAGAAAAAAAAAAGAAAACATTGTTTTTTGTTTTTTTTTAGGCAATATCCACAGCCAGGATTAGCTACTGGATAAAGGAAGAAAATGTCGGGCTTAATGTATACACACCAGACTCAGTTTCTGCGTTGTTAAGACTGTAAGGGGTATTTACCTGTCTATGGGTTCTTTTTCATTGTCCGTAAAACCTCTGCGAGGAGATGGCCGTGTAACTGGTGCCACCAGAAAGTTAAAACCAGGAAGATTTTTAAACACAGTGAACGTTGCCATAGGCAACCATTTGGGCTTGTGTGTGGCCGTAATGATATACGAGTTCGTTCACTGATTGGTTTGATTTAAAATAAAATAAAATGTTAGGAAACCTCGCAGTTGTATGTTACATGTTTCATTTTTATTTCTTATAGGACATATAGGGAGCGGTGGTTGTCACCATGAAATTAACATTTTCACTTTTTTTAAATATTATTTGTGTTGAACCAAAGAAGGGGGTATTAATTAAGGAAAATGTTTTGTTTAGGCCTGTGAATAAAATAGAAACAACACGATCAAGATGGTTCATTATGCTGGTTCGTAATCTTCGACCGTTTGCTGTTTTTCTTAGGAAGTTGACCACAGGTGTTACTCGCAGCCTTGATGTTTCACAAGACATTTTAAGTAAATATAATACGTCAAAGACTCAGGATTTTAAGAAAACATTACTTCGATTAAAAGAGGAAATTATGACTTTAACGACAACAGACTCAGGATTTTAGGACAACGTTACTTCGATTAAAAGAGGAAATTATGACTTTAACGGATGCACACTATGACATATTAGATGTTGTAGGAAATTTACTAACGTTGTATACCGGAACTAGGCGAAAACGTTCTCTTGTTCTTATTGTAGGGAAGGCCTTAAATTTTTTTATTCGGTACTGTCTCTGAAAGTGATTTACATGACACAAGGAACCTTCAAAGCCATTACAGCTTCACAATAAATTTGTAAAACCATTGATGCTGTAGTCTTGTTACGATCACGAAGAAACAAACACAATAAGAAATAAGTCTGATAGTACAAGTACAAATTACAAGATTTTTGATCATTTTAAACGATTTTTAAACAAAGATTTGATATTGAATGAATCTGATAGAAATTAGTGCTAGATACACATAGATGCACCATGGAAATATGTATAACTAAAGAGAAACCTCAGTATCAGTCTGTTCTTGTGTAAAGGCCCTCGGAAAGTATTTGGTCCATTTAGGAAGAAATAAAAAAAATATCAAAGATAAATTTAACACTGAAAAGTGTGACATAAATGCAGCTAAGATGTTTCCTAAAGAAACTCAGGAAACCATTACTGATTTAGGTGATTTTCCTACCAGTTTCCTTAGTGCAAACTTTTCTGGAGACGAGACGGATTTTAGGAGGGAAGGATGTTTAGGAGAAGAATGATTTTAAGGAGAGCAACTTTATACATATGCAGAATTTGTAGCTTTCCACAATTTTACTATATAACATTTTTCTTTTTTTTTTTCATATTATTTTGAAGACATCATATTGAGATTTGGTAATCTTGAGGCAATAGAATATCTTATATCTCAAAATAACTCATGACTTGTCGATCTAGACAAAGTAAATCATGACTTGTCGACCTAGACAAAATAACTCATGTCTTGTCGATCTAGACAAAGCAGAATATAGATAGAGCTAGTAATAATAAAAATATTTTACACCGGGCAGGTTTATTTGGTAAACAAGACAACAGACGAGTTCAAAATAACTATCAGTCGTAGATTTGGTAATCTTGACACTGTAGAATATTTACTACAACTAGGAGTTCAAAATAACTCGTCATATGGAAACTAGTTAATCTCGACATAGTAGAATATTTACTAGAATAGGAGTTCAAAATAACTTGTCTCATGAGATTCGTTATTGGGTGTATACGTAAAAAATAGAGTAAAAAATAATTCTTAATTCATGCATTTTTTTTAAAATCTTGACACAGTAGAATATTTAATTGCACTGGGTGTAGACAAAAAAAAAAGAGAGTTAAAAATAACTCATCATTTATAGAGAGAGAGAAATGGGGTTTAACGTCCACTCGACACAAACTAGGTCATTTCGGGACTAACACATGGTTCACTTTTATTTACATACAACCCACGAGGTTGGACAGGCGACCCTACTCCTTGTCACGTACAACCGGGGATTCGAAACCACGCCAGTTGTAGGGTGACCCATGTACTCACAGAAATACAGTCCACCGCTGATAGTTCGAGACTACCACTGAAGCGTGCACATTCGCCGTGCCGAGACCAACTTTCTGACAGTATGATACTATAAATAGCCATGGCACGTGCAATTCTCTACAAATCTATCAACTATTACAGCCGTAAAAAATTTATTGTTGACGATTTTGAATAGCAGTTAAATTAAGCTTCTTGGTTATTACAGCAGATTTAGAAATTACGTTCGTTTCATTTTTTAAATCGCTTTATCATTAACTGTACCGTTAAGAGCGGCATCTTTTGGTTTAGTACAAATAATATCTCTGAATCACTCGGGTTAGGCAGGAACATGATACTAGCAGTAGTTTCATTTTACTTTTACAAGCTTCTTAAAACGATTGTTGAGCTACCTAACGTGCTTATTTCTAAATTCAATTTCTTGTTCTAGCTTTCTGTTACGTTTCGTAAAAAAGTAGTCTTGAGTATCCCGACCTGTCAATCAGACGTAGAATGGTCGATATACTGGTTAAGCGAGACTAATTTCAAAACAAGGGCACGTAACCTATCTTTTACTCAAAAGTGTCTGGATGTTATGGACGACTCTTGGAACCAGTTTTCAGTCTATTATTTATACATGATTAATGGTCATAGCTTATTAAGTACAACATGATCGTTTATTTAGTGACTATAATTGTGTAAAACTGATTTGAGGCTTGGCATATATATAAATATTGTGGCGTAATTGTCGAGATATATGGAGATATTTATTTATGGTGGGTCACCCTACCAGTTGACTCAATGACAGACTTTATGATACAGCGCGCGCCGGCTAACCATTCGGCCATCCAACCCCCCTCATCATTTATAGACACAGAAGAATTCATATTAGAACTAGGTATAGATATTTCAACAGTAGAGATAAATATAACTCATCACTTGTTGATATGGTAAACGAGACATATCGGTATGGAGACATTGCAGAGATAGTAATAATAACAATATATTACACCTGGCAGGTAGATTTGATATGGTAACCAAGTCACATCAGATTGCAGAGATATAGTGATAATAACAATATGTTACACCTGGCAGGTAGATTTGATATGGTAACCGAGACACATCAGATTGCAGTGATAATAACAATATGAAGAGCCCCGAGGAAAAATGATCTAAGTTACTTGTTCAACAAACTCCAGTTAATGGCGCCATCTAGTAGCAAATTCTATAAGCTTTCTGTGGAACAATCAATTTCAGGTAAAAACGATCAGATTCACATCGAACCAAGGCCCTTCTGAAATGGCCTCCCAGACAAATAATTCCATCGTACCCTTTATTTTACCTTAATGTGACTGAAAAGTGGAAGTCAGTTATTGTACTGGTAATTACGATTCGTATTAAACATCATTTTGAAGTTGTAATTAAACCAACTCGTTGTTCTGTTCGCGTCAAGCATTCTCGTCCAAGAGTCTGTTTTGCCGTTTATGCGAAAAGACAAAAATGTGACTTAGATCGTTCTTCTCCTGGACTCTTCTTATATTATACTGTGCAGGTAGATTTGATAAGCTAGAAACAGTAGAATATGTAGTACACAATTAGGAACTGATATTTTGAAGAGTTCAAAACTTATCCCAGGTAAATTTTGTAAGTAGAATATATTCCAACAATAACTATCACTTTTAAATTTGGAAATCTTGCCACAGTAGAATATAGTTCACATTTACTTGTTAGACAAAGGAAGAAATCTTGCCACAGTTCACAAATAACTTGTTAGACAAAGGAAGAATATTTTCTGAGACATCAAGAGTTTGACAGAAGAAGAATCATTCCTGAGACACCAATACTGTGCTGTAGTAAATCTACGTTCAAACCAGAGTCTTGAACAAAATCAATTATATCTAATCTTATATTTCATTTTTTTTTTTTTTTTTCGTTTGCAGACACGACAGAGGAATATTTCATTCCAGCAGGAGCAGATATCAACATAAAAGACAACTCTAAGTTATTAAAGTGTGGCAACATTGCATATTTTGGTGCATGTTGCTATGGTAATTGTTACTAGAACCAGGAATTATATGTCCATATTAGTCTGTAGCGAGGTACAGATTTGATGGGAAAGATGGTTAATGTCTCTTGGACAATTTAGCACGGTCATTTTAATTATATATATTTTTTAAAAATTTAAATTTGTCACATGTAAAATGGAAAATGTGGAGGCAATGGGATAGGGGGAATTTTACAGAGGTCATCTGAACGACTTGTTACACAATATCCCCAAGAGTCCATCCCCCACAAGGCCTGAAAGATCCTTAAGCCGTTAACTGCGTAGGACGTTATATATTGTCCTGGACAACTGCCACTCACCGTGTGTAGGGCGTAATATAACGCCTTGGAGGTATTTTCCCCAACCTATTCTTCGAACATACGATCACAGGATGTGTAGGACGTTATATTACGCCTGGTCGAGGAAATCTAATTGAAGGGCGACAACTCTATTTACCGTTAGTTTTAATATGGTTTCAGACTACTATCATTTTTTTTTCGGGAATAAAAAGGTCCAAAAATGACGTTTTTCGTCAAATTAATTACACAATAGGGGGTAGTTAAGGTTTTAAAAACTACACAGTTAACGGGTTAATGGTCTTCTATCTAGTAGTGAACGAGAACACTCGGCAAACCTTAACAGACTCTGGTACCCTACATCTAGTCTCGGCTGTATGAATTCAGCCATTGGAACTACTATCAAGTTCCTGGATTACAAAATGGCGTCACCCATGATGATGGCTGTGAAGAGTGTCTTATCATACAAAGATTTCAATATCTGAAGCTGTTTTTCCTTCAAGTTTATTCAATTTTCTTTAAAAAAACAAAAGACAACTTTGCATTAAAAAACTCTACACACTCTTTGAACAATGCCATTTTTAGAACTTCTTTCCAGAAGCGGTAAGTTTTCCTAATAAGTAAAACGATAGCCTCATCACAATTATATGGGTGTAGGTACATATTACTTACCATCATACAGTCTACTCTAGATGTAGGGTACCAGAATTTGCCAAGTGAACAGGCACAGTCCCTACCACAAACGAAATAGGTTATGTGCAAGAGATAGGGAATTAAAATCTTAATCTAACAACTTAATATCTTAATACATACAATAAAAAGAAAAGTCAAGAATTAAAAAAAATAATCAATAATAAAAAGTACTCCCACCAAACAATCTGATCAAAATACAGATCTATACACTTTGTTTCGTTTTTTATACTTTTAATGGCTTGCATGAAGATCTTACCCATTGTCATGGGAGGTCGCGTCAGGGGTAATATGAGCGGCATTTGACCCTTGGCATCAAACATTTGATTAACCAATCAGCATTGATGTTTCTAGTGGGTATTTGGGAATACAACTTTTGTTTTGTCTTTGCTCCGAATGTTGACCCACAGTTCCCTTAAACACACACAAATAACACATGCCAATAGACTGTTTCATTGACTAATACCTTAGATCTACCAGAATGTGAGTTGCATAACAATACTTCCAGATCCTAGTGTAGTAGTAAAGACAAGTAAAAACGAAATTTTGAACCTTAAAAAGCGAAATGAAATAGGATCTGTGTTTTAATCAGACTGTCATGCCAAGTTTTTCGTGGTCACTCATACTTGAATTAATTAGTTTCATGACAGTTCCTGCTTCAAGCTAGCTCAACAATTTAAGTAGGTGCAAAAAAAACCCCAAAACTTCTGCACCAACCGAGCTAATGAAGATCGAAAAAGGTCTAAAAAATTGCAGGTCTCAAAATTTAGAGAGAGAGAGATGGGGCTTAACGTCCACTCACACAAATTTCCTTAATATCATCTCCATGAGTAATGCGCTAACATATTAATAGAAAGAAAGAGAAATGGGGTTTAATGTCCACTCACACAAACTAGGTCACAGACTAACATATGGTTTAAATTTATTTCAATAATTCCCTTGCGCCTAGGGGTCTTTAGCAGTGGGAGGGAACCGGAGGACCCAGAGAAAACCTACAAGGTTGCACAGGCGACCCTAATCCTTGTCACGTACAACTGGGGATTCAAAACCACACCAGTTGACTCAATGACAGGCCTAATGATACAGCACGCACGTGTTAACCATTCCGCCATCCAACCCCCCTCAAATTTTGACCTATAAAGCAGTTATAAAAAAATTGAGGACAGACAGACAAGGGTGACAACAATATATTTTCAAATGATATTTTTGGCATATATAAATGTGTCTTAACTAAACAGACAATGTCTTTGAATGATTGGAATAGGTGTGTTTCTATTGGGTATTTACGGTACACAATAAAGAACAATGCATTAACAAAATTATTAAACAAACCCAAAACAAAAATGGAAGTCAACACATATTCATAATACTGTAATGGCACAGGCACTTGAAGGGATTAAAATAAAACTTCTTACTACTGCTTGACTATATATTAGTCGAAATTTTCCTAGGAACAAACATGTTTGATATATTGGGCCGAAATTTTGTTCACCACGTTTGCCAGGTTCAGCAAATTAAAGCATTCGCCCATTTGTTGAATTCATTAGCCAATCACTACTGATGTCGAGAAGTCACATGATTGTTTGAAGACAAATTAGTGACTGACAAAATGGTAGTCCCTGCTGAAGTTGTACCTGACATTTCGTAACTGTTGTGTGAGACATGGATTAACTAGATGAACAAAAATAAATTTGCGTCAGACAAAAACTAGAGGAATCACGCTAGATGATCCAGCCAGTATTTATAAATTTGCGTCAGGACACCCAACTAGAGGAAATTGCGCTAGATCAAGCCTGTATTTATACCTGACAATATTTCCTGGCTAGGGTAATATTTCATGGATTTATCACATCGTCTGTTATTGGAGTCAAGGACCAGCCGCCCACACCATCTAGCCTTAGTTCTAAATCGTGATATTTTCTCACACTGCTTCGATGACCAACACTTAAGACGATGATGTTTAATTCAGCACAGAATGTATAGAGTGTATCTTCCATATCATGATTCACCTGACATGTAGCCTCATCTAAAACTACAATAAAATAAAATAATATATTTTACTTATTTCAAAAATACAAGAGGGAAATATAGAAGATAGCAATGAAAAGTGTGGGATACGCCCACACATCAGCTTTGTCTTAACTGCAGCTTGTCTGAGAGCAAGAGAGAAAGAGAGAGAGAGAGAGAGAGATAGGGTTTAACGTGACACAAACTAGGTCATTTCGGGACTAACATAGGGTTTAATTTTATTTCAATGATTCGCTGGCGCGTAGGGGTCTTTATCAGTGGGGGGGGGAAACTGGAGGACCCGGACAAAACCCACGAGGTTGGACAGGCGACCCTACTCCTTGTCACGTACAACTTGGGATTCAAAACCATGCCAGTTGACTCAATGACAGGCCTTGTGATACAGCACGCACCTGCTAACCAGGGTGCTAACCACTCGTCCATCCACCCCCCTGAGAGAGAGAGAGAGGGAGAGAGAGAGAGATGGGGTTTAACAGCCACTTTACACAAACTAGGTCATTTTGGGACTAACATCCACTTGATACAAGCTAGGTAATTTCAAGACTAACATATGGTTACATTTTATTTGAATAATTCGGTTGTACATAGGTGTGGGAGGAAACCAGAGAGAACACCTACAGTTGGACAGACAACTTTACTTCTTGTCACCTTCAAGTCGGGAATTGAAACCACTTCACTCGACTCAATGACAGACTGGAGAGAACACCTACAGTTGGACAGACAACTTTACTTCTTGTCACCTTCAAGCCGGGAATTGAAACCACTTCACTCAACTCAATGACAGACATATTAATGGAAAGTATGAGTGAATATTTTTCTAACTTACTTGCAAAAGGTGGTTTATGATAATATAATCTAACAAATGATAATCTCTGCATCTCTCCTGGTGACAGTTCATTATACCTGAAATAAGAGAATATATGTGACAGAATGTAGCATAATGAAAGCTCATCTCAGCTAGAAAAATACCCGTTTGAAGGGAAGCAAGAGAGCGAGAGATGGGGTTTAACGTCCACCCGACACAAACTAGGTCATTTCCGGACTAACATATTGTTTAATTTTATTTCAATGATTCGCTGGCGCGTAGGGGTCTTTAGCAGTAGGAGGAAACCGGAGGACCCGGAGAAAACCCAAGAGGTTGGACAGACGACCCTACTTCTTGCCACGTACAACCAGGGATTCGAAACCACGCCAGTTGACTCAAATGACAGGCCGTGTGATACAGCACGCATGTGCTAACCATTTGCCCCCCCCCCCCTTTTGAAAGGAAGCAGCACAGGATGTTGTTTAATCAAAGGGGCAAGAACTCAGTGGCACAAACTTTTGATAACAAAGGGCTATAATCCATGGAGTTACGGTCTGATATATTTAAAGTTTTCTCAAAATCAAATAAAAATTGTGACCTGTAGAGTGTCCACAAACAAATTGTGGACGTCCAGACGGACAGGGATGACGAAAATTATCTGTCCACATGAAAATGTGGGCATATAAAAACTCTGACCTATAGAATGAAAATAAGCATGTCATAAGAGAAATGAAATGAAATGGGGTTTAACGTCCTACTGTTCTGCTCCTATACTGGGCTAATGAAGACGGGCATATGCCATACAGTGTGCTATGAGGGAAATTTTGCCCGGGCAGCAGCACTATCGCCTACTCTTATATCGAATTCTAACTGCCAGGGGATCTTTTATGTGCATTCCAATATCTCCACGGGACCTGTTTTTCGTCTCATCCGAAGGACTAGACAGCTGTCCTTGTCAGGCTCTCCGTTCTGCACCACTGACAAGGGGAAACCACATCGGAAAATCCCGATGACTTTCTCGGCCAATGCAGGGATCGAACACCTGACCTCTGGGCTAGCGAGCCAGCGTCTTAACCACCTAGCCACTGTGGCTCCATGTCATGAGACAACCTCCATTAATTCCCTGAAACTTGTGATGTCACACCTGTGCAACCAGTTTTGTGGTAATTTATGTCTAAATCTGTGACTGGTGCCTTATATCCCGACATTAAACAGACAGATTTCTCCAGTTTATATCTATTAACTTACCAATTCCAATCCTGACCTGCATCCAAACCACCTGTTCTTTCTACCACACCCTTTAAACCAACTTTATCTAAATAGTCGTACATTTTATCATCACCTGAAAAAATAAAACATGAAATATATTAAAAATAATATTTTAGAGAGAGAGAGAGAGAGAGAGAGGTAAAACTAAACTCATCCTACTACTTTTATTTCATTTTGTTTCCAGTGCATTCTTAAGACTGAGAATTTTGCGTTTACAAGGAAACACATTTGACATAGCTTTTGATATACAAGGCGAGTGATGTTAATGACAGAGTCTTCTAAATATTAGAAGAATGCAGCCTCAGTATTGGCCGAGAGCTAAAAATTGAACTAGGATTTTAAATCTCAATTAATGAAAAGACTACCTCCTTAGATATTTTAGTTTAAGTTATCATAAATATTATCATAAATAAGGCCCCTGGCAATGATAGTACAAACAATGAAATGAAATGAAATGAGGTTTAATGTCCCACTGATCTGCTCTGACTAGGCATACGCCATACAGTGTGCTATGAGGGAAACTTTGTCCGGGCAGCGGCGCTATGGCCTACTCTTATATCAAATTTCAACTGCCAAGGGATCTTTCATGTGCATGCCAATGTGTACATGGGAACTCGGTTTTCCATCCCATCCAAATGACTAGACAGCTGTCATGCCTCCATCCTGCATCCAGCGCTAATCTGGATGCATTTATAAGACATTTTCAAAAATATGTTTTTTTTTTACCTGGTACAAAATTTTCATCTGTCAATGGAAACATAATCTACAAAATTGAGAAAATAATTCCATACAATTACTGATTTATTATGTAATAAAATTCAAAAAGTTGTACATTTTTTTAATGACAATTAGTTCATTTTTCAAAAAGAAATGGAGATAGATATCAACTTTGCACAAACTAGGTCACTATGGGACCAGCACACGGAACATCTTCGGGTTTGCTTGCACATAGGGGTCTTTAGCAAAAGAAGGAAAGCTGGGTTAGCAGATGGCATTATTATACATAAGAATCAAAATGAGGTCACTGAACCCTCCCACTCCGACCCAACATGTAAAATATAGTATATAACGGTACCTGTTCTCAAGAAAACCATCAGGTAACTGAACACCCCTACCCAACATGTAAAATGTAGTATATAACGATACCTGTTCTTTGAGGGAACCATCAGGTAACTGAACACCCCCTTCCCGAACCACCCAACATACAGTATATAAAAGTACTTGTTCTCTGAGGGAACCATCAGGTAACTGAACACCCCACCCCGAACCACCCAACATGTGAAATATAACAGTACCTGTTCTCTGAGGGAACCATCAGGTAACTAAACATCCCCACCCCCATCCTAACATGTAACATATAGTATTTAGCGGTACCTGTTCTCTGAGGGAACCATTAGTAAAATAGGGTTTCTGGGGTAAATATAAAATACTTTTAGCTTCTGCTGGTAAAAAACTGTCAATATGTCCTGAAACAAAATAAACATTGTTTTAGACCTGGTAATGTTTGGTGAAGGAAGACCACACCATACACACACACAAACCCAATTTCAAAAATATAATCTTAAGAGCAGCAGGAGAGAGTGAGAGAGAGAGCGAGTGAGAGTGAGAGAGATGGGATTTAACGACCACTCGACACATAGCACACTGTATGGCGTATGCCCGGCTTCATTAGCCCATTCGGAGCAGAACAGTAGGACGTTAAACCACATTTCATTTCAATATGGGATCAGCCGTGGCTTGAGTAATATGTTGCCTCGCTAACAGGAAGGTCCCCTACTCCATTCCGGTGTTAGTCAACAAAGTTCATCTGAATTTTAATATCTCCAAAAGAATGAATCAGATTTATTTAAATAGATTTCTGCCAACATTGTTTGTATTTACCTGTTACAGACGTCCATAATCGGTTGATGACACGTAGTAAAGAACTTTTTCCACAGCCAGAATCACCTGTAACCAGTATATTTACACCGCATTCTAATTGAAAACTTAAATCTACAATAACAAAACAATATTAAATTAGTTTAAACTGTCCCAAGTACTAGCTGGGTAACTGTCATGGGGGAAGCTGTCGCGGTACCCAGGGTAACTTTCATGGTGGGAAGCTGTCTCGGTACCCAGCGTAACTGTTATGGGGGGTGGGGCTCATAATAACTGGGAGGAACTCACAGTGAAATGGGGAAGCTGACTTGGTAACTGGGGGAAACTGTCATGGGGGAAGCTGTCATGGTGCCTTGGCGTAACTCATTAGGGAAGCTCATAAAACTGAGAGAAACTGTCATGGTACCCAGGGGGAAACCGTCATGGGGCAAGCTGTCATGGTACCCAGGGGGAAACCGTCATGGGGCAAGCTGTCATGGTGCCTTGGCGTAACTCATTAGGGAAGCTCATAAAACTGGGGAGAAACTGTCATGGTACCCAGGGGGAAACCGTCATGGGGCAAGCTGTCATGGTACCCAGGGGGAAACCGTCATGGGGGAAGCTGTCATGGTGCCTTGGCGTAACTCATTAGGGAAGCTCATAAAACTGGGGAGAAACTGTCATGGTACCCAGGGGGAAACCGTCATGGGGGAAGCTGTCATGGTACCCAGGGGGGAACCGTCATGGGGGAAGCTGTCATGGTGCCTTGGCGTAACTCATTAGGGAAGCTCATAAAACTGAGGAGAAACTGTCATGGTACCCAGGGGGAAACCGTCATGGGGCAAGCTGTCATGGTACTGAGAACGGGCCGTTTTTGCGTTCTATATTGAGGGAATCCTGTTCGCAAGATTCTACTACAATACGTAAGGGTTGGGGGTGGTTGTTTACTCCCTTGGCTGTTTCGTTCTCAATTATCCTAAAAATAAATTAGTCTCTAAATCAGATGAGGTTGTTCAACATGTATGTTTATTTCCAGAGTGAATATACAAAGATTACAGTACATGTTGAACAATGTATAAAAGATATATATATGAAATGAACATGTGTAGTAATAATAAAATATATATAAAACTTTAAATACATAATATTTCACAATTAATGTTTTATGTACATGTAGAGTTATACTTTACTCTATCACAGTACCTTGGCGTAACTCATTAGGGAAGCTCATAATATCTTGGAGAAACTGTCATGGTACTCAGGGGGAAACTGCCATGGAAAATATGGGAAACTGACATGGTACCTAGAGGGAACTCATGTTCTCCTACTGTCAAACTAAAATACTGTCAAACTAATATTCTTGGGTAATCGATGTGACCTCACGCCCATTTGACAGAGTACCAATGTAACTTAAATTCCCTTGCAATAACCCAAATTTGAGTGACGGCCTATTCAAATTCCAACTGCAACAGGATCTTTTATGTGCACGCCAATGTGAACTCGGCCATCCGATCAACTAGACAGCTGGTGATGCAGGACGGAGGGCCTGACAAGGACAGCTGTCTAGTCGATCGGATGGGTCGGAAAAACCGAGGCCTTGTGTACACTTTGGCGTGCACGTAAAAGATCCCTTGACAGTTGGAATTCGATATAAGAGTAGGCCGTAGTGCTGCTGTCCGGGCAAAATTTCCCTCATAGCACACTGTATGGCGTATGCCCGTCTTCATTAGCCCAGTTCGGAGCAGAACAGTAAGACGTTAAATCCCATTTCATTTCTTTTTCTGGTTCACAGTACGGTTGTACTTGTTTATCAAGTAAAGATAACCTTAAATCCGATCATATTTTAAGAGAGTGACAATCATGATTGCCGAATTTCATATAAAGACGAGAACTACTGAACTTACTTCTACATAGTATAACTGATGACTTCGGTGGACCATATGTCAAATGATCAACTCTAAATGCAGCTGTGCCACTCTGTAGATCAGAGGCATCTATTAATTCTTCTTCAGCAGGGGGAATAACTCTAGGAACAAGATTAATATCAGCTTCAGTAAAACTATGAAGGTAAACAAACCATAAAAATAGGAAATATAGCTTGAATTACTAAATATATACTACAGTCAGTTGTTGTCACAAGGAAATACTTGTCACCACAGGAACACAGCAGGGGGATTAACTCTAACTTCAACATAGGAAGCAGACCACTAAATATTTTGTCATTAATTTCAATGTTGATTTGTATTCTTTTATGAGGTTTACCATGGAGATTTTAAGATACAATGTAACCAATAAAAACTTATCTTATCAGCATAACCAACTTTGGTAGTTCCCGTGTTATTTAATCAGCCCACCACTTCAATTCAAACCAGCCTAACCCTACTAGTCCCTAGTTGTTGGCTAATCAGCCCACCTAATGGAAAATGCCTTGCCGTGCTAGTTGGCTTATCCAGCCACCTTTCATACCAGAGTTTGGGAGGTGGAAGTGGGTGGAATCAACAACTACTATTAGCAGTCATGTAGGCTGAAGATTAAACAACATCCTGCTCAACTCATAATCCTTCTACCTCTAAATAATGAATATTTACCAGAACTAGAGAGAAAATATCCCTTCAAACCCTTTTCTTTGATTCTAGACCAAGAAGTCAACATGTTGGTAGACTTCATGGAATGTCCATGTGGCTTGTTTGGGTTCTCATTAGAGTAAAATACAAACAGGATTTTGTCACTAGAAAGAAGACTGCCATGTTGTTTTACAACAGTGCCCTCTAGGTTATATAATTTCATACAATGTCAAAGGTCGCTTGTATGGAGTTGTGTCCCTTTGACTATATTGTCAAATTCCAAAACAACTATGAGAGAGGGGGGGAGAGAGAGAGGGGTTAACGTCCACAAACACAAACTAGGTCATTTCGGAACTAACATATGGTTCAATTTTATTTCAATAATTCGCTTGCCCGTTGGGGTCTTTAGTTGTGGGAGGATACCAGAGGACCCAAAGAAAACCCATGCGGTTGGACAGGCAACCCCACTCCTTGTCGCGTACAACCAGGGAATCGAAACCACACCAGTTGACTCAATGACAGACCTTATGATACAGCGTGCACGCGCTAACCATTCGGCCATCCAACCCCCTTACTATAAGAACCAGGGAACCTGCGCATGATGTCAATCCCACTATCTTCTTGGTATTATTATGTGGTATCAAATATTGTTAATCGATGTCAAATTACATGTCAATCACACACCATTTGATGGAACTTTAAAACCTTAAACTTTCAATTGAATGGGGGGTGGGGGGAGGGAGAGAGAGAAAGAGAGAGATGTCCACTCAACACAAACTAAGTCATTTTGGGGCTAACACATTTATTTAAATAATTTGCCTGCACAGGGAGGTCTTTAGCAGTGAGAAGAGGAAAAAGAGAGAGAGAGAGAGAGAGAGAAGGAGAGAGATAAAGCAAGAGAGAGAGATAAAGCAAGGGAGAGAGAGAAGAGAAGAGAGGTTTAACCTCTCTATGACACAAACTAGGTCATTTTGGGACTAAAATTTATTTCAATAACTTGCTTGCACATATATAGGAGTCTTTAGCAGTAGGAGGAAACTGAAGGTACAGGAGAAAACTAGGTGTGACAGGCAACCCTTATCTTTACATACAAGCAGGAAATCAGAGAGAGATAGGGTTTAATGTCCACTCGACACAAACTAGGTCATTTCGGGACTAACACATGGTTCAATTTTATTTCAATAATTACCTTGCGCGTAGGGGTCTGTAGCAGTGGGAGGAAACCGGGTGACTCAGAGAAAACCCACGAGGTTGGACAGGCGACCCTACTCCTTGTCCCGTACAACCGGGGAATAAAAACTACGCCAGTTGACTCAATGACAGACCGTATGATACAGCGTGCGCGTGCTAACCATTCGACCATCCAACCCTCCCAGGAAATAGAAACCATGTCATTTGACTCCATTACAGATATAAGAAGCCAAACATCGCCACTTTAAACCAATCAAAGAAGACAAGGCAGGGGACAATGTATAGTTTATTCAGTTGGGACAAAAAACAGAGGTGTACACATTAACATGCACGTGAAAGATCCCTTGGGTGTTGAAATTGGCTATAAGAGTACTCCATAGCACGTTATATACCATGACGTATGTCCGTCTTCATTAGCCCAGTCAGAACAGAACAGTAGGAAGTTAAACCTCATTTCCTTAATAATTTAATACTCAGTATTCTTTCCAAACAACCAGTATTTTGTCCTATATTTTCTAAAACAAGAAAAGATACAAAAAAAAATGTGAAGAAAAAATACAAAAATAACTTACTGGTCTTCTCCGACAGTTTGAACAAAACCATAATGTTCATTTTGTTGATCTTGTAACGTACCCAGTGTTTCTAACAACTGACCTATTCTATAACAAAATAAACAGATATACTCTAATAACTCTGTTTTCATTAATAGCCCAGTCGGACGTCAAAACCCATTTTATTTCATTTCTAGTAACTGATTGAGTAAAATAAAATGAAATGGGGTTTAGTGACGTGTCAGCATTAGGCTAACCGGATGATATTGATGCGTCAACAGGTTTCTGAAATATATCCCACTACTGTATACAATGTTTCTTCTAACACTTGCCTGAGTCAAACACATACCTCTAGTCTAGTCGGCCCCAATAATAGCCCTATTGTATACCCAATACACAGTGTGGGTATGTGAATAGAATATGAATACATCTCATCTTCTAAAGGCTATCCTAGATTGAACATGTTCAAATTACAACGGTCATGTGATGTAACTCTTATTAATCATTTCAAGTTGAAGTCAAGTGGACACCATAGGTTCAATTATCCAGTAAATAATCCTAATGTACATATCAGGTTGAATACAAGTGGACACCGTAGGCTCAATTATCCAGTAAATAATCCTAATAAATGACTATATGTACATATCAGATTGAAGTCAAGGACACCGTAGGCTCAATTATCCAGTAAATAATCCTAATAAATGACTATATATGTACATATATCAGATTGAATACAAGTGGACCCTGTAGGCTCAATTATCCAGTAAATAATCCTTATAAATGTTATTGGGATTGCTAAATAACTAAATGTACACATACTTTTTATCAGAAAATTGTACTTTTATCAGGAAATGGTAATCATCTATTTGTATTCCTTTTATTTTTTTGATGTTTTAAGTGCATATTAGAAATTATCTTTTAGAGGCATTTAGTAACTGGATATTTATTTCTCAATCACTGTTCAAAAATTGATCATTATACATCCACGGTGGCTAGGTGGTTAAGACGCTGGCTCTCTAGCCTGGAGGTCGGGTGTTCGATCCCTGCATTGGCCGAGAAAGTTCATCTGGATTTTCCGACATGGTTTCCCCTTGTCAGTGGTGCAGAACGGAGGGCCTGACAAGGACAGCTGTCTAGTCCTTCGGATGAGACGAAAAACCGAGGTCCCATGTATATATTGGCGTGCACGTAAAAGATCCCTTGGCAGTTGGAATTCGATACACTGTATGGCGTATGCACGTCTTCATTAGCCCAATATAGGAGCAGAACAGTAGGACGTTAAACTCCATTTCATTTCATCGATAAAAAATGTTTTTTTAAAGTCAAGCTTAAGTAGCTATTTTACATCGTAGCATTAAATGAGCATGTCCGACTTCCGACTCATTTGGCTGTCACCGGTCACATATTTGTCCAGTGTGAAAAAATTGACAAGTTATGGAAAAATTTCCTTCATTGGTTTAATTTCATCATGATGAATTCTGACATATCTTTGTCTTCGGTGGATATAATATTCAGGAAATTGAAACCATATAATATGCAAATTAAAATATACTCTTGTTAATCATAAAAAATTTATATTTATAGAAACTGGACAAAATACAAAAAGAACTTGAATTACGAGAGAAATATACATGTACAGTGAAATCTGACATCGTACAGGATTGTTACAATATGTCAGATTACGCAGAGTGTCGGAATACACAGTTTTCTCAAAACTAGAAGTATTATTGTAACTTCGAAAACTGGAAGTATTAATATAATGTAGCTTCGAATCCCTAGAACGTTATTCCCTTTAAAAATAATAAACATTTCTGTACATTCAAAATTTTATTACATTAATTTTTTTTTCATTTAACATGCGTAGGCATTTTGAATAGGTCAAGTCTGTTGTTAATTTATCTTCTTCATCGACTTCAGTTGATCACACACTTGTCTTTGGTGTCACGTGTTCATTGATAATCTATCGTTCTATGTCCTGGTCGTCATCACACGGTTCGGATAGATCCGTATGGTGAACAAACTTAGGTATTCAGGTTCAATCGATATGCGCAACGAATGTTTCCAGCAGGTGCTAGGAATATTTTTACGACGGAATAATTTGTGGGAAAATTCGTGGGTATTCTTGAGTATTTGTCACAACTGTCTTATAAGAGATTATAAAATTATCAAAGTAATCAACAAAGACCTTCACGAGCGAGTTTTAATCTCACTGATAATTGATTGGTATATGGCTTGTTAATCTTTCGTGGCTTCACACCCACCGATTGAAGGCTGGATTATACAGTGTTGATTCAATAGAAATCATGTGACGGAACGGCTGATTGATGTCGTAATTCGGAATATTCAGAGTGCGGATTACTCAAAGAGTTTTTGGCTAAAATAATAAGGAAATAAATCGGGACATGAAAATGATGTCGGATTTCACAGAGTACCAGAGTATTCAGAGGTCGGATGTGACAGAAATGAAATGAAATGGGGTTTAACGTCCTACTGTTCTGCTCCGAACTGGGCTTATGAAGACGGGTATAAGCCATACAGTGTGCTGTGAGGGAAATTTTGTCTACTCTTATATCGAATTCCAACTGCCAAGGGATCTTTTAAGTGCATTCCAATATATGCACAGGACCTCTGTTTTTCGTATCATCCGAATGACAAGACAGCTGTCCTTGTCAGGCACTCCTTTCTGCACCACTGACAACGGGAAACCACGTCGGAAAATCCTGATGAACTTTCTCGGCCAATGGGTACACTGTATACAAATGGGATGATTATGAAGCTGTTTGTTGAATGATCGCTATAGTTAAAGGACAATATTGGTGCAAGTCGTTATCACATATGTAATAGAACTGGTTCAACACGTTCAAAATATTATTTTATCACAGAGATCATTGCTACAATAGATGAATAATCAATGTTTCAACAATAGGAAGTGATGAACGCAAAAAGAAAACACGAGTTATCCTTCTATATAACTTGCTGAAGTGACGGGTGATAACAGATACATAGGCGAATTTCTGCTCACTAAAAATTCCTTCGAAGACCAAAAGTTGTTATATGAGACTGTAAGAGTATATCTGACAATTCAAAAAAGTAATTGCATGTCATTAGATAAGAGAACACGAGAAAAATAGAAACGGTCCGTACATTCACGGGTGTTTATTCATTCTATACTAATAAAAACATGGTAATGCACAGACTTTTTCTATTTTTCTATATGTTCTCTTATCTAGTGAGAGTCAATTTTGTTTATGAATTGTCAGATATCCTTTCACAGTCCAGGGTTGGTAATAAGTGGCAAACGGTCGTTTGGTTTACCGGGAGGTCGCCATGCTTACATAACGGGCGAACGACCCTTCGTTCCCCGTGTAAATTAGACTTGTGTTTCGTCACAGGAGTCTGACCTTCTATCCGTATAGATATGCATACACCATGTCGTACCAGACAATACATAATAAAAAAAAAATATATTGTCTGGTACGACATGGTGTATATACATGTATACGGATAGAAGATCAGACTTCTGATTGGGGGGGGATTTCCCTTGTGGTATTCCGATCACGTGATACTCGATGACGAAAATTTCCTTCCTTAGCAACTGTACAGCCTCGACTTTGTTCTTTTAAAAATGGCAGCCCCCACGACGAAATCGAAACGTGAGACAGTCGCGTTGAAGACGTTCCTGTCGTGGGATTTCAACGGAGACTTCTCCTACGAGGTGGACAATGACAATAAACTTACAAAGCTCACATGTAAGATATGCAGTACGCACTACACAGAAATAAGACGCGATAGACGTGGGGACAGATGAGTCGGAAATGGAGAATGAGATGTCAGACGTGACTCAACTTAGCGCAAACATGTAATAGTAATAACGGTTTATGAAATTGATTTTTCTAGTCAGAATTTGTGGTGTTATTTTAAACTGTATTAACAGTTTCAGTTGTTAAATTTAATATTGAGTTTTCGAGTCAGATTTTGTGAATTATTTTTTTAAAAGTGAAAATACTATACCCAATTTGGATAGTAAAATACAAGTGCCTAAATTGTTTCATAAGTTTTAAACTGATAAACTGAAGTGACATATTGATCTGAATTTTCAGTGTATTTTACAAAAGACTGATAGCCATAGTGTGCGATTCCTGATATCGTGACCTGCTCTAAAAAAGTCATATAATATTGAATAAATTTTAAAATCATTAAATCATATTCAGTTTGTGTTACAAATGTTCATGTTCAATATTAAAACAAAGAAAAGATGACTTCATTTCTCAATTTTATTAAATTCTGATCTTTCACTTCCAATTCCTACAGGTTACCGTAGACGTTGGGATTAATAAAACAATACATAGCAGAAAACCTGATGGGTTACCACAAATCATTTTCAGGCAACCTGTAACCTGTAACCAGGTTACGACATCCGGCCGTTAATTCCAGCCCTGCAGTCCCATAACACAACTTTTGGTCTTCGAAGGAATTATTAGTGAGCAGAAATTCGCCCATGTATCTGTGTTATCACCTGTCACTTCATTCAGTTATATAAAGGGATAACTTGTGTTTTCCCTTTGCGTTCGTCACTTCCTATTGTTGAAACATTGATTACTCATCTATCGTAGCAATGATCTCTGTGATAAAATAATATTTGGAACGGTTTTAACCAGTTCTATCACATGTGATAATGACTGGCACCAATATTGTCCTTTAACCCAGACCAGTTTTAGGTGGAGGGGGGATCAAGGATGAAGATGATCATTCGTAGTGTGTCTTGAAAGTAGATTTGTTTTGTGTAAATTATGTGTTGTGCAGTCCCCCTGGGCTTACTATAAGTATGGAATTCATAATTTGTTGAAGAGTAATACCTGGCTGTGTTATGGCTATGACATGTACATGTTCTGTAGCACATAAAGACCCTATCATACAAAGTTCCTTCTTACATCAAACACCAAAAGAAATAAAACTTCTATCTTACCTATGGGCGGCCCCAGCCACATCAGTTAACTTAGTTGACAGGTCAATCAATGTCGTAAAACAGCTAATCAAATATATTGTTACAAAAGCATTCTGGAATAGTGAACATAAAAGGCCTTTGACTTTAACCCTCTTTGGAAGTGAATATTAAGCCCTTCGAATGATCAAATCTATACTATTTAAGTGGTTCGAAGAAGGCCTGCATTCATGGTTGCCCGAGATCTTGAATTAAAAAGTGGACTTGACAGAAGATAAGTTATCAGAAATGCCCCATAAATAAATAGCAACTGTAGCAGATGTTAACAATAGCTGAATGCTAAAACCCAATCACTACAATTTTACAATGACTACAAGGACTTTCACAAATTAATAAATTATTACTATACTATATTTATATTCTTGTACATACTAAATTATTTATTCTAATTGTAAAGTGCCATTGAATACTTGTATTGCAGTAATAAGCGCTATCCATGGGCTGGAGGGGCTCACCTTGCACCCCCCCCTAGAATCTACAAAGTGATGTTTTTCTGGAAGGTTATTATGTATACTTAAATATTCTATATGTTACCACGCGAAAAATTGGGTCTCACTAACTTTTCTAGGTAGTTTATATGTAACTGTCACCACAAAGCGTGCGAAAAAAAAATTGGGGTAGGGGAAATTAAAATGACCATAGCTCCAAGTAGAATAGGTGTATAATAATGGTTGACCCCTCAAAATGTGTCTTTGGGTTCCCTCTACACTTTGCACTTGGTTTTATGCAAATGAGATTACTTAGTAGGTCACCAGAGGTCAAAAGGTCACCGATTTCGGAGATTGCTTGAAATTGGGCACTACTTTGTGAATCCCACTAAAAACAGATGATAACATGCAATTTTCTCATTATAATACTTGGAATTCTTTATTATAGATAGGATTTGACAATTACAAATCACCGATGCTTAATTATTTTAGTACAAATTCATTTTGAGACAAAGAGAAAAAGGGCTTATTTACGAAGTCACCAAAACTACTGCTTATCAGTACAATATTCTCTAAAACTGCCCCAACAAAGTTTTTGTTCACCAATTCTGAAGTGTGACCACTCAGAATTTTTGTATTGAAGCCCTGAGTAAGATTGTGCTGCCATCTACCGGGCCTTTCCATAAACTGAGTCAGTAGGCCTACTAATTTAAAAGAATTGCCATGTAGATGTGATGTATGATAGATTTTATCTGGGATTCTCGCCAATTTCAGATGATGTTTCAGTTTTGTGACATGAAAGTGGTATTTTCCGAGTAACTAAGATAAGATTGATCTAAAAGCAAACATCCAAATGTCACTTTCAGTGAAAGTGGATGTTATAAATCATATCTAGACCAAGCAGGCATGCATGTGTGCGCTTATGCTACACCCTAGATCAAGCCAGGTGTAGTATAAATGTAGCCTACCATAAACTCTTACACTACAATAATGATGAATGTCAAGCAGTGTGCAATGGTTGGTTATGTGGCTAGGATCTGTACCTGAATTGCATAATAGAGCTAGGTTAGATTTTAGCATTATTCCACTTTATTCTTCTTCGATCGTTCTGTAAGGTAAGTAAATATGAATGTGCCAGAAAATTATTTACATATTTGAAAAGAGCAATGAACGTGCTTTTCACTGATATGTAACATCATATCTGGAATTTGGTATTAAGACACGTATTTTGACACTGAACACCCCTCCATAATCACGGTAATAGAGTTTAGGACCATCCTACTTTTATCGTTCTGTAAACAAAGTAAATATGAATGTGCCAGAAAATGATTTACATATTTGAAAACAGCAATGGACGTGCTTTTCAGTGATATGTAACATCATATCTGGAATTCGGTATTAAAACACGTATTTTGACACTGAATACCCCTACCCCCTCCATAATCATAGTAATAGAGTTTAGTACCTCCCAACCTCGATCGTTCTGTAAGGTAAGTAAATATGAATGTGCCAGAAAATTATTTACATATTTGAAAACAACAATGAACGTGCTTTTCAGTGATATGTAACATCATATCTGGAATTTGGTATTAAGACACGTATTTGTAACTTGAATACCCCCCCCCCCCCCCGTAATGACGGTAGTAGAGTTTAGGACCACCCTACTTTGATCGTTTTGTAAGGTAAGTAAATATGAATGTGCCAGAAAATTATTTACATATTTAAAAAGAGCAATGAATGTGCTTTTTACTGATATGTAACAGCATATCTGGAATTTGGTATTAAGACACATATTTTTACCTTGAATACCCCCCCCTCCCCCGTAATCACGGTAATAGAGTTTAGGACCACCCAACATTGATCGTTCTGTAAGCAAAGTAAATATGAATGTGCCAGAAAATTATTTACATATTTGAAAAAAGCAATGAACGTGCCTTTCAGTGATATGTAATATCATATCTGAAATTTGGTATTAAGACATGTATTTTTACCTTGAATACCCGTCCCCCGTAATCACAGTAATATAGTTTAGGACCACCCAACTTTGATAATTCTGTAAGCTAAGTAAATATGAATGTGCCAGACAATTATTTACATATTTGAAAAGAGCAATGAACGTGCCTTTCAGTGATATGTAATATCATATCTGGAATTTGGTATTAAGACACATATTTTTACCTTGAATACCCCCCTCCCCCGTAATCACGGTAATGGAGTTTAGTACCTCCCAACTTCGATCGTTCCGTAAGGTAAGTAAATATGAATGTGCCAGAAAATTATTTACATATTTGAAAACAACAATGAACGTGCTTTTCAGTGATATGTAACATCATATCTGGAATTTGGTATTAAGACACGTATTTGTAACTTGAATACCCCCCCCCCCCCCGTAATGACGGTAGTAGAGTTTAGGACCACCCTACTTTGATCGTTTTGTAAGGTAAGTAAATATGAATGTGCCAGAAAATTATTTACATATTTAAAAAGAGCAATGAATGTGCTTTTTACTGATATGTAACAGCATATCTGGAATTCGGTATTAAGACCCGTATTTTGACACTGAATACCCCTACCCACTTCATAATCATACTAATAGAGTATAGTACCACCCATCTTCGATCGTTCTGTAAGGTAAGTAAATATGAATGTGCTAGAAAATTATTTACATTTGACGAGAATCCCGGATAAAATCTAACATACATCACATCTACATGGCAATTCTTTAAAATTAGAAGGCCTACTGACTGAGTTTATGGAAAGGCCTGAAAGATGGCAGCACAATCTTACTCAGAGGGCTTCAATACAAAAATTCTGAGTGGTCACACTTCAGAATTGGTGAACAAAAACGGATAAGCAGTAGTTTTGGTGACTTCGTAAATAAGCCCTTTTTTCTCTTTGTCTCAAAAATGATTTTGTACTAAAATAATTAAGCATGGGTGATTTGTAATTGTCAAATCCTATCTATAATAAAGAATTCCAAGTATTATAATGAGAAAATTGCATGTTATCATCTGTTTTTAGTGGGATTCACAAAGTAGTGCCCAATTTCAAGCAATCTCCGAAATCGATGACCTTTTGATCTCTGGTGACCTACTAAGTAATCTCATTTGCATAAAATCAAGTGCAAAGTGTAGAGGGAACCCAAAGACACATTTTGAGGGGTCAACCATTATTATACACCTGTTCTACTTGGAGCTATGGTCATTTTAATTTCCCCTACCCCAACTTTTTTTTCGCACGCTTTGTGGTGACAGTTACATATAAACTACCTAGAAAAGTTAGTGAGACCCAATTTTTCGCGTGGTAACATATAGAATATTTAAATATACATAATAACCTTCCAGAAAAACATCACTTTGTAGATTCTAGGGGGGGGGGGGGGTGTGCAAGGTGAGCCCCTCCAGCCCATGGACTAAAACTTAATCTTAAATTTAAACTTAATGCTCCCATTTAGGAAGAAAGGGGTGTTTGTTATTACATAACTAATAACAAGTATCTATTACCCAACAAATACCCAGTATTCATTACCCAACTAATACACAGAATTATATTACCCAACCAATACCCAGTATTTATTACCCAACCAATACACAGAATAACATTACTCAACTAATACCCAGTATTATATTACAACTAATGCCCAGTATTATATTACCCAACAAATACCCATTATTATATTACCAAACTAATGCCCAGTATTATATTACCCAACTAATACCCAGAATCATATAACCCAACCAATACCCAGTGTTCTATAACCCAACTAATACCCAGTGTTATATTACCCAACCAATACCCAGTATTATATTACCCAACTAATACCCAGTGTTTATTACCTTACTAATCAATGCCGAGAGATCAGCTGGTTTGATACCATCATAGGTTCCTACAAATATAGGAACAGCTATAGCCACATAACTTAATATACTGCCTAAATAATCCGCAGCTTTTATAGAAACTGAAAAATAAAAGATTAGAATATTTGTAATTTGGATATAAATAGGTGACCGTTTTTATTATGAAACATATAAAGTCATTAAAAGAATTATTATCTCCTTTTGACCATCTCATGATTTGAAGTTAAATAGCCAAGATAAGATTATTTAATATCAATAATGCAATGTTAAAACTACAGTTACTGGTGACAATTTTCAATCAATCATGATAATCGAAGGTGGTAATATGTCATAATATGAATAAATGTAATATGTATAAGTTGGACCAATGGTTATAAAAATGCAGAGAGCATCTACTTGAAAAACCCTTATAGAGGAGATAACTCTGATTCATGATTTGGATAAAATATTGTACAAAATCACAGGCTGTAAGGTGACCTCAAGCTGAAGGTTACCATGCCAACAACCAATTGTTGCACTATTATAGAGTATGCAAATGTGCACTACTTTGATATCATTTGATAAAACTCAGATTGACAGGTAATTTTCAATCTTTAAAGGGACAATAACACTATTGCTGGCTTGACAGCTCCAGAAAATAAAAAATAGCCTTATTCTAAGTACTAGATGTGTTAGTGTCTTACCTGTTGTGTAAATTATCCATTAAATCCTATTTTACTTGTCAAAAGGGTTCAAAAATATTTTTAAATCCAAGTCACATTTTGTTGAATTTTTCCAATTTTTTTTAATTAGGTGTGTTAAGATGAAATTTGTATCATCAATTAATTGGAATATTGTAGAAGGCCTATTTAGAAAAACTTGGCCGTACTTACAATTTAATAAATATTCTCGCTGTATTAGTTTATGTTGTACAGAGAGAAGACTTTGAAGCTTTTCATTTGTCTTCTTTTCCTCAATGGTCCCACATCTATAAAAAGCTGCTGATTCAGCATTTACTCTTAGCTGCATATGTTTAAACCTTAAAAATATTAAATAAACTATAATAAATCTCTAGAGGTCAATATTTTACATGACTCGTTGAGAAATATACAGCTAATGGTCTGAATCAAGAGTCATTTAATTCACTTGAACGGAGGCAAAATACATGCATGGATATATACATATAATTTTTCACTAATAATTTTTCAGAGAACATGTGAAAACAAAATTGTGACAATAATTATATATGCATGAAAAGAGGTGTAGGTACACTCCTGGATATGCAAAAAAACAACCTTTATGTGTCATACAGCCCTTATATGAATTCCATGATTGCATAGAATGTGATTTAAATAATATTTTAATCAATAAATTTACAGAGGTTATATAATTAATATAAATGAAATGAAATGAAATAGGGTTTAACGTCCTACTGTTCTGCTCCTAAACTGGGCTAATGAAGACGGGCATACCCCATACAGTGTGCCATGAGGGAAATTTTGCCCGGGCAGCGGCACTATCGCCTACTCTTGTATCGAATTCCAACTGCCAAGGGATCTTTTACGTGCACGCCAATATGTACACAGGACCTCGGTTTTCCGTCCTATCCGAATGACTAGACAGCTGTCCTTGTTAGGCCCTCCGTCCTGCATCACTGACATAGGATATCGGGTTATATAAAATCGCTTCCTTTCATAGAATTTAGATCGTAGACTACCCAACTCCTCTCTAGTGAAAGTGAGAGAGAAATGGGTTTAACATACACTTGACACAAACTAGGTCATTTCGGGACTAACATGGTTCAATTTTATTTCAATAATTCGCTTGCGCATGGCAGTCTTTAGCAGTGGGAGGAACAGGACGACCCTGAGAAAACCCACAAGGTTGGACAGGCATCCCTACTCCTTGTCACATACAACCGGGGAATCAACACAGCACACGCGATAAATTTACAAGTTTATATGGTAAATATAGAATACAATAACAAGCTTTAACTGCTTATATAAAACTGCTTCCGTGCATAGAATCTAGATCGCAGACTGTCCAACCCCTCATTTCTCCAATTATTAAATACAGAATCTAAAAGTGAAACCTCACCTAAAATCTCCTTCTTTTTGTTCTTGATAATAAAAATACCGAACTACTGGTGACATCAAAAACTTGTTGATAACCGTGGCAACAATAAAAAACACAAAAACACTCACTGGTCCTAGATATCCAGTACTGTAAAAATATTAACATCGTCAAGTCTTAATTATACATATTGAATCATTTGTCACAAATCTTACTCTATATACTGCAGTGATTCTCAACCAGTGTGCCTGCGCAACACACCTGTGTGCCTGGCAACACCTGTGTCTACTGGTCAAGTTCATAGCTGTGTTTTTCTTAATATAGTTTTAGTCACTCTGTTGTGTCTATCACTTGTGTCTACGGTTGTATGCTGTCTATGACTCCCAATGTTTTTATTTTTTCATATATATATATATTTAGCAAGGTGTGCCGCCATTGGCAACAAAAAAGTTGAGAACCACTGATCTATTGTATGTTACAAACTAGTAGAATTAGCTCAAATAAAACCATAATCCAAAATATCACCACAAAAGCTTTTGATTATGATTCAAAAGGGGAATTCTACATGTAGATCTACATATAGATCTGGAAAGGTTGAATTGGCATAAATCCAAGATGATCACCAATTTGAATTTTACATCCAAATAACGACTTAACAGTTCAGTTTAGACCATAAAGATATTTTATGGGCATACAGAAACATTTTCCAAAATAATTTGAATATGACATCATGTCTACAACGTCATTATTAGGTCACAACACTAAACTAGTATCATCATGACGTCATAATAGCGTAGATCTGGCAGTGAGTACACGAAGATACAATTTGAAGGTCATTTCTCTGGACATCTCACAAATATCTAATGCTGAATGATCATTAATCGCTAAATCATGCGGTGCAACTTGTTTTAGGTGCTTTTCTATATTGACCAGCCTATTATATTAATATGTCTTGACAGATTGGAAGTACAACTGACCACCAACTGGGGAACGTACCGGTCAGTCTATTTACACGAGATAAAATTAGAATTTAACCCAATACATACAAATGTATCTATTGCTGAATACAGTTAGGGATCATCTGACACAATACACTGTAACCTGGGTATCATTTAATCTTGTGTATCTAGCACTAATTTTTCACATTCAATCAATATTTGTTTAAAAATTTGTAAAAACTGTTTAAAATCACCATAAATCATTTAATTTGTACTTGTGTCCAGTTTTAAGCTGACTGATTATTTTGATTATGAGTGTCTAATTTACAAGCGTTTAATTTCTTGATCACTATTCAATAATTAATCATTATACATTATAACAGTGATCAAGAAATTAAATGTTTGTAAATTGGACACTCATCATCACAATTGAATGGTCATCTTTAAATTGGACACAAATACAAGGTGAATTTAGGTGATTTTAAATGATTTTTATGAATTCAAGATTAAATGAAACCCGGATTACAGTAATAGTTCTAAGCTTTTTAATTCAAAATTTTGTCAGTCGGTCATAAATTGTTCTGCTTTTATTTGCAGGGAATTATTTCCAAATTATGTTACATAATACTTGGAGCATTAAGCCAATTTTTATATAATTTAAAGTGTTTACACATAAGAATAGTTAAATTTCACGGGTTGGATTCAATCGAATTGAAATGAGGCCTATCAAAACATTTTACCCCAAAATCATAGGTGGCGCTGGCTTGTTTGAAATGAAATGAAATGTTGTTTAATGGCACGTCAGCTCCAACCGGGCTATATTGCGCCAAACATATGGTGTGGCTTGTTTGAGTCACATGCTAAATGATGAAGCTTTTTAATTTGTCAATACTTGTAAATACTACTTGGAACTGTCCACATTGGTTTTAAAGATTCAACTTTCACAGTATTGTATTGTGCAAAGATTCAACATCTCTCAATCAAGACCTTTATTAAAAGAGAGAGAGAGAGAGAGAGAGAGAGAGAGAGAGAAGAGAGAGAGAGAGATTTCAGGACTAACACATGGTTCAATTTTAATAATTCGCTTGCGAATAGCGGTCTTTAGCAGTGGGAGGAACAGGACGACCCGGAGAAAACCCACGAGGTTGCACAGGCGTCCCTACTCCTTTTCACGTACAACTAAGGAATCGAAACCACGTCAGTTGACTCAATGATACAGACCTTATAAAACAACGTGCATGTTGTTCAGACCGTCTGATTCAATGCGTACACGTCAACCCATCGGCCACCCAACCTCCCATTTTAATTAAATGAACTTGCTATAATAAAAGTAATGTTATCAGGTGTTCCATTACTTACCTTTTAGCAGCTTGATATATATAATAACCAATTAAAAATGGTGAAATAATCAGTCGGATTAAAACTAGACTAAACTGATTACATAGTTTATCCACATCTTGAGTTATACGCTGATCTCTAAAAAATAAACAAAACAACAGCTGATATGGTATGGTGGAATGAAATGGGGTTTAACGTCCTACTGTTCTCCACTGACTAGGACATTGAAGACAGACATACGTCGATCACTTAATTACCTAATCAATCCAGCCTATTATCAACGATAATCGGGTTGAGTGGTAGTTATACACTCAGTACACTATATTAATTTTGGAATTTTGAATATTATTCACCATGTCTTGATGTCCGAGGGCATATTCCTGGTCGGACAATTTAGGACGTTTGGAAAATAGCGTCGGACATATCCGGAATATATGGGCGAAATCCCATCACTGCGCCATACAGTGTGCTATGAATTAAATTTTGCCCGACAACCGTTCTACTGCCAACTCTAATTTTGAATCCATAAATTGTTCTTTTATGTGCACACCAATGTGTACACCAGATGTTGGTTTTTGTATCATCTGAGCCAAAAAGTGTTTTTTGTCTCATCTGAATAACTAGACACTGTCCCTTGCCAGATCCTTTTGAAACTAACATACGGTTCTCTTTTTCTTTTGTCACATATGGTATGCAATGCTACGAATAGCAGCCTTAATTCTGGCAACTTTTTCAAAATCGGCTACTATCTAGGCAAAATCCTTTTATAGTATACTACTTGACACGAAAAAGTAAGACCCTATTTCACTATTTCAGGTTTGATTCACCAAAATTTGTGTGCTACATTAAATCTAAATGAAAACACTACTTCTGAATTTATTAACATGCTACGTTTCGATACACTCGCTCCATAACAATACCAGACGTTGTTGTTTGTATCGTAAAGTTTCGTAAAAATCGCTCCCCTTAAAAAAGATCTCCAAGTTTCGATAAGAAGAGTCATATAGAAATTAAGGAGAGTGATCTGCTATTAAGGAGAGTGATTAGTTGTGTGTATGGGAAATGGTTCTGAAGATCAATAACTGCATGTTGGACGATCATTCCTGGTTTCATAAATGATAATAAACCCTCGATGACTTTGTAAAGGAGAGAGATTTTTAATTTTAAGGGGAGGGAGACCCCCCCCCCGGTTGACATTCAGGTGAGCGGCAGCCGCTCGAGAGCGATCGCTCGCCTTTAAAAACAATGACTGTGATACCTGTATGTATATCGAAACATAGCATGTTAATAAATCCATATTGTGTTTTTAATTTGTGAAATCTATTTCTATATATCTTATAAGGATTACAATAAATGAAAGTACAGGGTGACCCCCAAATAACAGAACCCATAAATTTTTTATTAAATCCTACATTTTGATGAAATTGGCTGGGCTTAAAACTTGAGTCTGTGTACGATCATTCCCCAAAGTTTCAGTTATCTTTGCATAAAAGTCATGTTCTTTCCAAAATATACTCCAACCAAGTGGCCTTTGCGGAACTGGAGAAAACTTGCATAAGTTGAGCAAAATTGTCAATTACTCAAACATATCCCTCTCTGGGGATTTCCCTGATTTTTGCGGTGATTGCTGCCCTCAATTCACCAATCATTTGAGGGTTGTTTTCTTACACATTATGCTATCTAAAATTTGCTGGACCTTTTGTGGGATTTAATGAAAATTGTATGGGTTCTGTTTTCTTTGGGGGGTTACCCTGTATGTACTTACGGATTATCTATAGTTTTATCAATGTTGTTGATCTGATAATATAAAGTATCTTTAAAATATAACGCATGAAGAGCTTTTGAGAGATTGCCTCTACATGCGATATACAGTACGCCAGCAACATATAATATACTACTCTTGATCTAAAAATAAACAAATAAACATCGATAAATAATACATCTTTGACAAAAACAAAAATATTGGAAAAATGGTATATTATTGATTTATGTGTGGTTCAATGGTCAAGAGCAAGACAAAGTAATATTTTGAAACAACACGGGTGACATTAGTCACAAGTTGTCGTTTCAATATATGTGAACCACTCCCACAAAACCAGGCGCTTTTCGTACAACTTCATTTCGTACTACGGGCAGAAAAGCATAAACTGTATGCCTTCTTTTTGCTGTGAATGAGCCGAACTCTATTCCAGATGATGACAAATTTAAAAAGAACTGCATATTTGGAAAGCTTAGGCTGTCGACTATTCAAATATGCTGCCAGCTCCATTTTTATAAAAATGCCCAAGAGCCTGGTTTTGTGGGAGCAGTTCACATATTGTGCAATGTCTTAAGCTCGAGACCATTAAGAAACTTAAAATAGACACACTATCCAACATGTGCATTTCAACGAAATATGTCACACAGGTCCAAAATTTTAACTAGTATAAATAGTGTAAGCTTGGCACATTGCTTGTACCATTATTTAAAATAATGATACGCCAACATCAAAGGACGACGTCACACCTGTTACATATTATTGATATATTATATTATTAATTTGTGCTCATCCAGAACATAAATCAATAACATTTTCTGAAATTTTATTGGAATTATTGTTCAAATTTTTTTTATCGCATCTGTCCTGTATTCATTGTTAAACTCAATTTCATTATTTCCACTTATTACATTTAGACCATAATAATTCAGTTAATAGCCCAGATAAGTCAGTTATTTTTAGAATAATTGTATTATAATGTTATACATGTTGACAAAACCTGATACAGTTGGAATTCGATCTAAGAGTAGGCGTCCAAGCAAAATTGACCTAATACATGTATGGCATATGCCCGTCTTCATTAGTCCAGTCTGTACAGAACGATAAGACGCTTAACCCCATCTTAATTTATTTCTGACATAGGGACATCACGCTGAAAAATCCAGAAGACCTTTCTCAACTCCGGGATTGCCCTAGAATCTAGGGGTTAGCGAGCAAGCAATTTACCCCTCCCCCCTCACCCCCACGGCACTGTGGATCATCAATATTAGGATCGGGAATGCACCAGCAGCTTACTCCTCGCCTTCCCCCACGGCACCGTGGGATTGCCCTAGGCCTTAGGGTTAGAGGACCAGCAAATTACCCCCCCCTCACCCCAAGTCAACATGGGTCGTCAATATTAAGATCAACAACATACTTACAAATGCTTCAGCAAGGATAAGTAACACAGCTATAATAGTTTGATTCTTAAAACCTTCCTCATCTTTCGTTCCTAATACTTTATAATATTTACTTGGTATTAGTCCTATATAGTAAATTATTACTTGTTCTGTAATAAATAAAAAAAAAAACCTTTCATAAATACATTCAATAATCCTATAATAGATTATTACTTGTTTTGTAATAAAAAAAACTTTATTAAATATATTTCAATAATCTTATAAGAGAGGGAGAGAGAAAGAGAAATGGGGTTTAACATCCACTCGACACAAACTAGGTCATTTCGGGACTAACATGGTTCAATGACAGCCTTATGATATAGCGTGCACATGCTTACCATTCGGCCATCCGCCGCCCCCCATCCCCCAATAAATAGCCATAAGCATAATTCATGAACCAGGAATAGATCATATTGTCATCACATAGGACAGCCTTGGTTTTTTTTTGTCCCATCCGAACAACCAGAAACACTTGTAAGTCCAGAATGCACCACCCAAGGAAGTGATAAAAGGGCTTTTAGAAAATCCTGCAAAGTTCTTCTCAGTCTATTCTGTTATTTGAACTCGGGAGTACTGCTATATGGTCAGACAGTGTCGTACAGCTCTACAACTGTCAGCTTAATTAAAACTAAAAATCCTAGATTTATTCAGGAAATATACGATGCATTAAATGCAATAATTTGCATTAATTTACAAATTGCCCAGGAAAAAAGCCCCCAAATCCCTATTTGGATCGCCTCGTTGACAGAAAGACATGGATTTCATTCTGCACCAACCCACCCATAATTATAATATTGTTACCTATAGTGAAAAGAAGGAGTAAATAGTATTCTAGCCCAGGTAGTAAATGTAAATATAAAATTCTCATCTAATAGTGAAAGAATGAGTAAAGAGTATTCTAGGCCAAGGTATTGAGAAGTAAATATAAAATTCTAACCTAATAGTGAAAGCATGAGTAGAAATACACACAGAATAACGGCTAAACTCTTCCATGCTGGAAACATCAACTTTAACAAACGCAGAAAACGCTTGATAAACTTCAAATCAAAATTATACCTGAAAAACAAATATACTCATTTAAACAGCTAAATCTGTCTATTGCAGATCTTTCTTTAGGTCTAAAATGTTATATAAATTATTAATTAGACATTAATCAACTCTTGCTGCCATCGCTAACCCGAGATATTTAGCGGATTGGAATACTTTTTGTGAAGGATGATTTAACGTCAAAATGTATAACCAAGATTTTTTTACCATACCGACTTTAGTAATGATGATCGAGATTAGCCCGAATACTGTAGTACTATAGGACTTCTTTCTTGTTGTTTGTCTCATCGTGATCGTAACAAGACTACAGCATAAAATAGTTTTACAACTTTACTGCTAAGCTGTAATGACATTGAAGGTTCCTCGTTCTCAATAATAATGGCTGCTAGGAATTTCTGAATGAGCTCTGATCCAACTTGCTCTACACCCTAATTTATACCTAATTTATACCCCCTAATTTATACCAACTAATTTCTGCAGGTCTTTGATAACCTCGACGTTAATTTCCATCCCATATATGGAATAAACCTCTTTAATTCCCACCACTAAGATAGGAGACATTACCATATTTTGGTCGACCAACCATAGGTCAATAAACAGCCAGAATTTGATGGATATTTTGACAATGATTATGATTTAACCAAAATATCACTGTTTTTTTATGTATAACTATATATTTACGTTCATTAAGTACTTTACATGTGATTTGACTCTATAGACAGAGTGAAGAAACAATTTTGCAAAGAACTAAAATTGTCTCAAGGACCCAGTGCGACAAAAGTTCAAAAACTAATATCTTGATTCAGAGTGGAGCATGTACATATTAGGTTTGGCTTGTAAACATTTGAGTGCACGTAAAAGAACCCTTGAAAGTTGGAATTTGAAATGGAGTCGGCAGTAGGCTAGTGCCGCTATGCCGCTGTCAGGGCAAAATTCACCTCATAGGTTGCATGGCAATATATTTATGTATTTAAAGTATTTATACCAATGTATTATGTTTGTACAATAAAAATCTTATCTGAAGCAATTTTTTTTATTAGCCCAGTCGCGGCAGAAAAGTAGGACATTAGATAAACCCCATTTAATTTCTTATGCCTGTCTTCATTACCCTAGTTGGTGCAGAAAAATAAGACGGCAAGCCCCATCATATTTCATTTCAGTTTGTGGTCCCTTTTATACCATGAAATCAATCTATAGTATTAAACATAGACTACATCATGCAAGAGCTAAATCTGCCTATTGCAGGTCTTTCTTTAGGCCTGAAATATTATCTAAACTATTAACAAAACAAGACCATAATCAACTCACAATTCCATCGGATACTCAAGATTTTAAATAGGTTTGACATTTAAAAATTTAATTTAAAAATGGGAAAGCGAGACTACATGTAGATCTCGAATATACCAATATTTTCATTTTACATTATCTAATTTTGAGCTATTATAACAAGAATGGCCAGCTCTTTATCGTAAATCTTACATACTGTATCTTTAATTATTATAATACTATTGAGAATTTGAAATAAATATCGTAAATCTTACATAATGTATTTGAAATATACTATTCAAAAAAAGTAGGGGATATTTGATTTTTAAGTGTTATTAAAGTCACCTAATGAAACTGACGAAGAAACAAATGACAAAATGAAATGAAGTTCACATTCATCGATTTATTCCAAATGATCGTTAGACTAAGTAAGGCACAGACTGACCATTATAAGGGTAAAATGATACCCGGGGTCAAACAGCAAAGATACCACAGCATCACAACCAAGTCAGTAACGGGTAAATCCTCCTCTGTTTGCCAAACAAGCATTGATCCGACGTGGCATACTCCTAATGAGACGTCTAAGGTCATTTTGGTCCAGATTGTCCCATTCCTGTTGCAACGCAGCAGCAAGTTCTTGGACATTGGCAGGACGTTGTTGACGTTGACGTAACCTCTGTCCAAGCATGTCCCAGACATGCTCGATGGGGGAGAGGTCGGGACTCAGTGCTGGCCAAGGTAATGTGGTGATGTTCTGTTGTTGGAGGTAACCTGTAACGATCCTGGCCCTGTGACATCTTGCGTTGTCATCCTGGAAGATGAAACGGCGGCCATGACGTCGTGCGAACGGCACAACATGGACTGCCAAGATGTTGTCCCGGTAGTACTGGCCTGTAACACGCCCTGCAACAACATGTAAAGCCGTTCTTCCAACAACAGTGATGCCTCCCCACACCATAACAGAACCACCCCCAAATCGATCATGTCTGATGACGTTAACGTCTTGGAAGCGCTCGTTTCGACGACGCCACACCCTCCTACGTCTGTCCAAAAAATCAACAGTGAACCTTGACTCATCTGAAAACATCACATTGCTCCAGCGTCGATTATCCCAGTGTTGACGATCCCTACACCAACGACGTCTTGCCTGAATGTGATGATCTCTCAAACAAGGGATCACGCGAGGACGTCGGGCTCGAAGGTGACCCCTATGCAGTCGATTCCGAATCGTCTGGCCACTCACTCTCACACCAGTGTCTGTTTGAAGACGAGCGCTGATCTGATTTGCTGTGATGACACGATTTCTCAAGGCCAAGGTACGGATAAATCGATCCTGGGCTTGAGTTGTCGCCCTTGGTCGACCTGAGCGTGGTCTGTCCTGTACAGATTGTGTATCACGGTATCTGGACCATAGCCTGCTTATGACAGACTGAGAAACATTCATCGTCCGCGCCACAACCGCCTGTGTTGTGCCGATCTGTAGCATGCCAAGGGCACGTAACCTTTCATTTTGGGTAAGCCGACGCATATCAAAATTTGTTTTCTGGTCACTAAAACAATTAAACTGATGTTTCCACCCTGGAATTCAATGCCACAATGACTGTAACATTCAAAGTCAGAGTCGTGCAAATCTTGGGTTGGACCCCCATGATGATCCCAAGCATCACCTGCATTCCATGCGGTAGCTATTGGTGCGTTTGGGCGTCACATGTAACTGGAAATGTTTCTTCTGTTAGGTTCTATAGTGACTTTTTTCGTAGTCATTTGCATATTTTAGTATTATGCCCCCAAAATCAAATATCCCCTACTTTTTTTGAATAGTATAAATATCGTAAATCTTACATAATGTATCTTTAATTATTATAATGCTATGAGAAATTGAAATAAATATCGTAAATCTTACATAATGTATCTTTGAAATAAATATCCTAATTAGACTTTCACCTACATATATTTACCATGAAGATGTCACTCACTCCTGGATTATTTATCATAAATCTCAAATTTCAATGACTCTAGAGTTCATCCACTCATCAGTTGATGATTAGTTTATAAAGTACAACAATGTATCAGATTTTATCAACATATCATCATGTTGAACATTATAATACAAATATTCTAAAAATAACCCACTTATCTGGGATAATAATTCAATTATTATGTCTAATAATTGGAAATGAAATTAAATGGGGTTTAAGGTCATACTGTTTTGCTCCGACTAGGCTAACAAAGATGGGATATGCCATACTATGTGGAAAATTTTGCCCAAACAGCGGCACTACCACCTACTTTTACATGTATATCAAATTCCAATTACAAATCATGATATAAACTGGGATCAACACCGGTATCTCAGGGTTAGTGAACCAACATCTTACTCATTCAGCCACTGCAGCTCTCATTAAATGGAGACTGTATTAATTAAAGGAGTTAAATCACTGATATTTTGGACCTAGAAATTGACACAAATGGGTCATAACACATATAATAATGTAATAGGAATATATATAAACTGATTTACATTCAATCGTTTCCATTTTTACTCTAATTTCAAATCAGTTATGTTCGCCGAAATATGTTAGAAGTCTCAATCGAATGAAAATTTCTAGCGTCTGGTTATTCTAGTCTTTATAGTATTTATTGCGCATACTCTACCGATATGAATATGCCGTCACCGTTTCACATGACTTGTTGAATGTCTAGCCTTTTCTTCGAGTCACTTGTTAGAATGGGTCTGGAACGCATTATGGTACACGATTCGTGTACCAATGGTAAAATGTTTATTTTATCTTAAATATTGGATATCAGAAGCCCATCTTTTCCCGGTAAGATTACAACATCAATGTTGATTTAAATTGACAAATAATTCGTGTTTTCAGTGTCGAAGATTTTGGATGATATTGAGTTAGAGACTTAGCTACTTTAAATATAATTTTTCTGCTTTCTTTTTTCATATCCAGCGAACCAATGAACCCATGCTCAATGTTCGGTAGTGGATACAGGCCTTTAGGGCTTGGCCTGCACCCTCCCCCCCCCCTGACCCCCAATAATGACAGTATAAAAAATACCCTATCATTCTGTTTACCGGTAGGGCCTATATGAAACATGTCAAGTTGAGAATTTAGTTGGTTGACGTGATGCAGTTGTAGACTTTTCAAAAAGTTTTCTGAGATTAGCTTCCCCTCACCAGGGCCGACCCGACCCGACCTGAACCAAACATTTAAGACCCCAAAAAAAGACCTGTGATAAGCAGATTTAGCTCTTGCATAACGCCTCTTTTAAGTTAAGTTTACACTTGATTAAACATGCATTATGCAAGAGCTAAATATGTCATGGCAGGTATTTCTTTGGGTTGATTATGGTCTGGATAAGTTAATTAATGTCTAATTAATAATTTAGATAACATTTCAGGCCTAAAGAAAGACCTGCATTTGGCAGATTTAGCTCTTGCATAACGTTTCTTTAAAGGCTCAATACCACTCTTGTTGTAACTGAATAATATGTCCCAATCTTTATTCTGGTCAACAAATTGTACTATTTTACAATATTTCAATTAATTGGTGATATAAATTTCATCTTAACACACCTTATTTAAAAATTTTGAAAAATTCAACATAATGGTTTGAAACGTCTAACGTAAACCTTTTCAAATGAAACTTCGATTTAACAATATTTTCGAACCCTCTGGACAAGTAAAATAGGATGTAATGGATAATTTACACAACAGGTAGGACACTTAAACATCAAGTACTTAGAATCAGGCTATTATTTATTTTCTGGAGCTTTCAAGCCAGCAAGAGTGTTATTGTCCCTTTAAGCAAGAGTGTTATTGTCCCTTTAATTCAACTTGATTAATTATGCATTATGTAAGATCTAAATCTGTCTATGGCAGGTCTTTCCTTGGGTATTAAATGTTATATACATTTTCATTGGATAATTAATCACTTGACAAGATCTTAATCAACTATCGATGCCATCAGATGACTCCAATTTTAAGTAGATTAGAACCATTCAGTGATTTAATGATTTAATTTAATAAGCAGTTGCCATGCAGAGAGAGAGAGAGAGAAATGGGGTTTAACGTCCACTCGACACAAACAAGGTCATTTCGGGACTAACATATGGTTTAATTTTATTTACATAATTCGCTTGCGCGTAGGGGTCTTTAGCAGTGGGAGGAAACCGGAGGACCCGGAGAAAACCCACGAGGTTGGACAGGTGACCCTACTCCTTGCCAAGTAAAACCGGGGATTCGAAACCACGCCAGTCGACTCAATGACAGACTTTATGATACAGCGCGCGCACGCTAACCATTCAGCCATCCAACCCCCCAGTTGCCATGCAACGCGGATAAAAATTTCATGAAATTCGAATGCAATCACCTTTAGGATGTAACAGTTAAAAGATATGTTGCCAGGTAATGAAACATACGCCCACAGCAGCTATATCATCGCATATTTTTTTACTTTTTTCGGTAATGAAACATTTATAATACATTCAAATCTGATTAAGAGTGACAAATCATTAAGTAATTATCAGAAAACCATTAGAATTTGTTTGGTTTTTATAAAGTTCTGCCCCATGCTAACGTTTAGTATACGAAACTTTTAACATCATGGATTTAGCTATTCAAGTCATAAAGATTCATTGAAAATCACTATACTTGTTCGTCTCAAGACCTTAAACACTGTATCAATTTAAAGTCAAACGGATATTAACTTTAGCCTCTAGAGCGTCCACAAGATATTTTGTAGTGATCAAGGGCCATAACTCTGGCAGTAATTATTGAAAATCACTGAAAATCAATAGGCTTCTTCGTCTCGTGACCTTAAACACTGTGTATAAATTTAAAGTCAATCGGATATTAACTTTAGCCTATAGAGAGTCCACAAGCAATTGTGGACGCCGGACCGACGGATAGAAAGACGGACGGACGGGGCAACAACAAAATACGACCACATTTCAATGTGGGCGTATAAAAAGCGATTTTTCGTGCAATCAAGTGCCATACTTAAAGTTACATTCTGATGCATGCCAATATCTAAAGAGGCCGAGACCTTTTTGAGATAAAACCGATATTTCAAGTTCCGTCAAAACAGGAAAAAAATTGTGACCTGTGTGTGTGTTAACAAACAAATGGTGGCCAGACAGGGGCAAAGACGATATACGTGCAATTGAATGAAAATGTGGGCATATAAAAATGGAGAACCAAGACCAAGACTTGACTGATGAGTAAAGTGGTTAAGATCAGTGCACACATCCTGTCAAAACTACAACAATTGATAACTAAAATTCACTCAAATTAAAGTAATTTGAATTTTTGATTGAATGACATTTTCAATATTCATTTTGATTTTGTATTATCTATTTTTGAACTATTTTAGCAAGAACGACCAACTTATCTTAATCTTACATAATGTATCTTTAAAATTGAACTATTAATAATTTTTTTTTCCAAATAAAGATATAAAAGAGTTCTATAAAGACCTTGATTAGAATATTGAATAAATCAAGTGTCCTTAAACTGAGTTTTCTCCCTTGATTGAATATATTCCAAGACCAAATCCAAATGTAATCTGAACTCAATTATTCTGAAATAATGTGATCTGTAATATGAATAAAACTGACAACGCATCAATTGAGTACAATCTGCGTTTACTTCCTCTATTCACATATTTTTAGCCATAATTAACTGTTAATTCAGCTGCGCGAGAGATTTTAGTTCAATTCATCCTTAATTCCTTACATGTTTCTTCTGCTTCTGATGCCGGTATGCAAAATGAACTTCAACGCGTGTTCGCCGGTTTATATTATGTATTCACTGGATGACCGGGGCTATAGAACGAGCAATATTGTTGAGAGTTACTTCCATTTGGTTGTTGTGGCGATTATATATTTGATATTGAAAATGGGATAAAATAGATCAATCTGTTTTACACAGATATTGCGAATATTCACTGCTGATCGGTGCGAAAATAGACCTTCAATTGTGTCCTAATATAATTGTAAATTAAAATCACTAACTGAATACTAGAATTATTTTGTCAAATTGATAAACAATGGCCGATGATGAAGATGATTATATGTCAGATGCTATACTGAAACAGTGGTAAGTAGGCTACTGATGATATAGAGAGAGAGAAATGGGGTTTAACGTCCACTCGACACAAACTAGGTCAGTTTCGGGACTAACATATGGTTTAATTTTATTTCAAAAATTCGCTTGAGCGTAGGAGTCTTTAGCAGTAGGAGGAAACCGGAGGACCCAGAGAAAACCCACGAGGTTGGACAGGCGACAATACTCTTTGCCACATACAACGGCCGGGGTATTCATGACAGGCCGTGTGATAAGGCACGCACGTGCTAACCATTCGGCCATCCAACTCTCTAACTGATGATATAAGTAGCCTACAGGAACAGATGGCCTGTAAGGGACAACGTATAATTATTGTAAGAAACTGCCAAAAAAGCGTGGCATGTACGTAAAAAATCACTTGGCAGTCGGAATTCGACAAAAGAGTATGGCGTAGTGCCGGTGTCCGGGCAAATTTCCCTCATAGTAGTAGTTATAGCCGCCGTACACTGAGCTTATATTTTATGGTGTATGATGCCTTTTAGCCCTGTCGGAGCAGAACAGTAAGACATTAAACCCCATTTCATTTCATTTCATTTGTCCTACTTTTCTGCACTACAGAAATAAACTGAATTTTAACTCCCTGCTGTCATTTTGCACCTAGGGGGCTGGATGGCCGATCGGATATAGCGTGTAAGGTAGGTCATTGAGTCATCTGGCGTTGTTGCTATTCCCTAATTGTACGTGACAAGAAGTAGGTCACCTGTCCAACCTTGTGGGTTTTCTCCGGGATATCCGGTTTCCTCCCACTGCTAAAGACCCCTACTCGCAAGCAAATTATTGAAATAAAATTGAACCATGTGTTAGTCCCGAAATGACCTGGTTTATGCTGAGTGGAAATTAAACCCCATTTCTCTCTCTCTCTGTTATGCACTGACTGGGCTAATGAAGACAGACAGCCATGCAGTGTGCTAAGAGAGAAATTTGGCCCAACATACTCTTTCAAATTGATCCACTCTGAACCGAAAATTTAGCGATTGAATTGTAGGCCTAGCCTCGATCATCATTACTAAAGTCAGTACAATAAAAAACATAGTCTCGATTATCCATTTTTTGATTTAATCATCAATAAGTATTGAGCAGCACATCGGATTCTAATCCAATTAACATAGCAGGCTAACGATGCCATTATCGGCTAATATTGAGAGTTGATTATTAAGGTCTGGTTAAATTAATTAATGTCTAATAATTTAGATAACATTTCAGGCCTAAAGAAAGACCTGCAATAATATATGTTTAAAATATTTCAGTGATGATAAGGCTGATAAAGATATTCGTTTATTACCAGCAAAGATCACTCGGCAGTACAAACAAGAAAAGAAACAAAAGGAATTAAAACAGAAAAACTTTATGAAACCTAAAAAAGTTATAGAGCAAGAAAAAAGAGATGAAGGGTTGTCAAAATCATCGTTAACAAGTGATAATAAAGGGTTTAGTTTGTTACAGAAAATGGGGTTCAAACCAGGAATGGTCTTAGGAAAACATGGTGAGTTGAATTTCAATACATGCACTCGCACATGGTATTCATTGTTTATTGTAGAAACACAGGACGTTAAACCCCATTTCATTTCAGAAGAAAAAAAACACAGACATTGCTAGCCGTAAACAGATTGTATTACAACTTTAAATATTTGTTCTGCTTCTGCTATTCCTGAGAAAGGTTGTGGTTGTGTTTTTTTTAAAAAAGATTCTGTTTCTAATTCAGGAACTGGCAGAGCAGAACCAGTTCAAATCAATCTAAAATTGGGCAGAGGAGGACTTGGTCAAGAAGCAGAAAAGAAACGAAAGCAGAATGAAAAAGTTGCTCGCTGGACAGAAATGAACATAAAGCGCAAGAAAATGGAGAGCAAGAATCAAGAAAATTTTAAGAAACAGATGAAAGACAAGTTCGTCAACACGGAGGCTGAGAGAGATTTGAGAAAAAGTCAGAAAGTTTGTGAGCAGCTTGATTCAGAAAAGGTACTTTAAAAGACAATGTTGGGGTCAGCCATTATAACATGTGATAGAACTGGTTAAACGCATTCCAAATATAATTTTAACACAGAGATTATTGCTATGGTAGATGCTTAACAAAGATTTGAAGAAATGGAAAACACGATTTATACTTATATATAACTGACTGAAGTAACGAGCGATAACAGATACACAGTCTAATTTCATTTCACTGATAATTCCTTCGAAGATGAAAAGTGACCATCAATCCTTCTTTTGAATTGTCACTGATAATTCCCTCGAAGACGTAAATTGACAATCAGTTCTTCTTTTGAATTGTCAGATATCCTCTCACAGACTCATATAACAACTTTTCGTCTTCGAAGGAATTATTAGTGAGATGAAATTCGCTGGCGTATCTGTTATCAATTATTACTTCCGTCAGTTATATATAACTCATGTTTTCCTTTTTTGCGTTACTTCCCATTTCTTCAAATCTTCTACACGCATCCATCATAGCAATGATCTCTGTGTTAAAATTGTATTTGGAATGTGTTTAACCAGTTCTATGATGTAGGTGATAACCACTGATACCAACATTGTCCTTTAACTTTTGTATTTAAACCACTGGGTAGATAACTCTACTGATGTGGTCAGTTGTCCTTGGCTCAGTAGAGAGAAAGAGAGAGAGACATAGATAGAGACAGACAGAGAGAGACAGAGAGAGAGAGGGACAGAGAGAGAGACAGAGAGAGAGAGAGACAGAGAGAGAGAGAAAGAGACAGAGAGACAGACAGAGAGAGACAGACAGAGAGAGAGAGGGACAGGGAGAGAGAGAGAAAGAGAGAGAGAGGGAGACAGAGAGAGAGAGAAAGAGACAGAGAGACAGACAGAGAGAGAGAGGGACAGAGAGAGAGAGAAAGAGAGGGACAGAGAGAGAGAGAAAGAGAGAGAGAACTCGGACTCACATTTCTTTCCACACATGATGCTCCATTATATGACATAAAATATTTCAATTATCAATTTTTCAGGAAACTAATTCACATAAAATCGACTCTTGAACCAATAAAAATTCTGTTTAATAAATATATCTTTTATTACTTAATTACTTGATAACCACACTTTTCTTCGTAAAATAATCATCGGTAATGATTTGATATTTTATATTTCAGGGGATACCAGAACCAAGTGAATTATTTTTCTGGCCAAAAGAAATTTTAGAAGAGAGAAAGAAAAAGGAAAGGAAAGCTATGGAAATTGAAGAAGGTTATAGTTTTGAGTTAGAAGATGAACTTGATGAAGATGATGACAAGGATGATGATGAAGATGGTGATGATGATGATGAAGATGATCAAAGCGGTTTATCAGTAAGTAAACAAATAGTATTACACTCCCAAACATACACACCTCAGGTTGGAGATGGCCAAATGGTTAGCACCTGCGCGTTGTATCATAAGCTCTGTCATTGAGTCAACTGGCGTGGTTTCGATTCCCTGGTTGTATGTGACAAGGAGTAGGGTCGCCTGTCCAACCTCGTGGGTTTTCTCTGGGTCCTCCGGTTTTCTCCCACTGATGAAGACCCCTGTGGGCAAACGATTTATTATAATAAAATTGAACCATATGTTAGTCCCAAAATGACCTAGTTTGTGTCGAGTGGACATTAAGTTGAGTGGACATTAAACCCCATGTCTCTCTCCCCCCCCCCCCCTATTCAGTGCTGTAATAACAAAACAAAAAGTTCAGGATATTTAGTGGATAACAATGCTAATAATAAATTTAGACTTTATTGAAATACAGTTCAAAATATTCAAATGAAATTTCTGACTGCCTGGATGTGTGTTTTAATTAGATTGATGGTATATTGAATGTTTTTTTTGTAGGCCAGTGAAAAATTAGAAGTTTTAACAGTTTATTTAAGAAATAACCATCTTTATTGTGTATGGTGTGGTACGAGATATGATGGTATGTATATTAATTTATCCTTATATCGGTGTGGGGGGGGGGTCTATTGTGTGCGCTTTAGATCATAAGGTCTGTACTAGTCTGGAGGTCGGGTGTTCGATCCCTGCATTGGCCGAGAAAGTTCATCCAGATTTTCCGGCGTGGTTCCCTCTTGTCAGTGATGCAGGGTGGAGGGCCGGACAGCTGTGTAGTCGTTCGGATCGGACGAAAAACGGAGGTCCCTTGACAGTGGGAATTCGATATAAGAGTAGGCTGTATGGCATATGCCAGTCTTCATTAACCCAGTCGGAGCAGAACAGTAGGACATTAAACCCCATTTCATAAGGTCTGTTATGTACATGTAATTAATATATCCTTATACTATCAGTAGGATGGGGATTGGTGGTAGAGTGGTCTATTGTGTGGACTTCAGATCATAAGGTCTGTTATATGGGTGGGGAGGGTGGCTGAATGGTCTTACTTGTCTGTCAGGGAGTCAGCTGGTGTGGTTTTCAATTCTCCAAGCCTGTCCAACCTCATGGGTTTTTTTCTGGGTCATCCAGTTTCCTCCCACTGCTAAAGATCCCTATATGTTAGCAAATTATTGAAATAAAATTGAACCATATGTTTGTTCCGAAAGGACTTATTTTGTGTTGAGTGAATGTTAAATCGCTCTCTCACTAACAAGTACAAGCGTATATGGACCAGGAACCAAGCGTGACAGCCATCTTGGAATTGTAACTTCATATCAAAACCTGTCAATCGATGTCAGTTGAGCAAGGAACAAGCATGCCAAATTTCTTGTCGATGATACTTGAATTGACGGAGCCTTCGCCTTATATAGTAAATTATATATATCGTTAGAGGCTATCAAACAAATGTACGATAAAATCATTTACTTTGTTATAATTATTTTTTTACAGATAAAAATGATATGAAATCCAACTGTCCAGGAAATACTGCCGAGGATCATGATTGATGAGACAATGTTTATAAATTATTAAATGTTTTGTACAGGGTGTGCACACACTCAGATCACTTAAATTCCAGGAGTTTTCCAGGAATTATTTATCAGATTCTAGGAGTGTCTGTATAGAATTCTACATCATAATGTATTTTTACGCTTGAAGAACATTTACAGCGACAAACATCTAAACTTTTGAAGAAACATTCGATGACTACGTTCAGTTTTATATCTTAAAATATATAGCGAAACCACAAAAGTTAATTTTCCAGGAGTTCAAGGAGTAATCTTGTTTTTCCAGGAGTTACAAGGAGTAATCATGTTTTTCCAGGAGTTACAAGGAGTAATCTTGTTTTTCTAGTATTGGAAATTACATTTTCATGTTACCAGGATTTTCAAGGAGTTGCAAGGTGCGAGCGATCCTCGTTATACTGAGCTGACAAATATTACAAATTAATGTGGTATTGTGGCACATAAATGATGGTGGATATCGTCAGATTTGTGGACATGAAATAAAAATTACGACTCGTACAGGAATAACCTGTCTGCATCTGTCATAATCTTTTATTCTTGAAGCAATGGCAATGAGCAATACAAGCTTTTTTCACTATAGACAAATTTAGATAGAAATGACTAAATAATGGACATTAGTTACCGAGTGGGAGCCACAGTGGCTCAGTGAGTAAGAAATTGGCTCGCTAACCTTGAGATCCCCCGTCTTCCGTCCCTGTGTTGGCCGAGAAAGTACATTGGGTTCTTCCAGCGTGGTTCCGCCTTGTCAGTGTTGCAGGACAAAGGGCCTGGCAAGGGACAGTGTGTATAATTGTTCGGATGGGACGAAAAATCAAGGTCATGTACACATTAGCGTGCAAGTTGAAAAAGTAGGCTGTAGTGCCGCTGTACGAGCAAAATTAGCCCAGTCGGAGCAGAACAGTAGGACATAAAACCCCATTTCAATCTGAGTCTTAGTTGCAGAGAAATTTAACTTTTTATGCATCCACATAATGTGGACGTATATTGCCGTTGCCCCTGTCTGTGTGTCGTCTACAGGCCGCAATTCTTAAGTGATTGTCTTGAAACTTTACATACCTAAGGATGATCCCTATTGTTTTTAGTGCATGCCCGACCCCAAAGGGCAGAGCAATGCTCAATTTTTGTGTTTATCGTATACAAGCCCCAATTCTGAATGAATCAGCTTGGTACTTGGCATATGTATTCCTTATAGCCTATGGGCGGCAACTATGGATTTTGGTGCATGCCCTGACCCCCAAGGGAAGGGCCACACTCAATTTTTGTATTTTTTATCTACAGGCTAGAATTCTAAATGGATCAGCGTGGAATTTGGCATATTTATTCCTTATACCGTAAAGACAGCAACTATTTATTTTGGTGCATGCCCCGACCTCCTGGGGCAGTGTCATGCCTACTTTTTTGTTAGTATTTTGTCTGTAAATTTGGCAAAACAAACCCGACGTCTAGCCTTCTTTGCCTCTTGTCATATTTCAGCCATTTCATATTTCATTCTGTTCATTTTAAAAAAGTACCATATCAATCAAAGCTGGAATGTGGACGTATATTGCAGCATTAGAGATGCTCTTGTTAATATTTACATTGGACTGAAACCAGGAAAAGATGACTAGGGTAACCTGTAATACATGTACCCATCCTACCTGATGAATTTAGGAAGAGATGACTACGGTAACCTGTAATTTATGTACCCATCCTACCTGATGAATTTAGGAATAGTAAAAAAAGCCTTTCACAATTCAACCAATTTAGTTATTTTTAAAATCATTTTATTTTATCTACATGTATGTACAATACAAAAAATGTATAATAAATATTTGTTGATTTAATCGCTTGTTTTTTCTTTTAAAGATGCATTATGTAAGAGCTAAATAAGCTGTCTATAGTAGGTCTTCTTTCTGGCTTTAAGAACATGATCAATTCTCTAGGGCATCAGATGGTTGTGATATTAAGTGGATTAGAACATGTGCCATTTAATCAGTTAATGTTAAAATGGAAAGTGAGACTTCTTTATTATCAAAGCAATGACAAGTGAGACTATTCTAATCTTGACAAAACTTCAAACACTCAAAACTTGGCCCAAAATGAAGTAATTTGACTGAAATTTTCATTTTAAACTGAGGGAGAGAGAGAACATCCACTTGACACAAACTAGGTCATTTTGGGACTAACACAGGGTTCAATTTTATTTCAATAATTCGCTTGCACGTACATGTACATGTAGGGGCCTTTAGCAGTGGGAGGACCCTGAGAAAACCCACGTGGTTGGACATGCAATCCTACTCTTTGTCGTGTACAACTGGGAAATCGAAACCATGCCACTTGACTCAATGACAGACCTTATGATACAACGTGCACGCTCTAACCATTCGGCCATCCAACTCCCGTTTAAACTATTATAGCCAGCTGTTTATCTAAATCTTACGTAATGCATCTTTAATATTAACCATTAATGATCAATTAATTGTCTTTCATCATAAAACCCCATTCCCTGATTGTACATGACAAGGAGTTGGGTCGCCTGTCTAACCTCGTGGGTTTTCTCCGGGTCCTCTGGTTTCCTCCCACTGCTAACCATATGTTAGTCCCAAAATGACCTAGTTTGTGTCTGAGTGGATATTAAACCCCTCTCTCTCTCTCTCTCTTACACACAGAATCCCAGCTGCTCCATTATAATAAGTGGATTACATGTAATAATGGAGCAGCTGGGATTCTGCGAGAGAGAGAGAGAGGAATGGGGTTTAATGTCCACACAACACAAATTAGATCATTTTGGGACAAACTGTAAGTGAAGGAGAACCACACTACACACAAGAAAGGCAATCTGAGATGTTAACAAACATCAAAATTACTCATATATTTTTGTATTAGTATTTGACTGTTTAAAACAGTTATTAGCTTTCCCTGAAATTATTTATCAGCATTAGTTCAACATAGTATTTTTCTTGATTCAAGGTGGACACAATTGTGTTGACGTATCACACAACTGTGTAAAGTCAGGTGCACATGGATGATTTTTTATTCGGCAACCAGCAAAGCCGTTAAATATGAAAGGACATAAAGTAATATGCAGACAACGTTTCAGGAACTTCTACCGCTTACCTTATGACTAGTCAACATGGTGGCTAGCCATGGATAAAAACCCAGTTCCGTATGGTGGTCTGCCATTTTGTGAGATCACAAGATATATTAGCTTGTGCTGATTGGGCAAGAAATTGATTAATGACTAATTAATGGACAATTAAAACCAGCTTACAAATTGCCCCAGAAAATCAACCAAGTGCAACAGGATGTCTACAGTTGTTTTCAATCCTCTCTAATTTCAGAAAATAACCAGATTTATTGTCATTACAGTCTAGATTGTTTATTGGCAGCGATTTCCTACCATACAGTCTAGGTTGTTTATTGGTAACGATTTTCTTCCATACAGTCTAGATTGTTTATGATATTGGTAGCGATTTTCTTCCATATAGTCTAGATTGTTTATTGGTAACGATTTTCTTCCATACAGTCTAGATTGTTTATTGGTAGCAATTTTCTTCCATACAGTCTAGATTGTTTATGATATTAATAGTGATTTTCTTCCATACAATCTAGATTGTTTATTGGTAGCGATTTTCTTCCATACAGTCTAGATTGTTTATTGGTACCGATTTTCTTCCATAGTCTCTCTATATTTGTGCTCAATCTGTAATGCTCTCTAATTCTAGGAAACCAGATCAAGTCAGTAGCCTGATTGTTGCGGTTACTTCTAGGGGATGCTTATTAAATATCTGTAAAATCGTTACATAATTAAACCCAACGAATATATTCCAGCTTTCGTGGTTGGTGGAGATACATCAATTCTGGAATGTTCAATTGAGTATTCCCCTAGATTTCATCTGATAGTCAATCACCTTCGAACACTTGTCAAATCAACACAACTAGCGTTCTTAACACTTGTTTAAAATGTCCTCTGAAAACCGTACACAGGTAGAATTGTTTTATTTACACCTCTTTTAGATCTTTATGTTCAGGTAATGGTACCTTCACACTTTCTGATCCCTCTTCGTATTCTTTTATTCTTAAAGCATCTTTAAATTGTCGTTCACGAATTCTTTCCACAGACCAGTGATAGCGACAATTAAACCTGAATTTAAAAATAATAAGTGCATTTACATGTAAATACTTATTTTTATACCCCTATTTTTTTTTCTACAAACCTTTCTGAATACAATATACCATATAATGGTAATAGAGCCTACAGTTTTTAACAGATTTTTTCAAATTTGGTATAAAGCATTGAAGTCATGAGAGGTCGAACCTGTATAATATTCAGCATTGCGCACCCTTCTTTTCCAGAGTTATTCCCCCTTTTCCAAACAGCTTGTGAGTGTGATAGAGGCTACAATCTTTTTTCAAGACACAACTACTCTGTGGGTTTATAACTGTCTCATGGTGGTTAAGATAATTACCACAGTTAAATCATTTACGACAGAATTTAAAATAATTACCACACTCCAAGAGTAATCAGTGTAAATGATCCAAATGCAACATGATATGATGTTTGAGGTTTACCTGAAAATAAAAATTACCACGATTTAATATTTCATTTATTAATTACAATTATGATTAAATTTAAAGCAGGAAATCAAAAAAAGTAATGTAAACTTCAAATGGATATGACATAAACCTACTCAGTATATTTTTGGGGTAGAAATGAAATGGGGGTTTAACATCCTACTGGGCTAATGAAGACAGGCATACGCCATGCAGTGTGCTATGAGGAGAAATTTGCCAGGATAGCGGCACTATAGTCTACTGTCAATGGATCTTTTACATCCACGCCAATGCATACACAAGACCTTACTTTTTCGTCCCATCCGAACGACTTGACGCTGTCCCTAGCCAGGTCTGACAAGGGGGGGGGGGATGACACCAGAAAATCCTGATGAACTTTCTCGGCTAATGCACAACGCAGAGATCGAACATGGGACCACCGTGTTAGCGAGCAAACTCCCAACCCACTGATCGAGTCACCGTGGCTCCGTTTTGGATTAGGAGTCTAACCTAGATCATTAGGTCTGATATTGATCCTATAGACTTGTACATGAATGTGGATGTTTTTCAGTTTGCTCCTACTGCTTAAAGATCTGTGTTAAACCCTATTTGGTTTGTACAATCACCATTACTTTCTTCCACATTCTATCAATAACAAATCTTTGTTTAAAAATTCATAAAAATCATTTAAAATCATCAAAAAGCATCTAATTTGTACTTCACGGTTACCCGGGTTACAGTGAATGTATGTGTTTTTAATTCCGATTTCCTTCTACTGCTAAAAGATCTCCTGTGTAAATGCCTGGTTGTCTCCCTTTTTTGAAATAATATTTTGGGTTTATCTATGTGGTATAAAAGGGGGGCAGTTAAGGATCACTCTATCAAGAACTTGTGAAATTCTAGGTATAAAGTAGAAAGGTGAAATGAAATGGGGTTTAACGTCCTACTCTTCTGCACCTAACCTGGGCTAATTGAAGACTGGCATACGCCATACAGTGTGCTATGAGGGAAATTTTGCCCGGGCAGCGGCGCTACGGCCTACTCTTATATCGAATTCCAACTGCCAAGGGATCTTTTACATGCACGCCAATGTGTACACGGGACCTCGGTTTTTCGTCCCATCCGAACGACTAGGCAGCTGTCCTTGTCAGGCCCTCCGTTCTGCATCACTGACAAGGGGGAACCACGCCGGAAAATCGAGATGAACTTTCTCGGCCAATGCAGGAATCGAACACCCGACCTCCAGGCTAGCGAGCCAGCGCCTTACTCACTTAGCCACGTGATCCCCAAGTAGAAAGGGGGATTGACAACTAATAGCAATGGCAGACACGGGATGTTTGGCAATCTGATTCAAATACAGATCTATATTTCGGTTTGTTTTTTTATACTTTCGATGGCCTACACTACATGAAGATCTGATTGGTTGTATTGGAAGGTCGTGTCAGGGGTCATACAAGCAGTTTTTGACCCTATGACATCTGACATTGATTAATTAATTAGTGTTGGCGTTTCTAGGGGTTTACCAACAGTTCCGTGCAGAGCACGCCAAGAACTCACCGTTTCATTGACTAATTTCTCACATCAACTAGAACTTCTGCTATATAACACCCCTTCCAGATCCTAGCGTTGCGAAGACAAGTGAAACGTAATTTTGAACTATAAAAACACAAAATGAAACAGGATCTGTGTTTTAATCAGATCAGATATTTGGTTGGGGGGAGGGGGTGGTTTATCCTCCAAGAACATTTTAAAAATGGGTATTTTTTTTGGGGGGGAAGCCCATAGGCTCCCGCATCTGGATCTGTCTTAGAACAGTACTACTATTCTATACTTACTAGTGGCCATAAAATGGCCTAAACCAAGTCCAATACCACTCATTATACCCGTCATAAAAGATTTACGAAAACAGGGTACTTCGGACAGATTTCTTTTATAAAACAATACAGACTGAAATACAAACAAGAAACAAAAATAAAAGTAGGTCTTAAAAAGGTTAATGGTATTCCTTAATTTTGGAAAAGAGAGAGAGAGAGAGAGAGAATGGGGTTTATTGTCCACTCGACACAAACTAGGTTCGGGCCGAACACATGGTTCAATTATTTCAATAATTTGGTTGTGCGTAGGGAAGAAGGATCCAGAGAAAACCCACGAGGTTGTACCGGTGACCCTACTCCTTGTCACGTACAAGCGGGGGGATCGAAACCTCACCAGTTGATTAAATGACAAACCTTATGATGCAGCGCACACTGCAGATTCAATAGAGGGCTTCAAGGAAGCCCTTCAAAAACGCCAATAAGGGCGACTTCACTTCCAGCGTGTTCTGCCAGAATTGGCCATACGCTGTATACATATAGCAGATCATGACTCATGCTGGCATTACACAATGGTTTCTCCGGGTTTTATTCCTGATTGTTTTCAAATTTGAGTAAAGTCTGTGTCACTAACATGTATATACAGGCTCGGGACTGTACAGTGCAGTGGACACTTACGTCTAGCCCCTGGTTCCATTCATTTTATTTGAATTGTATGTTTGCTTGTGATTTCTGCGTTATATGTCTTGTCGTATATTTGTTTTTGTGTAAATATGTGTGGTGCAGACAGTGCAGTCCCCCTGCACTATACACTGATTCTGATACAGATGAGGCATATTTCACACATTTTAGTTTTTAGGTTGGACAGAATATAGTTTCATAGTCCTTGACTTCAGGAAGCTGTAGTAGATATACCTTCGAATTGTTCTTTTCTTCGGATTCCTCCATGTTGAATATGTCAATTAAAATCCAAGAAATACGTTAAATTCTCTGTTTTCTATTTCGTAATACAGCAAGGTGATCACTATGACCTTGAACTTCGCGAGAGTTATCGTTCTTGAATACTTAATCTCTAAAACATTTTATGATTGGCTGTCTTTGCCATAGTCATTTAATAGATAGCGTTTGATTGGTTACCAGGAGGCACGTGATATATTTCAAGATGTCTGCGCCCATAACGATAAACACAGATGAATTTTTCTCAGTTTTTGTCAGTAAAACTCCCGTTTTCTAATCCATTTCTAAACATGTTATTGGGAAAACGCCATTGAACTTATATAGAAGTGGATTCAAGCTTCTCTTATTCTTAAGCCACCTTAATTCAAAATCGGTCATCCATTTGGAAGACTGCGAAGGGATATGAACAGTACCAGTCAGTCCAGTGCCACCATATTTATTTTGTTTTAATCCACGGGAGAAACATGAGTGCCGCTAAAATGGTGGCTGACTCTACCCAGTCAGACGAACCACTGACCAAAAAACACAAAATCACTTTAAAAAAGAACAAGAAAAATAAACGAAATACTGATAAAAAGACTGCCAAAAAAGCAGCAGTTAAAGAGGGATCTTATGATCCTCTTTTGGATTTATCAAGAGATGTTCGTCCAATTAAAGATTATTGTCACAATAGATGTGAAATGTTGGATGAGATGTTTCAATCCGTTAAAGGTTCAAGTTTTACGATGATTTTACCAGACGTGCTGCGAGACATGGAGATAAAAGAATTGAAGCACCAGTGTCTGGAACAACTGGAAGTTATGTCTAAGAAGAGAATATGCCGCATCCTTGCAGGTGATGAACCAGATAATATATCGTCATCAGGTACAGAAGATGAACTAGAAGTCAGTGTAGTAGATGACATGAAATCTGGAGCAGCAGATTCAACATCCATATTATATACTGAAACTAACGCGAAAGAGGATATTTTTACAACAGATTGTTGTGACAGTGAGAATTCTACTGATAAAGATACTACCAGCAAGCCACTAGATGATTCATCCAGTAGCAACCAGATAGATCTCATATCAGTTGATGATATTAAGGTAGAACCAGGGTTGGAGGCGACTGTGAAAGATCCAATACCAGGAGTCAGTGAAATCAAAAGTGATACTAATATAAATAATGAATCTAGTGATATAATTCCAATGTTAACTCAAAATCACATGGAGCTACTTGAACTAGAAATGAGAGCAAGGGCCATTAAAGCTATGTTAAGGGCCCAGGAATCTCAAAGTTGAATATTCATGAATCTTATGTAATGTTTCTTTTTGCTTATTAAAACGTCTGATAAAAAATATTTATGATATGTTAACTGCCTTCCTTTTATACTTTGTATGTTAAAAAAGAAAGAAATCCACAAGTGAAACAAACTGATAGTTGTCATGGATGTTGCCTCATGTAATATACATGTAAGTAATGCTAGATGCCATACAGTGATGCTATATGAGGGAAATTTTTCCCAGACAGCTGCGCTATCTATGGCTTAGTCTTATTTCCAATTCCAACTGCCAAGGGATCTTTTGCATGCACACCACATTGTACACAGGACCTTGGTTTTCTGTCCCCCTCAAACAACTGGACAGTGTCCATGCCAGGCCCTCCATCCTGTATCACTGACAAGGGGAACCTACCACCCTTAGGAACTTTCTCAGCTTATTCTTGGATTGAATCCCAGACCTTTTGGTTAGCGAGTCAGCATTATGGCTATAATCTTATATAGTTTAAGAACAAATAGGTGGTATGAAATATTTTTGTTTAGATCGTGCACACCCCTGTTACTTTTTATAACACTGGACATAATGAAAACTAGTACGGACGTGTTTCGGTACATCAGGTCACACATTGTCACGTCAACAATCAAGTTACACCATGAATTATTGAGTATAGTAACATCTGTCATTTTGAATTCTACATAAAACTGGAAGTTATACTTCAAGACCAAACTTTTAATTCTTAGTTGACATCAAGGTCATCATATATACAAAGATTAAGGGTCATTGAAAGGTTAGGTCTCCGGAAATAAACAAAATCGAAATTCAAAAATCAACTGCCTAAGAATTGTTGTCATTTGGCTTAGGTTCAATGCAAAAAAGAGTTTTCGAAAATCAGAATTAAAATGGCGGCTGAATATCGTTTTGAAGTTTGAAAATGCTATAGAACAAGGTCTCTGAAAATTAAAGATAATACCTTGGGTGAACACTACCATGTCATTTTTGGTCTATTTTTAAAATGGAGAGAACTAGTCAAGTTCGTGAAAAATTGGAAGGCCTCTGTAATTTCCGGAAGCCGTCACAAAAATTTTAATATGCTATTTTAAAGGCATCAATGTGTTCCATATTTCAACTTAATACCTCAAATACTAATGGGGATACACCATCTTAAATGTCGAAAAAATGCAGAAGAAAACTTTCGCAAATCTTTGATGCTAAAAGTAATCGAGTGAACCTTCTAATTTCGAAAAAACGTCAGTCAGAGCCCCTGTGGAATTTGTCCAAAGAATCCAAAAATGAAAACCTGCCGAACGTCCATTGAGAAATAACCGAGATATGGGAAATCTGAGATTATTTTTTGTCCTATTCGTAAAACACTTCCTGTTTGTCAAAAATGACTCAATTTAAATTTAACAAGCCAACAGTGAGGCTGATGTCCCCCGCCGAAATAGGAAAATAATTAGAGGACACATATAAATTTATCACAAATTATCTTTTACAAAGTATTGAACAATCAAACAGTATATCTTTACTTATAGTCTAAGCATACAATGTTTTTGATGGAATAATTATAGCATATTAAGGGGAAAACATGCTCTATGCCTACAGATCTAGAGTTTGGTTGTATCAACGGGTCTATTTTCCATCTTGCTGCAAGTTGTGCAAAGTTCACTGTTTTCTTTCTGTCATTAAATGTCAATTCATTATTGCATACTACATATTTAATTAATTTATAATAGTTTCTTTTTCAATTTGTTTTTTCCATTTATTTGTTTATTTACCTTGCCTATATTCATTGTATTGGATTGTATTGGAATTGCTCAATTGATGCTTTTATCAATACCTGGTTATAATATTATGACATGTAATGTGGCAAGTTGAGTTGGGACATGTAGGCTATAATGTAACCTAAATGTATACATAAGTGGATTTCGTTTCATTTTTTTCTAAAATATTGTACAGATAAAAGAGGAGAAATTACAGGGGTAATACATTGGAAAGCTTCTTCAAGAACTAAAGCATAAACTATATAAACAAGCTTATAAAAAGGAAAAGTTTGTATAAAGACGTTTCGTTTGCACAACTGGGTGATGATAAATCACGTTTTGTCTTTCTAGCAGACGACACCGTTTTACGGCGAAAGCACACGCTCTATTTGTGACGCTTAATTTATTTTATTATTCACTCGACGTCAACACTTAGTAGACATACTATTTTTAATATGTTGTCTTCGGTATAAAGCTGTTTATGCACAAAACCAAATACTATGACATAGAATATTTTGTTTCATGGTTTATCGGCATTCTATTTGTCACTCATTCTATGCTCATCTTCGAACTCCATCAAGGCATTGACCTAATCAACACATACACCAAGTTTGAACATTCTAGCTCAATTAGGAAGAGAGTTATCGTGCCCCAAAGTATCAACCAATCAAATTGCTTATCTCTGCTTACCCTAAGCGGAAAATGCTCATCTTCGAACTCCATCAAGGCATTGACCTAATAAACACATACACCAAGTTTGAACATTCTAGCTCAATTAAAAGTTATCGTGTCCCAAAGCATCAACAAATCAAATTGCTTATCTCTGCTTACCCTAAGCGGAAAATGCTCATCTTCGAACTCCATCAAGGCATTGACCTAATCAACACATACACCAACTTTGAACATTCTAGCCCAATTAGGAAGAGAGTTATCGTGTCCCAAAGCATCAACCAATCAAATTGCTTATCTCTGCTTACCCTAAGCGGAAAATGCTCATCTTCGAACTCCATCAAGGCATTGACCTAATAAACACATACACCAAGTTTGAACATTCTAGCTCAATTAGGAAGAGAGTTATTGTGTCCCAAAAAGTGTGACGGACGGACGGACGGACGGACAGACAGACAGACAGACGAACCCATTTTAATAGATCCACGCAGGTCAACCACATCTACGTTGGCAGAATGTTTGAACTATGTACAGTTTTGGCGAAATTCTTGTGGGCATCGTGCTACTTTTGTAAACAAGTTTTTGTCAAGCAAGTAGTTGTCCAACTAGACAATGAGAGGATGGAGACGAATAATTAACTGGACTCTTGACAACATATTTAACCAGCAGCTGCCAGACAGAATTTTGCAAGAGATGGATAGAGAACAAGCTAAAAACAAAAATGATTTTTTGTATAATCCAGAAAGTTATGGTCTGAAATGTGCGAATATCAAAAGCCACGGAGATTTTTGGAATATAAAGACATTTTTTAAGTTCCATCAAAATTGGATAAAAATTGTGACCTGTAGATTGTCCACAAACAAATTGTGGGCGGACAGGGGTGACGACAATATATGTTCACGTAAAAATGTGGGCGTATAAAAATATGCAAACAAAACACATATAAAATATAACTGTTTTAATTACATCACAGATACAGCTAGATGATATGATATAAGTGTTATATGATGTTACATGATCATCTACATATATCAACAATAGTTAAAACCTACATTATACAAGACTACAAGAGCTAAATCTGCCTATTGCAGGTCTTTCTTTAGGCCTAAAATGTTATCTAAATTATTAATTAGATAAGTTAATTAATGTCTAATTAATAATTGAATAAAGAGAAGACTAGTCGAAATATTGTCAGTAATGAACAGTAATTGTATTCCATAGAAATGTCACCTGTATTCCACAGTTAATGAGTATAATTTTTGTAGAAAAAACACCTTGTAAATTCCTGAGTAAAGCACTTTTAATTCCTGAGATCTCTAATAGAATTAGGCACATTTGATCCAAACTACGATGAAATTTCACCTCAAATCATCTTTAGTTTTTCATTCTTCCGAGCCTTGATCAATAAATAGCCACTCAATTGGGATACAAACATATATTTTAAGTTTCATCAAAATCAGATAACATTTGTGACCTGTAGAGTGTCCACAAACAAATAGTGAATGGACAGAAACGACAATATACGACGTCGACATGAAAATGTTTTAAGAAGAGAGAGAGAGAAATGGGGTTTAAAGTCCGCTCGACACAAACTAGGTCATTTCGGGACTAACATATGGTTTAATTTTATTGCAATAATTTGCTTGCGCGTAGGGGTCTTTAGCAGTGGGAGGAAACCGGAGGACCCTACTCCTTGTCACGTACAACCGGGGATTCGAAACCACGTCAGTTGACTCAATGACAGACTTTATGATACAGCATGCACGTGCTAACCATTCGGCCATCCAACCCCCCCGTTTTAAGAAGAGCAAACATGTATTTTTTGTTGTTTTTAAAATAGTTTTCCTAAAAAAACAAGAAGCTAAAATATTAATTTTCAATATATTCATTTTACATTATCTATTTTCGAACTATTAGAGCAAGAATGGCTAGCTCTTTATCTAAATCTTACATAATGTATCTTTATCATACAAGTTAATTTCAATCAATTAGAGAAATGGTTGTGTCCTTTGAAAGTAAAAGTAAAAATATGTATAATAAATGAAAAAAAATAAATCTGAGTTGAGAATCACAGTTCATTGCAATTTGATTTCCTTTAAATTTATATAATAACTAGCAGGATACCCGGCTTCGCTCGGGGGTCATAACTCCGAAACCGGAAGTGGTAGACTAACGCCACCTGGCCTATGTTACTCCCCGGTCCGAGCTACCCCTATACCCCAAATTTCAGACTCGGGGCAGACCTAGTGTAGCCGCCAACCCCGAACAGACAGACAGACAAACGACATATTTGATTATTCAATAAAATACATCTATAACAACAATATTAAGTGATAATTTGTGTTAAAATATAAATAGCTTACAAAATTGTATTCATAATAACACATGTTTGATACCTGCATTGGCCGAGAAAGTTCATCAGGATGGTTTCCCCTTGTCAGTGGTGAAAGACGGAGGGCCTGTCCAGGACAGCGTTTGGATGGTACGAAAACCCGAGGTCCTGTGTATACATTGGTGTGTATGCAAAAGATCCCTTCCCAGTTGGAATTTGATATAAGAGTAGGTAGGCCCAACTGCCACTGCCCAGGCAAAATTTCCCTCCTAGCACATTGTATGCCGTATGCTCATCATCATTAGCCCAGTCGGAGCAGAATACATCTTTATTACATGCAATGTTTCAATACTTTTACAGGTATCTTTATCAATCAATGATACGTTATAATAAACTAAGACATTTTTCGATAAAGATACCTGTAAGAGTACTGAAATGTTGAAAACAAAAGGTACATCCCTAATATATGATACATGTACATGACCTGATACGTGGTACAGAGAGAGAGAGAAATGGGGTTTAACGTCCACTTGACACAAACTAGGTCATTTCGGGACTAACATATGGTTCAATTTTATTTCAATAATCTGCTTGCGCGTAGGTTCTTTAGCAGTGGAAGGAAACCAGAGGGCCTGCTGAAAACCTATGGGGTTGGACAGGTGACCCTACTCCTTGTCACGTACAACCAAGGAATCGAAACCACGCCAGACCTTATGATACAGCACATACGTATTAACCATTCGGCCATCCCCATGCACAACTTGGACCATTCGGCTGCCAACCCCCATGTAACAACTAATAAAATAAAATAACAACACATAGTATTGTAATTTCGTCACACCCAATTTTTACAGAGATTCGTTGAATTCAGGCTGTTGTTCTCTGTATTTGTTTGCTTCTGCTGGTCGACCAAGGTTCTCAAGAATTATTATGACATCTTCTCGTGAGCGCACAACATTCGGATGATGTGGTCCAATAAGTTCGGATAAAATCTCCACTTCGTTTATATAATTTCCCAGGCTTTCGTTGAGTAGATTATTATCGTGGTTGTGCGTCCATCTGTTCCACATCATTTGTCCGGAAAGTTGATAACAACGAGCCGTATGAATATGAAGTTTTCCGAATGACGACAAACACAGATTTAAAGATTTCTCGAATATGTTTCTTGGAACGTCTGAAAAATAAATAGTTAAACATACATTATACAAGAGCTAAATCTGTCTATTGCAGGTCTTTCTATAGGTCTGAAATGTTGTATAAATTATTAATTAAACATTAATTAACTTATCCAGACCATAATCTACTCTCAATGTCATCACTTGCCTGTGATATTTATTTGATTAGGATCTGATCTGCTTCTCTACGCTCATTCATGATTAAATCAAGAAATGGATAATCGAGACTGTATTTTATTGTACCGACTTTAGTAATGATGATGAGGCTATGCCCTAAATTCTTGGTTTAGAGTGGATCAATTTGACTGTAATTTTCAGCAATTTCCCTTTACATTATCTAGTTTTTAACTATTATAGTGAGAACTGCCAGCCCTTTATCTAATCTCCCTTAACGTATCTTTAAGGATATTAACCATTTAGAATCACAGTAACCAGCCAGGGAATAAACCTCACCAACATTTTTTTTATCAAATACATGCAATCTGATTAAATACAGATCTATATTTCGTTTCGTTTTTTTTTATACTATCGATGGCCTGCACTTCATGAAGATCTGACCGGTTATAGTGGAAGGTTGCATCAGAAACGAAATTCATAACTATAATCAACGAAACAAAAACGGATTTAGAAGTATACTTAGTGTTTTCGTCTAAAATCGTCGATTTAGAACTTAAAATGTCGGTCAACTAGTGTAGTAGACAACCAACGTAAAGCCTAGGGCAGACAAGCTTATTTTATCGCCCGATTGGTGATCGATTTGCCGGCAAATCCAGTGCATCTTGTCGAGCAAACCATTTTTATAAGCCAATTGGAATCATCATTGATATCACTTGATCTCAAAAAGGCTGCTTCCACTGTTGATTTGCCATTTTGTACAAGTCACATGATCAACTTAATTTACCCTCTTGAGTCGACTGATATGTGTTTGTGATCAGTTTGGCCTAGGGCCCACAAGTAGGCAAATCCGGCCCCCACTCCTATTTCTCCCCAACCGTGTTAGAATACATTTCTCCTACTTACTGATATCCGAATGATACTGGTTTTTCTCTCCCAACATGTAATAAACTTGAGCCAATCCTCCTTTATTATTATTTTTATCAAATATAGTTTGAGCTTTTTCTAAATATTTGGAGTCAAAATAACCAGCCAGAGCATAAACCTCACCAAGTTTATTATCAAATTGATCATAATTTGCCTCAAATACCTGAGAAAGAAAAGAAAAAATAACATAGCATAAATCAATAAATTGCAAAGAGAGATCGAGAAATAGGGTTTAACGTTCACTGGACACAAACTAGGTCATTTTGGGACTAACACATGGTTCAATTTTATTTCAATAATTTGCTTGTGCGTAGGGGTCCTTAGCAGTGGGAGGAAACTGGAGGACCCGGAGAAAACCCACGAGGTTGGACAGGCGACCCTACTCCTTGACAAGTACAACCGGGGAATCGAAACCCCGCCAGCTGAATCAATGACAGACTTAAATGATACAGCGCGCGAGTGCTAACCATTCGGCCATCTATCCCCTAATAAATTGAAGAGTAATCATAATTTACATCAAATACCTAAAGATGCATTGTGAAATAGCTAAAGATGCATAATGCAAGAGCTATAATCAACTCCCTAAACCATTTGATGGCCCGAGAAATAAATTGTTTAAAACATTGTCACCATTTAATCCGTAACTGTGTAGTTTTTAAAACGTTAACTACCCCCTATTGTGTAATTAATTGGACGAAAAACGTCATTTTTGGACCTTTTTATTCCTGAATACAAATGATAGTGGTCTGAAACCATATTAAAACTAACGGTAAATAGAGTTGTCTCCCTTCAATTAGATTTGTTCGACCAGGCGTAATATAACATCCAACACATGCTGCGATCATATGTTCGAAGAATAGGTTGGGGAAAATACCACCAAAGCGTTATATTACGTCCTACACACGGTGAGTGGCAGTTGTCCAGGATGTTATATAACGCCCTAGTAGTTAACAGGTTAATAATTTAATCTTATGGTTATTATGCAAGAGCTAAATCTGCCTGTTGCAGGTAGGCTTGAAATTTTATATAAATTATTAGACATTAATTAACTTATTGAGACCATAATCAACTCTCTATGTCATCGTTAGCCTACGATGTTTATTGGATTTGGTTCCGATGTGCTGCTCGACTAATTAAGACTATGTTTTTTATCGTACGACTTCAGTAATGATGGTCGAGGCTAGTCCGAAAATTCAATCACTAAAATCTCAGTTCAGAGTGGATCAATTTGACTGAAATTTTCAGCAAATTCCCTTTACAGTATCTAGTTTTTAACTATTATATATGAGAACTGCCAGCTCTTTATCTAATCTTCAATAATGTATCTTTAATAAAAAATGTATTATGGACGAGGTAAATCTGCCTAATGCAGGTCTTGACTGTTAATTAGACATTTATTCACTTGACTCACTTGACAAGCTTTATAATCAACTCTCTAGAACATCGTATGAGCGAAATCTAAATGGATTCGAACATCCTCAGTGTTTAATGTCCACTTGACACAAATTTGTCTCAATGACAGACCTACACATTCGGCTAACCAATATGGGACTCATTCAGATTTTAGATTGACACCGTGGAAATCAACTTACCATTACACAATGTTTACCACATTTTGTACCAAACTGGCAGTTTCTCTGATATCCATCACTACTTCCATAAACATACTTTAAAGCTACAAATAACATAAACATACTTTACACATAGAAATAACATAAACATCTTTAAAACCTAGAAATAACATAATCATACTTAAAACCTAGAAATAACATAATCATACTTTAAACCTAGACATAACATAACCATACTTTAAACCTAGAGATAACATAAACATACTTTAAACCTAGAAATAACATAAACATACTTTAAACCTAGACATAACATAAACATACTTTAAACCTAGATATAACATAATAATACTAAAAAACCTAGAAATAACATAAACATACTTTAAACCTAGATATAACATAGACATACTTTAAACCTAGAAATAACATAAACATACTTTAAACCTAGAGAGAACATAGACATACATTAAACCTCGAGATAACATAGACATACTTTAAACCTAGATATAACATAAACATACTTTAATTAAACCTAGAAATAACATAAACATACTTTAAACCTAGATATAACATAAACATACTTTAAACCTAGAGATAACATAAACATATTTTAAACCTAGAAATAACATAAACATACTTTAAACCTAGATATAAGATAAACATACTTTAATTAAACCTAGATATAACATAGACATACTTTAAACAAACCTAGAAATAACATAAACATGCTTTAAACCTAGAGATAACATAAACATACTTTAAACCTAGAAATAACATAAACATACTTTAAACCTAGAAATAACATAAACATACTTTAAACCTAGAGAGAACATAAACATACTTTAAACCTAGAGAGAACATAAACATACTTTAAACCTAGAAATAACATAAGCATACTTTAAACCTAGAAATAACATAAACATACTTTAAACCTAGATATAACATAAACATACTTTAAACCTAAATACAACATAAACATACTTTAAACCTAGAAATAACATAAACATACTTTAAACCTAGAGAGAACATAGACATACATTAAACCTAGAAATAACATAAACATACTTTAAACCTAGATATAACATAAACATACTTTAAACCTAGGGATAACATAGACATAACATAAACATACTTTAAACCTAGAGATAACATAAACCTAGATATAACATAGACATACTTTAAACCTAGATATAACATAGACATACTTTAAACCTAGAAATAACATAAACATACTTTAAACCTAGAAATAACATAAACATACTTTAAACCTAGAAATAACATAAACATGCTTTAAACCTAGAGATAACATAAACATACTTTAAACCTAGAAATAACATAAACATGCTTTAAACCTAGAGATAACATAAACATACTTTAAACCTAGAAATAACATAAACATACTTTAAACCTAGAAATAACATAAACATGCTTTAAACCTAGAGATAACATAAACATACTTTAAACCTAGATATAACATAAACATACTTTAAACCTAAATACAACATAAACATACTTTAAACCTAGAAATAACATAAACATACTTTAAACCTAGAGAGAACATAGACATACATTAAACCTAGAAATAACATAAACATACTTTAAACCTAGAAATAACATAAACATGCTTTAAACCTAGAAATAACATAAACATATTTTAAACCTAAATACAACATAAACATACTTTAAACCTAGAAATAACATAAACATATTTTAAACCTAAATACAACATAAACATACTTTAAACCTAGAAATAACATAAACATACTTTAAACCTAGAGAGAACATAGACATACATTAAACCTAGAAATAACATAAACATACTTTAAACCTAGAAATAACATAAACATACATAAACATACTCTAATTAAACCTAGAGATAACATAAACATACTTTAAACCTAGAAATAACATAAACATACTTTAAACCTAGATATAACATAAACATGCTTTAAACCTAGAAATAACATAAACATACTTTAAACCTAGAGAGAACATAAACATACATAAACATACTCTAATTAAACCTAGAGATAACATAAACATACTTTAAACCTAGAAATAACATAAACATACTTTAAACCTAGAAATAACATAAACATACTTAAAACCTAGAAATAACATAAACATACTTTAATTAAACCTAGAGATAACATAAACATACTTTAAACCTAGAAATAACATAAACATACTTAAAACCTAGAAATAACATAAACATACTTTAAACCTAGAAATAACATAAACATACTTTAAACCTAGAAATAACATAAACATACTTAAAACCTAGAAATAACATAAACATACTTTAATTAAACCTAGAGATAACATAAACATACTTTAAACCTAGAAATAACATAAACATACTTTAAACCTAGAGAGAACATAAACATACATAAACATACTCTAATTAAACCTAGAGATAACATAAACATACTTTAAACCTAGAGAGAACATAAACATGCTTTAAACCTAGAAATAACATAAACATACTTTAAACCTAGAAATAACATAAACATACTTTAATTAAACCTAGAGATAACATAAACATACTTTAAACCTAGAAATAACATAAACATACTTTAAACCTAGAAATAACATAAACATACTTAAAACCTAGAAATAACATAAACATACTTTAATTAAACCTAGAGATAACATAAACATACTTTAAACCTAGAAATAACATAAACATACTTTAAACCTAGAGAGAACATAAACATACATAAACATACTCTAATTAAACCTAGAGATAACATAAACATACTTTAAACCTAGAGAGAACATAAACATGCTTTAAACCTAGAAATAACATAAACATACTTTAAACCTAGAAATAACATAAACATACTTTAAACCCAAACTTTATACAAGCAGGGAATCGAAACCATGCTACTTGACTCAATGGCAGACCTTCTGATTTCAAGCTGAATGGTTAGCGTGCGTGCGCTGTATCATAAAGTCTGTCATTGAGTCGACTGGCGTGGTTTCGAATCCCCGGTTGTAAGTGACAAGGAGTATGGTCGCCTGTCCAACCTCGTGGGTTTTCTCAGGGTCCTCCGGTTTCCTCCCACTGCTAAAGACCCCTATGCGCAAGCGACCTAGTTTGTGTCGAGTGGACGTTTAACCCCATCTCTCTCTCTCTCGTTAAACCAGTAAATCACTCAACCTCCGAGAGGTTGTTCAGGTGACCCTACCCCTTGTTACATACAAGCAAGGGATTGAAACCTTGTCACTTGACTATGTGACAGACCTTATGATCTGAAGCTAATGCAGCCACCCACCCCCCTCTTAGTTTAAATAGGAGATGGTGTTGGGGTGCCTGTAGATAGATCGACACCACAACACTTGACTCAATCACAGACCTTATGATCTTAAGTTCATCAAGCCTCCCCACTGGTGTTGGGGTGTCTAGTAGAATTAGAATATGTTAAACTCACCTGCTCTATAATACAGAGTTAATAAAGCGTATAATGGTTCACACAGATATTCAGATTTCGGACCAAAGTTTGTCTCTAAATCAGTAACAAATGGTTTTAATAATTCCGTAGCTGTATCATATTCTCCAATATCTACCAGAAACCAGGCAATCTTAGCTTTCAAATTGATAACATATGGGTTAGTTTCTTCTTTTTTCTGTAAAAGTAAATAAATTATAATTATAAATCATCATTTGAGGGATTTATATACAGTGTAAATAAGATATGAATCTAAGCCAGTATTTTGATTCATTTTTTCAATTAAATGTTAAAAAATTAATTTGGGTACATTTTAGTTTGGTTTACGCCATGAAAAAATATATATTGTCAGAAAAATAAAGATCAGAAAATGTAAATAAAATGTGGTTTAACACCTGAATACAAGATGATATTCCATTGGAATTACAATAGAATATAAATCACCTCACAGAAATCATCCAAAAATTGTATATAACGTTTGGCAGCTCCTTCATAGTTATCTGCCCACAGCCAAAACTTCATTAGAACCTGTTTCGACTTTTCTTCGCACAGGTGTAAAAACACGTCTGGAGAAACAAGACACTTCATCAAGTTTTCTTTGTCATCCAGTTGATAAAGTTGAAATGGTAATTCTTCAGCCTTGCGTACACTGTCAGTACTAGTAATTATGAAAAGAACAAGATCGATCAAAATAAATTTCCCCCACTAACATCATTAATACTTTTATAGTCTCTCTCTGTGTCTACCTTCCCTTAAATAAATAACTTTCCACCACCAACTTCATTCATACATTATATTATTTTATAGTATCTCTGTGTCTACCTTCCCTTAAATAAATAACTTTCCACCACCAACTTCATTCATACATTATATTATTTTATAGTATCTCTGTGTCTACCTTCTCTTAATAAATAACCTTTCCACCACCAACTTCATTCATACATTATATTATTTTATAGTATCTCTGTGTCTACCTTCTCTAAATAAATAACTTTCCACCACCAACTTCATTCATACATTATATTATTTTATAGTATCTCTGTGTCTATCTTCTCTAAATAAATAACCTTTCCACCACCAACTTCATTCATACATTATATTATTTTATAGTATCTCTGTGTCTACCTTCTCTAAATAAATAACTTTCCCCCACCACCATCATTATATAAATAAAATATGTTTACCCAACCATCCCAATGTGCTACTTTTATTTCTGCGTTGGTGCATGAAATACAAGAAAAAAAAACCTTGGGATGGGGGTTGGGATGGCCTAGTGGTCTAGAGTGCTGTGCTTCGACCACTAGCTGACTGGTCACATGTGACTTGCGGCTGTGGTTTTGTTCCCTCCCTGGTGTGGCTTGGAGATAGGGGCGCCTTCTCAACCTTGTGGGTTTACTCCGGTTTCCTCCCACAGAAAAGACCCCTGCGCATGCGCTAAGATAATAAAAATAAAAAATAAATCTTGTCTGCGATATCACCTTCGGCAGAATTGGACGTTAAACCTTCAAGTTTTGATATTTAGTGCTATATAAATGATATCAGTATGTGGACCCCAATCCTCCATATCATCCCAACAAATATATACTGCGCACTTTACACATCCATCTGACACCTAACAAGTGAATGCCTAACTTGGAAAAATCAAGATGTTTTTCTTGGCCATGGAGAAAGAGACAGAGAGTAATGGGGTTTAACGTCTTATGCGTAGGACCCGGAGAAAACCCACAAGGTTGGACAGACGACCCTACTCCTTGTCACCTAAATCGGGGAATCGAAACCACGCGAGTTGGTTCAGTGACAGATCATATGACACAGAGCGCACGGGCTAACCATTGAGCCAATCACCCCTTGTGGCAACAGGTAATTATCCAAGGTTTTCTTACCATCTCTGGAAATAATCTGCTAATCTCTGGTGCCACCATTTTTTAACGGAGGAATCTTCTAAATATACCTGACGAATGACTTTACTTGTTGACCTATGATAAAAATCTAAACGACCTTCACCTGACCCTCCGAAAGGTCGTAGAAATGGTTTGAGTCCAAGATAAACAAAAGCCCACTGCGCCATGAGAATCTTTCCGTTTTCTACGTTATCAGTTTTTGTGTTTTTGCTATAAGTGATTGGAGCAAGGGCCAATAACTCTAACAACTCTGATTCCATCAATCCAAATCGTGAAGACTCGAGTAAGCATAGAGAGGCTTCAACCAACTCTTCACCATAGAATTTAACCACTCTCTCCAAGATCTGAAATAATTTATTTAAATTTTTATTCTTCAGACGATACGTTATCATTTATCGAGAAGATATTTAAAATCGGTGTCATGTTGCAAGACGTGGTGATTCATAGTTTTGCATGAGGAACAAGATCCCGTCCGGGTCCCCAAAAAACAATATTTATATATGTGTGCGGGGGAGGGGGTGGGGTGGCAGTCCGACCCAGTGTGACCTGGTAATATTGTGGAACATGCTATTTAGAGTCATTTTGTAGCATATCTGACCCATGGTATATGTTTGACACTAGTTAAGCATTATGATTTATGATGATAATGTTGAAAATCACATTGAAACAGCGTGATTTTTTGCCATTTGCGAGTGGACACAAAAACTCAAAACCATAACACAAAGCTTGTCATTGTGTCCCTCTGACTTAGCCCCTTATTTCAAGAATGTGCTAGCGATGTCTTCAACACTGCAAGATCTTTCAAATTGAATAAAATGGGGGTTATCGTTGAGTCAACTCACATGGTTTCGATCCCCGGTTGTACGGGACAATCAGTAGGGTCGCCTGTCCAACCTCGTGGGTTTTCTCTGGGTTCTCCTGTTTAATCCCACTGCTAAAGACCCCTACGCACAAGCTAATCTTTGACATAAATTGAACCATGTGTTAGTGCCGAAATGACCTAGTTTCTGTCGAATAGAAGTTAAATCCCATTTCCCTCTCTCTTTGTGTTTACAGATACATATAATTTGCCGATTGTCAGCTGTATTTATATTCAGTATCATATTTACCGATGGCGTGTTTATAGATTGTCGACTGCGGTTATATTCAGTAACATATTTAACGATGATATGTTTATAGAAACTTACAATTTGCGTTAATCCTGATAAATCTCCAGGTAAATTCTGTATTTTCTCCGTTAATCCACGGAAATCTCCTGTTACTCGTAATTCTTCACAGGCCAAACTCAACCACAGTGGACGACCAGCGTCATCTTTATCAATCAGCAGTTGCATCTGGAGACAATATATTTAAGAAAGTTATTGTGGTCTGGGAATTAATTTTACCATCTGATGATGGGAGAGATACAATCAGTAGTGCATCTGCCAACAAATGTTTAAGGTAAGGTATTGATGAAGCTTGTGGTATGGAAATTAATTGTATCATCCACTGATCTGAATGTGGGTGGGGATGCAGGTTTTGATCATTTCAATAGAATCAAACATTCGAAAAGCATTTAAATAATGAATACGAATATTTGTCGATATGACCTTCGCCCTTATTACTAGACACTATCACGGAAGGTTTTCAAAACATAATTTACAAAGTTTTGCTAAAGAATTGTCTCACCCAATAAGGACAATATATTGATTTCTGAAAAATTCAAAATCTCCTTCTTATGTCCTCTGGGAAAGATGTTCATTCTTTGGAGGGGGGGGGTCGTTTTTGGGAGGGATGTTCGTTATTTGGGTGTGTGTGTGGGGGGGGGGGGCATTATTGGAGGGACGCTTGTTCTTGGGGGGGGGGGGGAATTTGTTTTTTAGGGATGTTCATTCTTGGGGGGGGGGGGGGATGTTCATTTTTTTTTGGGGGGGGGGATGTTCATTTTTTGGGGGATGTTCATTTTTTGGGGATGTTCATTTTTGGGGGATGTTCATTCTTGGAGTTTTGTTAAAGGGGTAACTTACTTGTTCTTGATCCAGCAGTTTGTTATATTCCGCTAATATCTTACTGACAATATCTTTACGTATTTCAATATTAAGTGGTTCGACAGGAACTTCTTTAGTTTTTATATCTCGTGATCTCAACGCATTAAGACAATCTCCTTCCAGCGTACTGACTATAATTCTTAGTTCTGGTGTCAATACAGATGGTAGCCATGTGAGACGAGATGTTTCTCCTGAAATAAATTTATAACATTGTAAATTAAAAATACATTATGTAAGATTTAGATAAAGAACTGACCTTTCTTGCTATAATAGCTCAAAAATAGATAATGTAAAATAAAAATATTCAATATTTCAGTCAAATTACTTCATTCTGATCCAAGTTATCACTATTTGTAGTTTTGACAAGATGTTTGCATTGTGGTAACCGGGGCACTTGTATATTCAAGACTTATCCTCGCTTTCTAATTTCTAAATTGAATTCTGAAATGGCAAACCATTCTAATCTAGTTAAAAACTTAAGTATCCAATGCCATCGAGAGTTGATTATGGTCTGGATAAGTTAATTAATGTCTAATTAATAATTTAGATAACATTTCAGGCCTTAAAAAAGACCTGCAATAGACAGATTTATCTCTTGCATAATGTATGTTTAAAGATAAATATCAGATTTTCCACAGGACATGAAGGAAGCATTATTTCACTTTCTTTTAATTATAATTTCAAAGGAGCTAGACCCCTTTTATTTTAGGCCAAAATAAGGCTGACCTTAAAAATATCTTTGTTTCGCCTAACGCGACCGACTAACTAAAACCACCCCCGACTTAAATTATTTTATTGCACTTTTCCACGATCTTTTTATTTTATTTTGTGTGTCAACCTGAAATATATCATGAGAGTTATTTCCCTATACTATGGCTATGGTTTGATTCATTATTGAAACTGGTTGATCAAGACGAAAGCGTCATAGGTGTCGCTTCTCAACAAAATGGTTGCAGACGAATACACGTCCATTCCCACGAAATAATTCTGCCTCTATGTCTGTGGTGCGTAGTTTTAAACATGACGACGATATTTTCAATATCCGTTTTCGAGAAAAATGAAAGCACAACGCGCACTATCGTTAAAAACGTGTTGAAGGAGTTTCACACTTCAAGTTCGTGGCTAATCGTGTGCGAGTCGGGCATCACGAAAAATCCCGATGTCATTGATTTGTTTGCCAATAAAGAAGACGAATGTTTCCACCCGTACTTTTTACGTCAGACCCCAAATTCATTAAACAAAATTAATGAATCTGTAGTATACAGCTAATAAGTTTTCTGTATTGATTTCTCTGACTTTAAAAAAAAATCTGAAAAAAAAACCGACCTACCGACCCTTCTCCTCGATTGTGGGTCGGGTTTGGTGAAACAAAGATATTTTTAAGGTCAGCCTAATGGTAAGTTATTTTTATGGTGAGAAACCACCCTGGAAAATCAAAGAAGATAATCCCCTTTATTCTTATTTAAGGTCAAATAAAGATATGTTGATTTGGTCTATGCTGCTTGATACGCAAGAAGCCTGTGACCATTTTGTTTTCCTTGAAAATCTATTGATGGGCCTATTCTAAATCAGATTCAATTTAATGTTATCAAAGCCAGGACATTACCTGGTGTTGGTATTTTGATTTTGTTTTCTTAGATAGAAATTGTTACAGTAAAAGGCCTTTATAAAAATATCTAGGGTTCGTCCTCTGATGATCCCAAAGCTTTAAACCAAATTTGAAGAATGTCTGCTAAAAACTGTAGCCTATATCGTATTTGCAAGCCAATTGTTGGCGAACGGACAAACGAACAGCCTATATCGCATTCTAAAGCCAATTGTTGGCGACGGACCAACCAACAGGGTGTACAAAAATTATTTACCGTCTTCATCCATTTGATTCAAGGCATCAAAATAAATAACCAATCGTTCGTAACCTTCTTGTTTCGCTAGTTCGCCGGCTTTTTGAAACATGGTTTGTGCATAGCGCAACATGGAGTCTAGATCTGGGGGCATGTTGTCATCTTCTGGCATACATTCCTTGTAGAATCTTGTCAATATACTGTAAGGGTCAGTTGAATCAGGGGTCGCACCAACAAAATGATAAAATACCTGAACAAAAACAACATAAAATAAAAAAACATACAATGCATAAATCAACATAAACAAGTTCATTTTGAGAATAACATATTCAGTTCGATTGTGTATGGGTTTAACATCCAAACGACACAAACTAGGTCATTTCGGGACTCATATGGTTCAATTTTATTTCAACAATTCGCTTGCATTTAGGGGTCTTTAGCAGTGGGAGGAAACCGGAGGACTCGGGGGAAACCCACGAGGTTACACAGACGTCCCTACTCCTTATCACGTACAACTAGGGAATCGAAAAACACAGCAGTTGACTTTAATGACAGACTTTATGATACAGTGCGCACGTGCTAACCATTCAGCTATCAAACCCCCCTCAACAACAGACCTCATGATCTATTCCGCATGCGTGAGACTATACGGCCAACCCCGTGGCATGCTGGGACTTTAACAAATATTTCAGTTTACAATTACATACCTTATTAGTTTTATTTGTGAGTAGTTGTTTAGCTGAGTAAGCCATTAACGAGCTTTTACCTGCTCCAGGATAACCAACCAGTACTAGCAAGTCTGATTTATTACAATCTTGGTTTATATAATCTGTCATGGTGGACAGAGCTTCATCTCTTCCAACTAAAAACTATAATAAACATGATATCCATTTTATTAACACAAAGCCTTCAAAACTCTGGGATGTGTCACATGCACTACCTCTTATGAAGTATAGCATTTAAAAGGGTCCATAGATTTACCCAAAACAACCCATTTTGAACAAAAACAAAACATTTTTATTGTTTTTCCTTTATGATTAATATTTCCTTGCGCCAATTATCATTTGCACAGTTATGTGTGCAATTTGATGAGGATTTGGGTTAGATCAGTGATTCTCAACCAGTGTGCCGCGACATTTTGGACAGCACACTTAAGAAAATGCAAAAAACCATGTGATCCCAATTGAGTATTCACTGATGTCTACTGGTAACTTCATATAGCTGTGTTTTCTTTTATTTAGTTTGAGTCTATGGCTTGTCTGTGTCTACGGTTGTATGACGTCTGACTTACCATATTTTTATTTTGAAAAATTCAAATATTTTTCATCTATATTTAGCCAGGTGTGCCGCTATTTTTTTTATGTGTTCTAAGGTGTGCCGTTGGCAGAAAAAGGTTGAGAACCACTGGGTTAGATTAAGACTAATAGAGATCCTAAGCACTTAATAGATTTTGGCCTCTTTGTTAATTGAGACAAAGCAAGCAACAGTAACAAAGGAGACAAAAAATGAAAAGCTCAATGAAAAGTCTTAATTAATTTTTAGATTACATATTTAATTTGCCCTATGATGCCCTAAGCAAATGCTTTTTTGCTCAATGGTTAATCCAGCCCTGATGAGGATAATTTATTTTCCTCGCACAATTGTTTCCGCCTACTTGAAATTCCAACTGCCAATGAATCTTATACATGAATACAAATGTATACAATATACAATGAAGGATCTAAAAGGATCTAAGTTTTTGTCCCATCCACATGACTTGGCCAGTGACCTACTTCTCAATTACCATGCTCCACCCCACAAGATACGGAGAAAAACTTTACATGGATATGCCTGTTATTAGCTTCTGGAAATTCCACAACTTACGTGCGATCTTTGTAAGAGGAAATCCAACTGTTGTCCTTTCTGTATTTCAATGTCCGTCATTTCTTCTCCCAGTGATGTAGCTGGATACTGATTCTCAATGGACGCTTTAAAATGTTTGATGATATCTTCACCGAATGTTTTAAATCCCGTTAAAATGAGTTGTTCATCTTTCTCCTCAGCTAATTCACATTTATACTCCTTTATATTATCCCTATAATGTTCTCGTAATTTACCTAAAATATTTAAAGCGATAATTTCATATTTTTATGTTATTTTTTTAAAATGTATTAAAATAAAGCCTTAAAATAGATGGTATCTATAAACAGTCGTACCTTGTTAAAGAATAATCCTATTAATCCTATAATTCACTATTGCCAGTTGAGAAATTGGCAAAAATATCATTTTCAACTTCAAATTCAAAGTTTGAAGATAGCTATTCCATGGGGGGAATACAAAAAACAAAGGAGGTAATTTATTATTACCGGTGTGAATGATTTTTAAGTGTGTGAATGATACCTATGATCGTATAATAGCGAGTTGACAACTTATTGAGCAAAAGACATAGAAATAATAATGTTTTAACTTTCTTAGTAAATATGGTAGAGAGAAGAGTGGGTTTTAACATCCAATCACAACAAAATAGGCCCTTTTCACGGCTAAAGGATACCTGTGAAACCATGATGTTACTCCTTATAAAACGAAATGAAATGGGGTTTGACATCCTACTGTTCTACTCCTATACTGGACAAATGAAGACGAGCATACGTCATACAGTGTGCTATGAGGGAAATTTTGCCCGGACAGCGGCATTACGGCCTTCTCTTATATCAAATTCGAACTGCCAACGGATCTTTAACATGCACGCCAGTGTATACACAGAACCTTGGTTTTTCATCCCATCCAAATGACTAGACAGCTATCCTTGCCAGGCATCTGTCCTGCACACTGACAAGGGGAAACCACTCCTTATAGTGTAGGGGTTTAGGTTGCATAATAGTTTAACACGTGCACGCTACTTTATTAGGTTTGACAATAATTTGCTTCCACGTAGGGGTCTTTAGCTGTGGGAGAAAACAGGAGGACGTGAAGAAAATCGCTGAGGTGGGATAGACAAAGCTCCTCCTTGTAATGTACAAACAGGGAATCGAAACGACAGCACTTGACACAATGACAGACCTTATGGTCTAACGGGCCTTTGAACACTCCCTGAACAGTGACAGAGAAAAAATACATTTTTTTATTTCAACAACACATACACTCCAATATAGTTTTTTTTTAAACAATTTATTAGCATTGTATTTGTTGATTTAAAAGCAAAAAGTTCTTTTATTATTGCAAGCTATAAAATTTATATATTTTATATTGTAAATCTAAAGGTGTGAAAAATGTAAATAAATATTTACCTTTAAGAATTTGCAACGATTCAATGGATTCTGGTTTCGTTTCCTGATAACCTTTCAAAATATTTTTATCCTTGACGTTTGATAAAAAAACTGGATCGCGTAACATGTACAGTGCCTGCAAATCATAAATATAACATAAAAACGTTGATCATGTAAAAACATAAATATAACATAAAAACATAAATATAACAACATAAATATAACATAAAAACATAAATATAACATAAAAACATGAAAAACCTGGATCTCGTAGTATAATGCCTGCAAAACAAAATAGTAGTTATACATGAAATGAAATGGGGTTTAATGTCCTACTTTTCTGCACAGAAAAAGTTAGTATAAACAACAAGTCTTGAATTGAGGCCTGACAAATATACAGGACACTTTGACAATCTTGGGTAGCTTGTCAATACACAATTCGATGACCATCAGATACCAAATTAAATGTCAAATATTTAAACATACATTATGCAAGAGCATAGGCCTGAAATGTGATCTAAATTATTAATTAGACATTCATTAACTTATCAAGACCATAATCAACTCTCGATGTCAACGCTAGTCTGTGATATTTACTGGATTAGGATCCGATTTGGTGCCCAACTTTCATTCATGATTTAATCATGAAATGGATAATCGAGACTTTAGTAATGATGATCGAGGCTAGGCCAAAACTTCAATCGCTAAAATCTTGGTTCATAGTGGATCAATTTAAATGAAATTTTCAGCAAATTGCCTTTACATTATTTAGTTTTTAACTATTATAGTGAGAACTGTCAGCTCTTTAACTAATCTTCCATAATGTATATTTAAAATATTTTGGTATGAAATACATGGACGTCATGTGACAATATGTCCGACAACAGTGACATTATGGTGACTTTTTCTACAACATTTTACACCATAAAGAACATGTAACCGTGCTGAAACAATCAAATTAAATAGAATACTGAATATACACTTACGTGTGGATTTCTATCCCAATATGCACCTGTAAATATCTCTAACGCTGTCACGGACATCCCTGGTAACCAGTTATATCGGACTTTAATATCTTCTGGAACTTCTGCTGGATCACATACATATCCATATCTCTCAGATAACATACATAAAAAATACGGAAACTCGTTCTCTTCTCGACACCTGGTATTGGATAAAAAATAAAACGGGGTTTAATGTTGTTCTTTTCTACACAGATTGGGATAATAAAGACAAGCTTACACCATGTAATTTACCATAAAGGAAGTTTTGCCCACACATGAGCACTAAGGACTCTTCTTGCCAGATAAAATAAATGAAATGGGGTTTAACATCCAGCTAAAGAAGATGGACATCATGCAGTGAGCTATGAGGGAAATATTTGCTGGGATAGCAGTTCTACTAACAATAACAAATCAAATAAAATGGGGTTTAGTGTCGTACCAACTGGTCTAATAAAGTTGAGTATACGCCATTCACGGTGCAATGAGGGAAACTTTGCCCAGCCTACTTGTATTGAATTCCAACTGCCAAGGGATCTTTAACTTGGTCACCAAATGAAATGAAATGAGGTTTAGTGTCCTACTTTTCTGCACCAACTGGACTAATGAAGACGAGAATACACCATTCATCGTGCTACTGTCTATTCTCATTTTAAATTTCAACCGTCTAGAGTTCTTTAAAGTGCACACCAATTTGTACACAAATTCTCGTTTTTTTTTTATGTCATGAGATAAGAAATTTGATTTCAGGTAAAATTCCATTAGCTTCCAATCAGTTTGATTAAACTGCAGATTGGATGTTTGTTTTATTTTTATGGCCTCCACTCCCTTAAGATTTGACCAGATTGTTAGTGAGATCATATATTAAGGAAGATCAACTTTGACTGAATCGCGTAGACTGTATGATATCCAGCTTTTGTTCTATTCCATTTGGATGGCCGAATGGTTAGCATGTGTGCACGCTGTATCATAAAGTCTGTCATTTGTCAACTGGCGTGGTTTCGATTCCCCAGTTGTACATGACATGGAGTAGTGTCGCCTGTCCAACCTCTTGGGTTTTCTCTGGGTCCTCCGGTTTCCTTCCAAGCGAATTATTGAAATAAAATTAAACCATACGTTAGTCCCGAAATGACCTAGTTTATGTCGAGTGGACGTTAAACCCCATTACTCTCTCTCATATGACTACGGCACAAAATATGAGTTGACCAGGGAAATGGAAATTAAACATGATGATTCTATGGTTAGCTATAGAAATATAAATCATTTTAACAACAAAACCAGGGAGGTGGGGCAGGGGGGATGGGGAGGGGAGCTTACTTATTGCCAGATAATATCTCCACTGAGGTGTCAATACGAAATCTTGCCCCCTGTGCTGTGACCATTCCACCATATCAAGGATTTAACTGTACTGTTTCAATTTAGATGGACCTAAGGTTCGTTCCATCTACATATAGTTGTAAAGTTGTAATGAGAGAGAGAGAGAGAGAGAGAGAGAGAGAGAGAGAGCGAGAGTTTAACATTTAACATAATTCAATTTTATTACAATCACTTGCATGAACATGGGGGTAGGGGGTCTTTAGCAGGGGCAGGAAACCAGATAGAAAACCAAGGTTGGACAGGCGACATCGAAACCATGCGTAACAAACATACCTGTCAATCTCCGATAAACAGGCCATCAGAGTTTCTCTTGTATCTGCATCTTTTGGAACTCCCCAGCGTAAATCACACTCGATGAGTCGTATTTTACGTTCTTCACACCACTGACGTAAAACGGGAATAATAATCTTCACCAAATATTCACGTTCATTGTTCATATCTTTAAACGTACTACTGATAAATAAACGTACAGTTTTCCACATTTTACGCTGAAAAAAATATATCAACATGTCAAAAAAAAAGTTTATTATAGAGTTCAAGATAACAAATTATCAAATCAGTCATTTAAACATACATACAAGAGCTAAATCTGTCTATTACAGGTCTTACTTTAGGCCTGAAATGTTATCTAAATTATTAATTAGACATTAATTAACTTATCCAGACCATAATCAACTCTTGATGTCATCACTAGCCTGAGCTATTTACTGGATTAGGATCCGATTTGCTGCTCAACTTTCAGTTATGATTTAATCATGAAGTGGATAATCGAGACTATGTTTTTTATCGTACCGACTTTAGTATTGATTATCGAGGCTAGGCCGAAAATTCAATCAGTAAATTCTTGGTTCAAAGTGGATCAATTTTAATGAAATTTTCAGCAAATTCCCTTTACATTATCTAGTTTTTAATTTTTATAGTGATAACTGCCAGCTCTTTATCTAATCTCCCATAATGTATCTTTAAGTGTATATTACGCTGACAAACAAAATCTTTTTTTATGCCCAAACATAACAAAATAAAATTTAAAATTTAGTGTTTAAAACAACAAATTCTTATCTTAATCATATCTAACTTCAGACTGGGTTAGCCATTTGAAGTTTATACTGGGTTTGGTTGATTTTACACTGCCTCTTTTAATATATCTCTTAGACAATAGAGTTGTCATTATGGTGCTATTTTTATACACGCCAGTCAATTTGTTATGCAGGTGAGAGCGAGATAGAAATGGGGTTTAATTTCCATTTGACATAAACTAAGTCATTTCGGGACAAACATCATTGGTTCAATTTTATTTCAATACTTCGCTCAAACTTACACATAAGAGTCTTTAGTAGTGAGAGGAAATCGGAGGACCTTGCGAAATCCCCTGATCCTTGTCATGTACAAGCTGGGAATTAAAATCACGACATTTGATTCAATGACAGACCTTGTGATCTAACGTGCACCTAGCTAACTCCCTCTACATTAAAGTGATATATATTTCCCCTCTTCATTAGCCCCTGTCAGAGGAGACAAGTAGGACGTCAAACCCCATTTCATTAATAATATATTTCTTACTTTTAAACTATGGCTTCGATTACAAAATTGTGCCAATCCAGTTATGAAAATGAACAGGGGCCTGTTTCACGAAATTTCAACTAAGATAAAATCAAAATGTTATTGATTTGATTGAATAATATTATATTGATTTTAGTGCTTAGCCAATAAAAATTGAAGTATCTACTAAAATTGGATTTTATCTTTAGTTAAAATTTCGAGAAACAGGTGTTTAACGTCCTCCTGTTCTGCTCCTATACTGGGCTAATGAAGACAGGCATACGCCATACAGTGTGCTATGAGGGAAAGTTTTCCCCGACAGCAGTCATATGGCCTACTCTGTATTAGCTTGATAACGTTGAGAGAATACTCTACGAAACGTTGCCTTAAATACACTAGTAGCTGTTTTAAAGTATGTGTTTTGTTGTTACTCTATCCAGTTACTAAATACCATTTAAAGAACTTAATACGGAAATTGCAAATTTTTAAGTTATATTTTTAAAATTTATTAAAATAAAGCCTGAAAATAGATGGTATCCATAAACAGTCCTACCTTGTTAAAGAATAATCCTATTAATCCTATAATTCACTATTGCCAGCTGAGAAATTGGCAAAAATATAATTTTCCTCTTCATTTTCAAACGTTTGAAAAAAGCTACTCCATGGTGGAGAATAGAAAACAAGGGAGGTAATTGGGAGGTAATTGTGTTATTATTTCCTGTGTAAATGCGTTTTAAGTGTGAGAATGACACCTATGATTGTATAATTGTGAGTTGACAACCTATTGAGCAAAAGACATAGAAATAATTACGTTTTGACTTTCTTAGAAAATTTGCAATTTCCGCTTTAATACTGGTGATTGCGAGACAGGGGTAATTTTATTTTAGTCACGATTGTCAGGCCCATGGTTTAATGAGGTGACTTACCTGTGTGTCTGGAATTATTTTTGGTGGGTTTTTATCAATGAGTTTATCTACAGCCTTCCACCATTGTTGCCCGTCATCACTTATGTTCATATCCTTCATTAGATTGTTGATATTCATGTCCAGCCATTTCACAGCCCTTGGGGTAGATCCCTGAATTTTTTCCGACATAATGTTATCTTGAAGTGTCTTGAGGTTTTTGGAGGTGCTGTTACTATCAGGTTGTGCTGTGGACTCACTTGAAATTGGTTTAGAATTGCCAGAACTATCTTGCGATGGAGAGGACCGCTTCGAAGCTGATTTTATCTTACCGTCTGTGTTCTTTGACGATCCACTACCCATTGAAACAGATGATTGACAGGTGGATTGGTTGTTACTTTCGACTAAATTACTACTGCTACTACTACTACTGTTTGTTGATCTGTAACTTCTATACATCTAGACACAGTCCAATACCCACCATGTTTACCTCTATATCCCACTATAAGATAGAAAGATTAAAACTTTTACTGTGACATAAACAATGTGAGAACACAAATTAAAGATTAAAGTTACATTATATAAGAGCTAAATCTGCTTATTGCAGGTCTTTTATCTCATTTCAAATGTTATTAATTACACATTTATTAACATGACAAGCCTATTATCAACTCTCTAGCTAGACCACCAGATTGCAGAGATTTAAATAAGTAAGTATTGATACTAATTAATGATTGAAGATATGACACGGGGGAGCCATGATATTAGCAGTATTAAATGAAATGAAATGGGGTTTAATGTCCTACTGTTCTGCTCTGAAGTGGGCTATTTAAATGAAGACTGGCATACACCATACAGTGTGCTATGAGTCACTATGGTCTACTCTTATATCAAATTTCAACTGTCAAGGGATCTTTAACGTACACGTCAATGTGTACACGGGACCTTGTTTTTTTGTCCCATCCGAACGACTAGACAGCTGTCCTTGTCAGACCCCCCATCCTGCAGCAGTATTAAAACAAGAACACTGTATGATAGTAATTAAAGAAGATTAACTAATAAATGGATTAATATGTCAACTACCACAATGATTGATTAATCAATATCAAGACAAATAGATTTAACACTTTCTTCTCTAATTGTGTAAATTAATTGTATTCATTCATTATCTAAGGCAGACAATATTTTTATTATATAGCAACAGATTTGTTCTTACTTACAGCAACTCAGATGGTCACTTCACTTGCAATAATATAACTCATCTCAGGGTGTGTGTGTGTGTGGGGGGGGGGGGGGGGGTCTGGGTTATAAATTATACTTATTAACCTGCTGAATAAGATGCTTTGAGATATAGACCATGACATATTCATATTTTTAAATTAATTAATTTATAGGCCTATATATACCAACCTAGTTATAAATTATGCAATTAATCGGATCTCGTAGTCAACTCTAGTGACCATGTCTGATAGAGGCTAGGGGTGATGGATGACCGAATGGTTAGCACGTGCGTGATGTATCATACGGCCTGTCATTGAGTCAACTGGTGTGGTTTCGAATCCTCGGTTGTACGTGACAAGGAGTAGGGTCGCCTGTCCAATCTCGTGGGTTTTCTACGGGACCTCCGGTTTCCTCCTACTGCTAAAGACCCATACACGCAAGTGAATTATTGAAATAAAATTAAACCATGTTTGTGTTGAGTGGACGTTAAACGCCATTCTCTCTCTCTCTCTCTCTCTCTCTCTCTCTCTCTGATAGGGGCTAGCAGAGAGAGAGAGAGAGAGAGAGAGAGAGAGATGGGGTTTATCGTCCACTCGACACAAACTAGGTCATTTAGGTGTAAAAGTGATGGAAATAGAAAAGGGAGTCGGATCAAACAAGATCGCTGGGTTCTTTAGCAGTGGGAGGAAACCGGAGGATCGAAACCACGCCAGTTAACTCAATGAAACAGCTTATATGATACAACTCGCACGTGCTAACCAATCGGCCATCGTTACTAAAAAAACGTAAGTAGTGATCACCAAGCCATGGTGCCAAGTACGGATCAGTGAGGTTGTGGAGACAGGGGAAGATAAATGGTTGAAATATATAAACTCGTCTTACCTGTAAAAGATGTACACACATACGTCAATCACTGTGGCGTAAATCGAATGGATCGACTGACTGAATATCAATCAATATTGATATACACTCTACACTACTTGGTAACTTTTGATCGTGTGCACTCATCTGTTCAATCGACGCCATTACGATACAACCGGTTGCCATGGTAAACAATAACAGTGGGCTCCTGTTTGTACCGTAATATTTTATTTAGTGAATGGCAGTCTTCTATTACATTTATATGGCCGTAGCCTAATTTCATTCTACTCGCCATTCGGCCCCTTGGCGACGTTTTGATGTCATTAAATCACCTTACAATATTAATACCGCGAGTTAATAGTGACGCGTGTATGTCACGTAGTGTGCTGACACTAAAGAGAGCGCGGGAAATATAGCGCGGAGGGGGGTCAACCTAGCTGAAAAGTGTACCAATTTTCTCCTATGGTGTCAATGCATAGGCGTAGGAGCCGGGGGAAAAAATTTATTTTCGGGCAATGAAAAATTCGACGACCTTTTTTTTCTATTAACGTTTAGAGAAAAAATATAACTAATTTATTTCTATGAGATCCACACTGCCCGAAAAGTATTTTCTCGTCTTTTTCTTGTCCACTGCATGCCCGAAAATATGCCCGAAGCTCTCTTATGATATGTATGCCCGAAAAAACGGTATTGATTTCGGGCAATTTTCTCTTATGCCCCCCTGAATTACTTTGAGCTCCTACGCCTATGTGTCAATGCATGTATATTTGGTATCATCAGAAATGCAAGTCTGCCGGGTTTCAGGTGGTATTCCACAAGGCCATGCCCCCCCCCCCCCCAAAAAAAAAGAAAAAAAACTAGGCTAGATTAGCCCAAAAGTGTACCACATGAAAATCGTACAGCAGCGTACCGTACATCTTCAGGTATTACAACCAGCGGTTACCAGGCAAGATACGCCCACATTTTGCAAGAGATGGATAGAAAACAAGCTAACAAAGGGCGATAATCCAGGAGGTTATAGTCTGAAATGAGCGAGTATCGAAATGGACTGAGATATTTGAATCATAAAGATATATTTTTTAAAATAAGTTTTATCAAAATTGGATAAAAATTGTGACTATTAGAGAGTCCACAACTTTGGTATTACATACTTTTACACTGTTTGCGTAAGAGGGGCGGCCATTTTGTCTTGCAGATTTGGTCCGATTTTCACGAAATTCGAACTCAACTCAGAGTGTAACGGCCGGTGATATAATCAGTTTTTTTTTAAATCAAGGGCCATAATTGAGAATTCAGGAAGTAACGATCCGATATGCGTGAATAGCGAAAGGAATTTATTTTTATATTTAAAGATACATTATGTAAGATTTAGATAAAGAACTAGCCATTCTTGCTATAATAGCTCGAAAGTAGATGACGTAAAATGAATAATTTGAAAATTTCATTCAAATTACTCTATTGCAAGCGAAGCTATTAGCCTTTGAAGGTTTGACAGACGTGTGCAATAATTTCAACCACCGTACTGGTTGATCGAAGCGGAGTCTCGGTCCTCCATATTTGATTAAATCAAAGTATCGCTGAACCATTCTAATCTATTTAATATTGGAGAAATCAGATGCCATCGAGAGTTGATTAAGGCCTGGATCAGTTAATTAATGTCTAATTAATACTTTAGAAAACATTTCAGGCCTAAAGAAAGACCTGCAATATGCAGATTTAGCTCTTGCATAATGCATGTTTAAAGGAAAGTGCTACAGATGGTAGGCCATATTTAAATGTTGTTTAAAGAAACCAAGTCTTCAACACAATATCATCCACAGTCTTTTAAATTGCAAACACGACTTATTGGTCAATTTAAATCAACATTGATGTTGTTATATTACCGAGAAAGATGGACGTCTGATATTCAATATTTAAAACAAAATGAACATTATAAAACTGACACACAATTCGCGTGCCAGAATGATTTTGAACGCCATTTATATGAAGCGACTCGATGAAAGAGACTAAACATATCCCATGTAGGAGAATACTACCGGTGTCGACTGGAATAACAAGACGCCAAATTCTGCCATTCAATTCAGACTCTTTCGCTGAACATAACTGATTAGAAACGATTGAATGTAAATAAGTTTATATACATTATTATGTGCGTTGACACCCATTAGAGTCAATTTCTAGGTACAAAAGAATAGTGATTTAGCTCCTTTAATGTGTATTTACTTAAATGAACTTGTCGTTACTATCGATCTATAAGATACCAGGGGTTGACAAGGGGTCCTGATCCTTGCTCCGATAAGGTTTCCCATACTATGGGTGGGGGTGGGTGGGGGTCGCCCCAACCGGGCGATAAATCTGTTTGAAAAACTGTATGTAAATGGTACTTTCTATCGCATATCATGGTGTTTCTAGCTTATGCACATATTTAGGCTGTGACATTCTTAATAATTCATTAAAAACAACGTAAATTTATGACTAACTGGGGGGGGGGGGGGGCTAATCTACGCAATAACATTAATTACGTAAGAGACCCTTAAAACTACCATCATCCTTTTCAGTCCACGGATCGCTTAACAATTTGTGACCTAATATTAGGGCGTAAATTCTTAACAACTAGATATATAACAACTTTTAACCCCGGTGAAGATGGTGCAAAATGAAGAAAATTGCACTTGAAAAGGGAACGCTAAACATATGTTTGGAATTCTTAAATTTAATTTTGAATCGAAAATAGAATTCAGTAATCATGAAAACCTTATTAGATATATATTAAAAGCAATATCCAAATGGAAAATTTTCCGGCGTGGTTTCCCCTTGTCTGTGATGCAGGACGGAGGGCCTGACAAGGACAACTGTCTAGTCGTTCGGATGGGACGAAAAACCGAGGTCCCGTGTACACATTGGCGTGCACGTAAAAGATCCCTTGACAGTTGGAATTCGATATAAGAGTAGGCCGTAGCGCCGCTGCCGGGGCAAAATTTCCCTCATAGCACACTGTATGGCGTATGCCCGTCTTCATTAGCCCAGGTTAGGAGCAGAACAGTAGGACGTTAAACCCCATTTCATTTCATTTCCAAATGGAAAAAAAATCCCCATTATGGATTCTATTTTCATTGCCGTTTCAAATTTATAACATCTGGGCAACTCAAATTTAGTTTTAGGTGTCAGTACTGAACCCAGTAGCCTCAAAAACCTGGATTTCGAAATTAATATTTTGAGATCAGAATTCAACCAAATGAACCATGTGAAAGATATCCAAAAGGGAAAAATAACGATGAACTTAAAATCTGCCATTTTGGATTCCATTTTGGCAGCAATATTGGATTTTCAAAATTCATTTTTAAATCCAGAGACATCGAAAAACATATAGCAGAGATCGTAAACGTCATGGTTGACAATGCGATTTTATTACCAAATTTGGCAGCCATTTTGAAAAATATTTTTTTAAATTTGGTTTGCTCAAATTTGATATTTTCGGAACATTTCGCCTCTATTACCACTTTGTATTGTAAGATTTTAATAAAAGTATATTTATTGTTCCAGGGGGGTTGGATGGCCGAATGGTTAGCACGTGCGCGCTCTATCTGAAGGCCTGTCATTGAGTCAACTGGCGTGGTTTCGAATCCCCGGTTGGACGTGACAAGGAGTAGGGTCGCCTGCCCAACCTCGTGCGTTTTCTCCGGGTCCTCCGCCCCCCCCCCACTGGTAAAGACCCCTACGCGCAAGCGAATTATTGAAATAAAATTAAACCATATATTAGTCCCGAAATGACCTAGTTTGTGTCGAGTGGCCGTTAAACCCCATCTCTCTCTCTCTCTTTCTCTTTATTGCCCCACCACTGAAACACACTGGTCACGAGATATCATTCGCAGAAACTTCCTGAAGACCTAATTACGTCATTTTCCCTTGGCCGAATTTGAGTATAATGCTATCTAATGTAAGTATGATTAAACCAAACTTCATTGGTTTCTTTTGCAATTTGTGTGGGATCAATCCACTTTTGAGATGAACATGCCCCGCCTATTTGTATTATTGAAAACTGTATTCTGTATTTTAACACTTTGACATTGGTATTGTGAAGCGATGGAAATTGCAAATTGTAAAACTAAGGTACGTATTTTGAACTGCTGACGAATGTATTTTGCACCCGTCATATATTACTTCTACACGAGGCCCCGCCTTTATGTGTTAAAGACGTAAATTTAAAATGTCGGAGAAAGCCATCTATATCGTTTCGATTTAAAAAGAGGGGATTTGTACCTGTATCAGGTAGGATTTTATGCTTAATTGTAGTTTGATGTGGCAGAAATGTTATAAATAACAATAATTAATCGTTGTTTTGAAGAAAAAATTGTCAATTTTGCTTATTTGAAGCCCGATGTGATTAGCGTTCAGGGTTTGCCACTTGAAACTATATAGCACCATCTCTTACCTCGAAACACGGAGGGATGAGAAATGAAATAAAGTGGAGTTTTTGAAATGCCTAGTGTTTCTGCTCCGAACTGGGCTAATGAAGACGGGCATACGCCAAACAGTGTGCTATGAGAGAAATTTTGCCTGGACAGCGGCACTACGGCCTACTCTTATATAGGATTTCAAATGTCAAGCGATCTTTTACGTGCACGCCAATGTATACACGGGACATCGGTTTTTCGTACCATCCGAACGACTAGACAGATGTCCTTGTCAGGCCCTCCTGACAAGGGGAATCACGCCGGAAAATTTGAATGAACTTTCTCGGCCAATGCAGGGATCGAACACCCGACCTCCAGGCTAGCGAACCAGCGTCTTACCCTCTTAGCCATCGTGAAACCCCCCCTCTCTTGCCCCCGCCTCGCGGAGGGTTTGTTATCTAGGGGGTGTCATACAATCAACAACGATATGGGCTTAACATGTTCATAAATTTAATTTTGTCTCATTCAAAATGTCAGGGACACCGGTACGGCGGGGCTATGTGTGGAATTCTCTCTCCCCCCCCCCCACCGACCCCTGCCAGCCAAAGTCCCGCTTTCGGTACAGTTTTGCCGGCTGTGCTTCAGCAATATATCTTTCCAAACCTTCGGGGTTGAAATGGTTCATCCAAGGGTCATTAATTTAGGAGAAATAAAATGAAATGGGATTTAACGTCCAACTGTTCTGCTCCGACTAGACGAATGAAGACAGGCATACGCCATTCAGTGTGCTGTGACCGAAAATATGCCCGGATAGTGGCTAAGATCTTTTACGTACACGTCAATGTCTACAAGACCTTATAAATGTTAGCCCCCCACCCTCAGAAAAGTAGGAAGTTAAACCCCATCATTTCATTCATTCACTGCATGGTGATAAAAATGAATGCCTTACATCAGTGGTTGGGAAACTACGGTCCACGAAGCCCTCTCATCCGGCCCACCAGACCCTTCAACTGCACCTGACAATTTATGAATAATTTTATCTCCAAATGAAATAAAAAATTGAAATTGCTTATTGTTGAAATGTTGTGCCCATACGAGCGGCTTTTGACCTTTTGACGCCAGACATTGATTAATCAATCGGAGTTGACGTTTCGAGGGGTTTACCCACAGTTCCGTGCAGAGCACGCTAAGAACACGCCGTAACAACCCGTTTCATATAACAACTAATCCAGATCCCAGTGTTGCGAAGACAAGTAAAACGAAATTTTGATTTATAAAAAACAAAACGAAATAGGATCTGTGTTTAAATCAAATCAGAAATTTTATCTTTTTATTATTTGAGAAACAATATAATGTTTTGAATAAATAGTGTTAGCGTTCAGAAAAGAATTTTAAAATTAAGGAAATTAAATTACAATCGATCAGAAGTTCTACTTTATACTTCGTTAAATTTTTCACGTTGACATACAGAAAGATTAATTTTCACAATAAATCTATTGTTTCTGGTAATGATGACCTGCTCAGGTTAAGCTGAAATTAAATTAAAATACAAGTACTATTAAATATGGGTATAAAAAGCTCAATTCTTTACCAAGCTCATTTTGAGACCAGTATATGGGTAGGAAATGAAATGGAGTTTAACGTCCTACTGTTTTGCTCCTAAACTGGGCTAATGAAGACGGACATACGCCATACAGTGTGCTATGAGGGAAAGTTTTGCCCGGGCAGCGGCGCTATGGCCTACTCTTATATCAAATTTCTATCCGAACGACTAGACAGCCCTCCGTCCTGCATCACTGACAAGGGGAAATCACGCCGGAAAATCGGGATGAACTTTCTTGGGTAGAGGGTGGGGTGACGAGTTTAACACTGATAACGTTTTGAGGGGAAGACCAACGATTTTCAAAAAGATTTCCATAAATTTTAAATATGTATTTAGAAAGAATCGTTTCTGTAACATAATCAAAAGAGTTATTGTAAGCGAGAAAATTTTAAAACCGGAAATGATGTAATTGGTTGAACACGCTCGCTGGTCCCTGAAGTAAGCGTACAGATTATAAGGAGCATGTTTCGCCGTCTATTTTATTCACGCATCGTCTTTTGGTCGTAAATCTGATTAAAGGGACTGTTTATTTGGATATCATAAAATTATGTTTTATAATGTTTAATACACAAATCCGCCGCATAAATTCTCTCATACTGAACAGTAAGCTATGTCGTTTGCTTGACAGTTTACAATTGGTAGATATTTGTCTGCTTCAATGTTTTTGTGCGCAGCATGTTACTAGTAAGCATGTGACTATACGCCGTACATCGCTCAGGGCCGAATCAATCGAATGATTGAATGGACACCATCAGTCGATTGCATTACCCTTCACGTGTGACTTTACGCCGTACATCGCTCAGGGCCGAATCAATCGAATGATTGAATGGACACCATCAGTCGATTGCATCACCCTTCACGTGTGACTTTTGACGTCATGCAGTGGAGATTGGCTAATGCGTTCTACAATTGGGGGAATGTTTCGGCGAACCGAACACACACCGCGACAATGACAATTCGGACGATTATATCAAACATGTTTGATTTGGGAGAATACAAATTCGACATCGAGACACAGGACACCCGGACTAGACGAATTTCGGCGGCGAACGATTCGACTATGGTGTCCACCGCTTTACAATATGGTGTTGGTGGATGGGCAAGGGTTATAAATAATCAGAAACACATTCGGTAAGGGATCATTTAGAATCCTCTCATCCCAACCAGTCTGATTTACAATAAGGAAACACGACTTACTTGGACTATTAAAGCATTTCGTATTGTTGACACCAACTTGACAACCATTATGACACACGCCATCTTCTATTCTACAGCCCCCTGTATTACAGTAGGAACATGTCTGTAGACACAAACCATTACATCCCCAATATCCATCTTTACAACCAGTCAAACAAACACCATCTAATTGTCGACATGAACCATTACAGGTAGGACATGATTCTTCACATAAGTCACCATAGTAACCATCTTTACATCCGGTACATTTCCCTGTTTTCCTATCACACTTATCATCCTGACAATTGGTGCTGCATGCAAACTCACACACATCACCATAGGAACCATCTTTACATCCGGTACATGTCCCTGTTCTGGCATTACATTTACCATTCTTACATCTGGTGCTACATGCAAATTCACACCTGCTACCATAAAGATCTCCCTGACAGCCATTAGAACATGATCCTATCATTTTCCCACAGATGTTGTTTGTACAATTCGCTGGACATCTAATGTTACAATTGGTACCGTAAAAACCATCAGGACAATTTTCTAAAGTAAATATCAAATTCAGAACATATATACTCTCACAGTAAAAGAAGAATAATATTTTGCTTAACCAGTTATACAATTCAAAATATATATACTCAGTGAAAGGAGGGATAATACTATGGACAAGATTTACTGCTGTAGACTTGGATGCACGGTAAAGATACACAGACAAATATCCAAGAACCTCAGCTCTTTTTAAATCTTTCACCCCTCCATGTAGTAATCCCGCGTGTCACATTGAATTCTCCTACTTTTGACTAAATAGTTATTTGAGGAATGGGGATTGGATGGCCGAGTGGTTAACACACATACGCGTTGCATCACTAGTCTGTCATTGATTCAAGTGGCGTTGTTTTGGTTCCCATCCGGCACAAATTTATATAACAATCCAGCATTATTTTCATGTATAATATAGCGATCCAAAAACACAAACGTGTTCATTTGAATTGATCCACCATTATAAAACTCACCTTTGCGCAGACCGGAGGTCACAGGTTCGTGGCCTGTGCTTGGCCAATATTCCAAATTTAGGAATGGAATGTTATCGTGAACGAAACTTCTTGCTGTACTTCAATTAGCTCAGTCGGAGCAGAACAGTAAGACGGTAAACCCCATTTCATTTCAATTATGTATGATTCGATTTTATGTAATAATTATTTATGTATGTTCAATACAAAAACTTTAGTGGTGTCAAAATTGACAGTTTAGGCAGTTAATTGAAGTACCGTAAGACTTATCGTTTACGGTCATATTCCATTCCCAGATTTGTAAGTTTCATCATGGCAGACCAATTCAAATGAATCTTGATTGTGTTTTTCTATCACATAATTCTACATGAAAATAATGTTGGATTATTATAAATTTCTGTCAGTTGTGGCACAGAATGAATCATTTCGGCGAACAAAAAAGAATCACGGTAAAACCTTGACTAAATATGCATTAAAAATATAAGTGACAGGTTGACACATAAAAAGAGTTATAGAAACAAAACATAGCTGGTTCTATGTGTCAACAAAATATTACCAGATTACACGTGATTGGAAATTTACTAATTGCATCATTTGGCTCAAGTAACCAATCATATCAGTAATTGCACAGGTTCAGGGTCATACATAGCCTAATCTGTGCGTGATTTCCATATGTCCGATAAAAGAAATCATGGCAAACCTTTAAGGCAGATTTTCATTAGATTCCGGAGGGATTACCATCTGAGTTCCTAGACCATATGATGTAGCAGTTTCTATCAGCAGACTCGCCCAGCGAGTCTGGCTGGATGAGGTTTGAGAGAATGCCTTTATTCTATCATGCATTGTACCATATGTAAGCAGCTATGATATATAAAACGTAAAAACGAACTGTTACAATGTTATTTCTGATACGACAAACGTCTTGAATAACTGAGAAAACAGTAAGAAGTAAATACACAACGTGCAGGCGAGGAAAAACACCAAGTGAAAATACTAGGCGATCACAAGGCTACTAAAGTATGTAGTAGGAAAGGATGCATGGGTCTTACGTAGGATGTGGCGACCGGATTTGGTTCCCCGCTCTCCACGTCTGACAGAAAGGCCCATGATGCTACATTTACTGTTACAGATATCTTGTTTTCACCTTTCTAGTGAGGATATACTGCTCAAATTTTTTGTAGTTTTCAAGCTACAGAAGTCAGTCGTAGGTATCGCATGAACCGTCGTAATGAACCGTACATAGGTCGTGAAGTATCGCATGAGAAACCGATTAGCAAGGTGTTTGAAATCATGTGTAATAGAGGTTATTTGTGTACGAAATGATGTGACGGTAGTTTTAACACAATTGTGTACTGTCGTATGAGAAGCCGATGAGGATAATTTTAAAATACCTGTTTAATCGTGGATATTCGTACACACAAATCACTACATAGTGACAGGTGCTTTAGACTGGGGGGGGGGGTCGTTGAATGGCCGAATGGTAAGCATGTGCGTGCTGTATCATAAGGCCTGTCATTGAGTCACAAGTGAATTAATGAAATAAAATTAACCATATGTTAGTCCCGAAATGACCTAGTTTGTGTCGAGTGGACTTTAAACCCCATTTCTATCTATCTATCTAGCTTTAGACTTGTTAGACCAGACCTGTTATTAGTATAGACCAGACCTGTTATTGGTATAGACCAGACCTGTTAATAGTATAGACCAGACCTGTTAATAGTAATATACTTACCTGTGAATATTTGTAGTTCACAAATACTCAAATATTCGCGTTGTATTGAAACAAAAACGAATCTAGCCGATAAAGATGGTACTGATGGTTGATTACATCTATTTACGGTGTATACAGATTGTGCTGTTGATGTATGGTCTTTATAACATGGTGAAGCTGATGTAAAACCTGCTTCACCACAGTGACTAGTAGAACTCAATCTAACTTCAAATCCTTTCATCCAGTTAATACCTGAGAACAATATGAATTGTATGTAACCGTAATGTGATAAAACTAAAAGAAATCTGAAACTTGTCACTTTTACTATTTGTTCAAACCCACTCATCCCTTTGATGATTTATGATCATATAATAAAATATGTTTAATAATAAATAATAAATACATCAACACAACCGAACCTTCAGTCTCATTTCGCCTCATGTAAACAAAAAATAGAGTGGAGTTTGACTTGATAGAAACGTGGAAATTAAACTATGAGTATGGTACGTTCACTGCATGTGACCTAAACACAGTGTAAAGACTTATAAGGAAAACAAAATCTAATTTTGTTTCTGACAGAATTCAGGAACATAAAGGTGATATCGTTTTAATGAGACACATGCCTTTCTATTGAGTGCCATTTGCACTATCACTCAATGTGCGTCCATATCCAAAAACAGCAATGTAAAAACTAAGTTGATTAAAAGAATATCGAACTAGATATATTGAATGTGACTGTCCCCGTTTAGTTATAATCTTACGTACCATCATCTGCTCTGTTAAATATCTTCACACTACTGATATCAAAACTCTGTTTTAGATCGACACACCACCAGTTGTAGTTTATGTGGTTTTGAGTAATCGCACAACTTCCACCAGAATAATATTGATTATTATTACCATCCACAGCTCTAGATGAAACGTCACCAGCATACGTTGAACTTTGCCATGTTGGTTTATTAAGAGCCACATTAAAGGATCCTAAAAAATATGAAGACATTCATGCCATTGTAAATTTCAATAGTTATTTTACGTCCACGTCAATGTGTACACGTGTTGACCTCGTGTTTATACACCAACACGTAATTTGCTGAAAAGCGTGTCAACGCAAAAGGCGCAATGGTTTTTAACAGAGTCTTTTCAAATTTGTCATGAAAGAATTAACATTCAGCATTCTGCAACGTTCCATTCCAGAAATATCCCTCACTGCCTGAAACTTTGTGAAGGACATATTATAGGCTACAGTATTTCCAGTTTTTGTTTTTAAAATAAAATTGGCGTGTGGCATTTGGGCTATTAAATGATGTATCCTATCGATATTCACCATTCTGCGACCTGCCGTAAAGGAGTTGGCGAAAACCTTCTGAATGCAATCAATCGCGGCACCAGTTTTAGGATGTTCGATGACTGTCCAAGACGTGATCGATTGGTTTAAATCTATTTGGAATTTAACTTGTGGTAATGGAATGGGAGTTCGGATTTTGTATACTCTCACAGTACAGAACAGCAGTAAAACGCGTTTGCGGCCGTCTAGAGAATGTTCAAAATTGTCTTGGTGACGACCCACATCCCCCCTGAACCACCAGTCAGATTCTAATGAGTATCCTTTGGGGGAGGGGGAAGGGAGCTGGGGGCATTTCAGTTTTAATTCTATGTATTATCTGTGATACATATTTTTATTTTTTTTTATATAAATATATTTATGTGCATGATCACCATATGTTTGACTCAACATAGCTCGACACGAACTAACTTGCCATAAAGATCCATTTCATTTCATTTTATATCAAATATGCAAGGAAATTTACTCAGTTTTGTCATATTTCCAATCGCTTATTGCTATTAAAGGATTATGCAAGGAACATAACTAGAATTGCATGATAAATGGGCTTGCTTATCAACGTATCATCCGCCCTTGTTCGCATAGATGATAATTCGAAAGGGTTATTAGAGGACGAACCTTATCGATAGTCGATCAGCGTTTCAGATGTACATCTCCGTCTTTAAAAACCTTGTGAAGATAACAAAGTCTACAGTCTTTAATGGATTTATTTCAAATTTGGTGTGATGTGGCCATGAGAGGACGAACCCTATCGATTTTCTACGTTCTGTGACTTTTCAATCCAGGTTATATCCCCTTTGCTGAAAACTCTTTCAATGCCATAGATGCAACAATTTTTAACACATTTTTTCAAGATCAGATGTCTTGAAAGCATCCCTGATGTGATTTTGTCAAGAAAAAAGTTGTCCTATCGGACAAGCTGCTGCGTGGCGTTCTTTCATGTCCCATTAGAACGAAAGGTACATTCACAGAAACTACCCCTGGGAGTGAACATTCCCCCGCCGTGCATAATATCTAGAACTGGGATCACATGGAGAAGATAGCATTGCTCTGGACTACGACAATGGTCCGTGTTCAGAAAGTGAGCACCATTCTCAGAAACTATATTACCATATTCCAAACCGAATAACCCCTTCTGAAATGAGATTTAACGTCCGACTGTTCTGCTCCGAACTTTGCTAATGAAGACGGGCATACGCCATACAGTTGCTATGAAGGAAATTTTGCCCGGACAGCGGCACTACGGCCTACTCTTACATCGATGGACCTTTTACGTGCACGCCAATGTGTACACGGACCTCGTTTCTTCGCCCCACACGAACGACTAGACAGCTGTTCTTGTCATTCCTGCATCACTGACAAGGGGGAACCACGACTACAAATCTGGATGAACTTTCTCGGCCAGTGCAGGGATGAAAACCCCTTCTACTAAAATGTTCATCAATAAAGCATACACGAGGTATAATATATAAAACTTACCCAATACAAAATAAACATAATTATACTAAAAACATAATGAGGTATTAAATATATAAAACTTACCTAATATACAATAAATATGACTGGATATAAGCAGACAGATAAATACTCTATCTATAGTCAACATTTTATCTATAAAAATGTTCTTCTTGTCGACCAATTCTCCTCTAAGATTCACTCACGACCTATTTTATTTACTATACCTCGAACTATTATACTGAGCACACTCCCACAAAAACATACAAGAAAAATCTTATGTGCCCTTAAGCCGAGTTCAAACGTTTGCCACGCACCCTCGTCCACCCTACTTGGTTTTCAAATTGTCTATCCATTAACTTTTATTTTACCTTTTATTTTGAATCAATACATGGAATTGATCAAACGGTTTCTCTGCAGCTTGTGTCCATGGTGACCACAGTTCTGATCGTCGGTACTATTTTAACCATCTCTATTATAAATCCCAAATGACTGGTGCTTGGGACACTGTTGGAAAACAGCAAACAAACATTTCCCCGTGTGTACAGAACTTAATAAACAAACTCTGACCTATTAATCCGAATAATATGAATTTGAATGTGTTTTTATTATTCAAGTCAATCTATTATAAACAGATAACAACTGGCTCAAACCGGACGAATCTTTTAAAGCATCGAGTCATACTGAATATTCTTCAATGCATATTAAGCAGCATTACTATTCAAATCATTTTATTACAAACTTTTGCTGCTTATTATAAATCAACAGGACGTCAACCAGGATCATACTGTTATATCATTGAGTCATGCTGAATATTCTTCAATAAATATTAACCTAGATTGCCAATGGTGTATAATATAGCAATAATATTCAGGACCGTATTCAAATTATGTTATTGCAAACTCAAACTTTACCTTACCGAGTTTTACTCGTTTTAGTACAAATACTATTATCTGAGAGATTTGCTGGTTCCCCATTACTGTGAAATACACGGTAGTTGAATTATACAAATTAAAAACTAAGTTAAAGATACATTCCCACGTACCAACTAATTACTAAATACCACCACATACTTTCCACATATTATTAACTATTTACTACAAAATACCACCACGTACTTCCTCATTACTGTGAAAAACTCAATGGTTGAATTATACAAATTATAAACTAAGTTAAAGATATATTCCCGCATACCAACTAATTACTAAATACCACTAAATACCTCCCACATATTATTAACTAAATACAATAAAATACTAACACATATATACTGAGCGCCATGGAAAACGCATCACTTTTTTTCCCAAATATTTTAATATTTAATTACTTGGTGGTTTTGTATGTATAATATTATGCAATACTATGAACTATTGTTTCACACAATGCTCCCAAACGCAAAAAAAAAAAAATCGGCTCGTGTGCACAAAAAAATTGCACGAGATGCACATGAAAAACCCAATATTCACGTGCAGCATTGTATGTGCGCCCTTTAAATGCATGTTTTCAACTTAATGTGCAGTACATGAACTGTGAAACGTCAATCTGTCGTAATTTGTTGTTGGACGTGTGAAGGAATCGAGCTAGAGATGCCGAGACTTACTGAAAATCAACGGAATGAAGCCATGGGAATGCCCGGGGCTGGCATGTCTACACGTGCTATTGCCAGACACTTCAATTGTCATCAGTCCACTATTGTAAGGTTGGTGGAACGTGTTCGAGTTACTGGATCAACACGTGATCGTCAACGTCCTGGACTCGAACAGGTGCAGCAGTCGTCGGAAGACAAGGACCAGTAAGTGCCAACACCGTAAGACGTCGTCTAAGAGAAGTAGTACTCCGTGCACGACGACTTTATGTTGGAGCTATCCTCAGGGATCATCACCGTCAGCGACGTTTGATATGGGCTCAAGGACACCAGACATGGAGAAGAGTAGACTGACAAAGTTTGCTCTTCAGTGATGAGAGTCGCTTTCATCTTTATCACGCTAATGGCCGTCAACGTGTGTGGGGACGTCTTGGGGAACGTCTTGCAGACTGCTACGTCTTTGAAACGAATCGATTAGGTGGGGGAAGTGTAATGGTGCGGGGAGGCTTCACATTTCATCACCGGACCGCCCTTACACATTTGCAGGGGTCGCGTTAATGCTGTAGCCTACCGTGATGATGTCTTGCAACCAATTGTTGTTCCGATGTTTCGAGCGCACCCACAACTCCAGCACTTAAAACAGGATAATGCACGTCCGCATACCGCCCGTTTTAGTATGAACTACCTGGCTGCTAACAACATCAATGTCTTGGACTGGCCAGCCATGTCTCCGGACATGGCACCGATAGAACATGTCTGGGATGAGATTGGACGCCGTCTGTATCGGAGACCACACATGCACACCATTGCTGCTTTGGAAGCTGCTCTTGTCCAAGAATGGAACAATTTGCCCCGGGCCTTCTTTCAAACATTGGTAAATTCCATGCGACGTCGCTGCACAGCGTGCGTAAGAGCCCGTGGAGGACACACGCGCTACTGACATCTGTGTCGTACTTTTAAAGGTTTCGGAGTTATGATCCCCGAGCGAAGCCGGTCTGTTCGGGGTTGACAGCTACACTAGGTCTGCCCCGAGTCTGAAATTTAGGGTATAGGGGTATAGGGGTAGCTCGGACCGGGGAGTAACATAGGCCAGGTGGCGTGATTCTACCACTTCTGGTTTCGGAGTTATGACCCCCGAGCGAAGTCTGTCTGTTCGGGGTTGGCGGCTTCATCTGCCCCGAATCTGAAATTTGGGGTATAGGGGTAGCTCGGACCGGGGAGTAACATAGACCAGGTGGCGTTAGTCTATCACTTCCGGTTTCGGAGTTATGACCCCCGAGCGATGCCGGTCTGTTCGGGGTTGGCGGCTACACTAGGTCTGCCCCGAGTCTGAAATTTGGGGTATAGGGGTAGTTCGGACCGGGGAGTAACATAGGCCGGGTGGCGTTAGTCTACCACTTTCGGTTTCGGAGTTATGACCCCCGAGCGAAATCTGTCTGTTCGGGGTTGGCGGCTACACTAGGTCTGCCCCGAGTCTGAAATTTGGGGGTAGCTCGGACCGGGGAGTAACATAGGCCAGGTGGCGTTAGTCTACCACTTCCGGTTTCGGAGTTATGACCCCGAGCGAAGCCGGGTTGGCGGCTACACTAGGTCTGCCCCGAGTATGAAATTTGGGGTATAGGGGTAGCTCGGACCGGGAAGTAACATAGGCCAGGTGGCGTTAGTCTACCACTTCTGGTTTCGGAGTTTTGACCCCCGAGCGAAGCCGGGTATCCTGCTAGTATACAATAAACATGACTGGATATAAACAGACAGATTAATACTCTATCTATAGTCAACATTTTATCTATAAACATTGTACCAACTATAATAATGTTCTTCTTGTCGACCAATTCTCCTCTACTATGGCCGACACCTAATAGATAATGATTTATTATATATATACAACTATAATAATGTTGTCTGTATCAAGGTCAACAGGACGCCACGCCGGACGCATCTTTCATGTCATTGAGTCATATTGAACAACTACTTTTTGTTTCACCAACAGATCAAGAGAATGTCAACCAGGAAGATACTTTTATATCATTAAGTCAATAAATATTAACCTAGATTACTATTGGTATATGATATAATTACAATACAAATTAACCTAGATTACTATTGGTGTAAAATATAATTACAATACTTATTAACCTAGATTACTATTGGTGTATAATATATAATATAATAGTGTATAATGACAATAAATATTAGCCTAGATTACTATTGGTGTATAATATAATTACAATACTTATTAATCTAGATTTAATTGGCAGTCAATGAAGGTCTTTGGGTGTTGGTGTGATGTGCAAGTTCCTGTTTAGTCGTCTGGTGATTCGAGCTGCAGTAAATTGAACGGTTTGAAGTTTTGATTTCAGTTTGTGGGATATTCCAGATAATGGAGAGTTCTGAATCGATGTAGACACCCAGGTTTTTAACACCCAGATTTTTAACTTTGTTGGCTGGTTTAATTTCTGAGTCAACTATTTTCAAAGTTGGTGTATCTGATTTTGGTAATGAGTGTTTTGATCCCATCATGATAGATTCAGTTTTATCATCATTTAATTTCAATATATTGGTGGACATCAAGCTTGAAACGATTGGTCAAAGTCACTGGGATAAAAATGTCGGCATAAGAATGATGTAATAGGCTGTATTGGCCGATGAAGATAAGATAGACTTGTTGTGTAAAGAATAAGCAGAAGAGGTCCGAGTAACGAGCCTTGGGAAACTACCCAGTTTAATTCAACTGTATCTGACTTAGCATCTGCAAGCTCCATGAATACCTTATTGGATCTCGAGAGTCTTTAACATAAGGTTATAGTCAAACGTATCAAAGGCTGCAGATAAATCCAGTAACACCAGAGAAACCACTTTGCCGCAAATCTACAGCACAACGTATATCACGAACTATCCTAAGTAATGCTGCTTCTCTACTATGATTTTTTCGGTACGCAGACTGAAGTGTATCAAACAGAGAATTAAAAGGTAAATGTTCCCGAAGTCTAAGGTTAACAGCCTTCTCCAATATATTCGAATCTAAATTGTCTTTCTTCAGCTGGGGTCGAACAACTGCTTGTTTGAAAATGCCAGGAAAGATTCCAGTTTTTATACTACCCAGTATCACCACATACTATCCCATTAATAATAAAATAACAATATCTCCCCATTATCACCCAATACTACAAAATACAACCCCATACTAGTAGTGAGTCGGACGAGCGGCTTTTGACCCTAGGACGTCAGACATTGATTAATCAATCAGCGTTGACGTTTCTAGTGGTTTATCCACAGTTCCGCGCATCAAACGCCAAGAACTCGCCATAAAAGGTCGTTTCATTGGCTAATTTCACACTTCAACCAGGACTCCGGTAATATAACAACTCTTCAAGATCCTAGTGTAGTAATGACAAATAAAAGAAAATTGTGAACTATAAAAAGCTTTAGGAAATAGGACCTTTTGTGGCTTTTTTTTCTCTTTCTCTTTTTTCTTCTTGGCTCCCGACTTGTGGTGGAATGGTCGAACGGATAACAAGCTTCTCCCGGAAATATTACTGACAAATCACGCCATTATTGGTCGCAAAAAGGTTAGCAATTGCCAAAAAGGCGAAAAACGTTAAAACTGAAATGAAATGGGGTTTAATGTCCTACTGTTTTGCTCCGAACTGGGCTAATGAAGACGGAAATGTTAAAACAAAAGTAAAAGGTTCGTGCTCTGCTTCGTTTGTAATCATCGGATACAAAGTTTGATTTTAGTAGCCTAGAGTGTCCTCTTTCAGAATCTGCCGGGTGAACCTCGGTCACCCTTGAGCGTATGGAGGAATTCAAGATGGCGTCCAAGACTGCCGCCATATCAAATAATAATCCCTTATAGCTCCCATAGTATTTATTCTAGGATGCTTATTTTGGTGTCTAACCGTATGTTCTGGGACAAGTTTTTTTTTTTTTAAATTTATTCCAACATAATATAAAGACATTACTCGGAATATCTCTTGGCCCATTTATGCATGGAGTTCATGGCCAAGTGTAGTACACCCCCGAGGCAAAAAATGCCCAGCAGGACCCTCAGAAACAAACCAATTCAAATTAAGGTAATTAAAACACAATCGACCAGAAATTCTAATTGATATATTTCATATAAAAGTTAAATTTTACATTAATATACAGAAGTATGTATTTTCACAATAAATCAATTGCTTCATACTATTGATGCTATTCTTTTCACCTCCCTCGTGTTTAGGTAATGTTTTGCTCAGATTGAGCTCCACAAGCTGAAAACAAAACACAAAAAATAAGGATATAAAACCTACAGTAATATTTTACCAAGGATTGAATAATATTAAATAAGGATATAAAACAGCAATACTTTATCAAGGGTTGAATAAGGACCGAAGCTACCAGCATAAACCTCATTAATACCGAAACCAATGTCATTATCTCTGTGTTTATATCACCGTAGGTGGTGCTGGTGGGTTATTATTAACATGTAACTCTATAATGTAACAAAATGGGTGGTGGCAGGGGGGGGGGGTATTAATAGTTACTACAAAAGGGAAGTTCAGGGACCTTAGTCAATCATAATCATTGTTGATAAGAGACCATTTAGACCCCCCGCCCCACACTTTCTATCCCGTCTGGTTTACAATGATTAGGAAACACGACTTACTTATGTTATTCAAGCATTTCGGATTGTTGATACCAACTTTACAACCATTATGACATAAGCCATCTTCTATTCTACAGCCTGCTGTATTACAGTAGGAACATTTCTGTAGACACAAACCATTACATCCCCAATATCCATCTTTACAACCAGTCAAACAAACACCATCTAATTGTCGACATGGACCATTACAGGTAGAACATGATTCTTCACACATGTCACCATAGTAACCATTTTTACATCCGGTACATTTCCCTGTTCTGGCATTACATTTACCATTCTTACATCTGGTGTTGCATGTAGACTCACACATATCACCATAGAAACCATCTTTACATCCGGTACATTTCCCTGTTTTCCAATCACACTTATCCTCCTGACAATTGGTGTTGCATGTAGACTCACAGAATTCACCATACGAACCATCTTTACATCCGGTACATGTCCCTGTTTTGGCATTACATTTACCATTCTTACATCTGGTGCTACATGAATATTCACACCTGCTACCATAATGATCTCCCTGACAACCATTAGAACATGATCCTATCATTTTCCCCACATACGTCGTTTGTACAATTCGCCGGACATCTAAAGTTACAATTGGTACCGTAAAATCCATCAGGACAATTTTCTAAAGTAAATATAAAATTCAGAACATATAAAAGAAGAATAATATACTGTTTAGTCTTGGCAATCAGGATGTACGGCTGTAGACTTTGATTCACGGTAAAGATATACAGAAACAAATGAACAGATATCCAAGATCCTCCCTGCGACATCCTTTAACCACCTTAGCTAATTTTAAATCTTTCTCTCCTCCAAGTAGTAATCCTACTTTTGACCAAATAGTTATTGGATGGCCGAGTGGTTAACACACATGAGCGTTGCATCATAAGTCTGTCATTAATTTCATGTATAAATTAGCGATCCAAAAACACAAACGTGTTCATTTGAATTGATTCACCATTATGAAACTCACGTTTGCGCAGACCGGAGGTCACAGGTTCGTGGCCTGTGCTTAGCCAATATTCCAAATTTAGGAATGGAATGTTATCGTGAACGAAACTTCTTGCTGTACTTCAATTAGCTCAGTCGGAGCAGAACAGTAAGGCGCTAAACCCCATTTCATTTCAATTATGTATGATTCGATTTTATGTAATAATTATTTATGTATGTTCAATACAAAAACTTTAGTGGTGTCAAAATTGACAGTTTAGGCAGTTAATTGAAGTACCGTAAGACTTATCGTTTACGGTAATATTCCATTCCCAGATTTGTAAGTTTCATCATGGCAGACCAATTCAAATGAATCTTGATTGTGTTTTTCTATCACATAATTCTACATGAAAATAATGTTGGATTATTATAAATTTCTGTCAGCTGTGGCACAGAATGATTCATTTCGGCGAACAAAAAAGAATCACGGTAAAACCTTGACTAAATATGCATTAAAAATATAAGTGACAGGTTGACACATAAAAAGAGTTATAGAAACAAAACATAGCTGGTTCTATGTGTCAACAAAATATTACCAGATTACACGTGATTGGAAATTTACTAATTGCATCATTTGGCTCAAGTAACCAATCATATCAGTAATTGCACAGGTTCAGGGTCATACATAGCCTAATCTGTGCGTGATTTCCATATGTCCGATAAAAGAAATCATGGCAAACCTTTAAGGCAGATTTTCATTAGATTCCGGAGGGATTACCATCTGAGTTCCTAGACCATATGATGTAGCAGTTTCTATCAGCAGACTCGCCCAGCGAGTCTGGCTGGATGAGGTTTGAGAGAATGCCTTTATTCTATCATGCATTGTACCATATGTAAGCAGCTATGATATATAAAACGTAAAAACGAACTGTTACAATGTTATTTCTGATACGACAAACGTCTTGAATAACTGAGAAAACAGTAAGAAGTAAATACACAACGTGCAGGCGAGGAAAAACACCAAGTGAAAATACTAGGCGATCACAAGGCTACTAAAGTATGTAGTAGGAAAGGATGCATGGGTCTTACGTAGGATGTGGCGACCGGATTTGGTTCCCCGCTCTCCACGTCTGACAGAAAGGCCCATGATGCTACATTTACTGTTACAGATATCTTGTTTTCACCTTTCTAGTGAGGATATACTGCTCAAATTTTTGTAGTTTTCAAGCTACAGAAGTCAGTCGTAGGTATCGCATGAACCGTCGTAATGAACCGTACATAGGTCGTGAAGTATCGCATGAGAAACCGATTAGCAAGGTGTTTGAAATCATGTGTAATAGAGGTTATTTGTGTACGAAATGATGTGACGGTAGTTTTAACACAATTGTGTACTGTCGTATGAGAAGCCGATGAGGATAATTTTAAAATACCTGTTTAATCGTGGATATTCGTACACACAAATCACTACATAGTGACAGGTGCTTTAGACTGGGGGGGGGGGCGTTGAATGGCCGAATGGTAAGCATGTGCGTGCTGTATCATAAGGCCTGTCATTGAGTCACAAGTGAATTAATGAAATAAAATTAACCATATGTTAGTCCCGAAATGACCTAGTTTGTGTCGAGTGGACTTTAAACCCCATTTCTATCTATCTATCTAGCTTTAGACTTGTTAGACCAGACCTGTTATTAGTATAGACCAGACCTGTTATTAGTATAGACCAGACCTGTTAATAGTAATATACTTACCTGTGAATATTTGTAGTTCACAAATACTCAAATATTCGCGTTGTATTGAAACAAAAACGAATCTAGCCGATAAAGATGGTACTGATGGTTGATTACATCTATTTACGGTGTATACAGATTGTGCTGTTGATGTATGGTCTTTATAACATGGTGAAGCTGATGTAAAACCTGCTTCACCACAGTGACTAGTAGAACTCAATCTAACTTCAAATCCTTTCATCCAGTTAATACCTGAGAACAATATGAATTGTATGTAACCGTAATGTGATAAAACTAAAAGAAATCTGAAACTTGTCACTTTTACTATCTGTTCAAACCCACTCATCCCTTTGATGATTTATGATCATATAATAAAATATGTTTAATAATAAATAATAAATACATCAACACAACCGAACCTTCAGTCTCATTTCGCCTCATGTAAACAAAAAATAGAGTGGAGTTTGACTTGATAGAAACGTGGAAATTAAACTATGAGTATGGTACGTTCACTGCATGTGACCTAAACACAGTGTAAAGACTTATAAGGAAAACAAAATCTAATTTTGTTTCTGACAGAATTCAGGAACATAAAGGTGATATCGTTTTAATGAGACACATGCCTTTCTATTGAGTGCCATTTGCACTATCACTCAATGTGCGTCCATATCCAAAAACAGCAATGTAAAAACTAAGTTGATTAAAAGAATATCGAACTAGATATATTGAATGTGACTGTCCCCGTTTAGTTATAATCTTACGTACCATCATCTGCTCTGTTAAATATCTTCACACTACTGATATCAAAACTCTGTTTTAGATCGACACACCACCAGTTGTAGTTTATGTGGTTTTGAGTAATCGAACAACTTCCACCAGACCAAACCTGATTAGTATTACCATCCACAGCTTTAGATGAAAGGTAATCCCTGAATGTTGAACTTTGCCATGTTGGTTTATTAAGAGCCACATTAAAGGAGCCTAAAAAAATATGAAGACATTCATGCCATTGTAAATTGCAATACTCATTTTACGTCCACGTCAATGTGTACACGTGTTGACCTCGTGTTTATACACCAACACGTAATTTGCTGAAAAGCGTGTCAACGCAAAAGGCGCAATGGTTTTTAACAGAGTCTTTTTAAATTTGTCATGAAAGAATTAACATTCAGCATTCTGCAACGTTCCATTCCAGAAATATCCCTCACTGCCTGAAACTTTGTGAAGGACATATTATAGGCTACAGTATTTCCAGTTTTTGTTTTTAAAATAAAATTGGCGTGTGGCATTTGGGCTATTAAATGATGTATCCTATCGATATTCACCATTCTGCGACCTGCCGTAAAGGAGTTGGCGAAAACCTTCTGAATGCAATCAATCGCGGCACCAGTTTTAGCATGCTCGATGACTGTCCAAGACGTGATCGATTGGTTTAAATCTATTTGTAATTTAACTTGTGGTAATGGAATGGGAGTTCGGATTTTGTATACTCTCACAGTCCAGAACAGCAGTAAAACGCGTTTGCGGCCGTCTATAGAATGTTCAAAATTGTCTTGGTGACAACCCACATCCCCCCTGAACCACCAGTCAGATTCTAATGAGTATCCTTTGGGGAAGGGAGCTGGGGGCATTTCAGTTTTAATTCTATGTATTATCTGTGATACATATTTTTATTTTTTTTTATATAAATATATTTATGTGCATGATCACCATATGTTTGACTCAACATAGCCCGACACGGGCTAACTTGCCATAAACATCCATTTCATTTCATTTAATATCAAATATGCAAGGAAATTTACTCGATTTTGTCATATTTCCAATCGCTTATTGCTAGTAAAGGATTATGCAAGGAACGTAACTAGAATTGTATGATAAATGGGCTTGCTTATCAACGTATCATCCGCCCTTGTTCGCATAGATGATATTCGAAAGGGTTATTAGATTACGAACCTTATCGATAGTCGATCAGCGTTTCAGATTTACACCCCCGTCTTTAAAAACCTGAACATAATAAAGTCTACAGTCTTCAATGGATTTATTTCAAATTTGGTGTGATGTGGCCATAAGAGGACGAACTCTATCGAATTCTAAGTTCTGTGACTTTTCATTCCAGGTTATGTCACCTTTGCTGAAAACGGTTTCAGTGCCATGGGTGCAACAGTTCTAACATATTTTTTTAAGCTTGTACATACGACAGATATCATTTTCTTGATGACACCCCTGATCAAATTTGGTCAACAAATAAGTTGTCCTGTCGGATAAGCTGCTGCGTGGCGTTCTATCTTGTCCCATTAGAAGGAAAGGCACATTCACAGAAACCAGACCGCAGTAAGCATTCGCCCGTCGTGCACAATATTCATCATATGTAGAGACGGGAAATAACTGGGATTACGTAAAGAAATAGCTGGAGAAGATAGCATTGTTCTGGACAACGACACTGGTCCTTGTTCAGAAAGTAAGCAGCATTCTCAGAAACTATATTAGCATATCCCAAACCGAATAAACCCAGTACTACAATGTCCATCAATAAAGCATACAACATGTATTAAATATATAAAACTTACCTAATATACAATCAATATGATTGAACATAAGAAGACAGATTAATACTCTATCTATAGTCAACATTTTATCTATAAACATTGTACCAACTATAATAATAATAATAATAACACTTACCCAATACAAAATATACATAACTGAATATAAGCAGACAGATTAATACTCTATCTATAGTCAACATTTTATCTATAAACATTATACTATCTATAATGATGTTCTTTTTGTCGACCAATTCTCCTGTAGTAAGATGCACATACAACCTATTTTATATACTATACCCGAACTATTATACCAGCGTGTTCACTGAGCACATCAATACCCCGGACAACGTACAAGATAAATCTTATTTACCTTTAAGCCCGGTTCAAACGTTTGCACGCACCCTTGTTAAACCTACTTTTTTTCCAATTTTCTATCCATTACTTCTATTTTATCTTTTATTTTGAGACAAGACACGTGTTCTAATATCGATTTGGAATTAGTGAACAGCTTTCTTTGCAGCTTGTGTACAGGGTCACGACATGATACCGGACATGGGCCATGGCATGATAAACAAAAGCTATTTACGCACTCGTTAGTACAATTAATTCTGATCGACAGAACAATTTAACAATCTCTATTATAAATCCCAAGGGGGTTGGATGGCCGAATGGTTAACACGCGCGCGCTGTATCATACGGTCTGTCATTGAGTCAACTGGCGGAGTTTCGATTCCCTGGTTAAACGTGACAAGGTGCAGGGTCGCCTTTCCAACCTCGTGGGGTTTCTCCGGGTCCTCCGATTTCCTCACACTACTAAAGACCCCTACGCGAAAGCGATTTATTGAAATAAAATTAAACCATAAATGTTAGTCCCGAAATGACCTAGTTTGTGTCGAGTGGACGTTAAACCCCATCTCTCTCTCTCTCTCTCTCTCTCTCTCTATCTCTCTCTAAATCCCAAATTCCCTGTGCTTGGTAGCGCAAACAAGCCAACAAAGTGTTGGGACACTGTTGACAAATAGCAAACAAACATTTCCTCGTGTGTACAGAACATAACAACCAAACTCGGGCCTTTTATTCCAAATGATATGCATTTGAATGTGTTTTTATTATTCAAGCTAAACTATTATATAAAGATTACAGCGATTCGAACAACTACAGTTTTGTTTAACATCTAGGGCAACAGGACGTCAAACCAAGACGCATCTTTTATATCACTGAGTCATACTGAATATTCTTCAATAAATATTAACCTAGATTACTATTGGTGTATAATATATAATATAATGACAATAATATTTTACGTCAGGGGCGCCGGAACGGTGGGGCTTTAGGTGCAAATGTCCTCTTTCCAACAAAACCGTCGCTCCCTTTACAGTTTTGCCGGCTGTATTTGGGCAATATATTTTTTCAATGGGTCCCAACGGGTTCCTAATTCAGAAGGGGTGAGAAATGGGGTTTCGCGTCAATTCGACACAAACTAGGTCATTTCGGGACTAACATGTAGAGGTCTTTAGAAGTGAGAGAAAGTCGGACGACCCAGAGAAAACCTACGAGGTCGGACATGCGATCCTACTCCTTGTCACGTACAGGCGGGAAATCGAAACCATGCCATTTGACTCAATGACAGACATTATTACACTGAAAAAAAACTTGTGTTGAAACAACACAAACTTGTGTTGTTTTCAACACAAGTTAGGTGTCTCTATTTAATAACACAAACGTGTGTTGAAACAACACAAGACTTGTGTTAAATGTTGAAACAACACAAGACTTGTGTTAAAATTTACCAAACAACACAAACTTGTGTGAAATTCTACACAATACTTGTGTTGAAACTTGTGTTGAAATTTCTGAAACTTGTGTTGAAATTTCTGAAACTTGTGTTGAAATTTCTGAAACTTGTGTGGTTTCATAAAAACTTGTGTATAACCACCAACAAAAACTTGTGTTTTATTTTCCCTCAATTTAGCAATCTTTCCCATGCAGCCCCCACCCCTTTTGCTCTGTTTAACCTGTAAAGTTTGATAAATGAGGTAACAATTTTATTTGTTAAATTATCATTTATTCATAAAATGATAGGAAAAAGTAAATTAACACCACCAAATCAAAACTAAATAGACAATCATTTGAAATGTTAACAGAAAAAACAGAGATATAATTCTAATACTAATAAAGTTTTTGTTATACTTTGCCCCCCCCCCCCCCCCAACACCACATCACAAAATACAAAATAGCTATTTAATTTTTTCTTTACCCGAAAACAAGAACTGAGAAAAGAAAGATCCCTACCCATACCCCAAAAATATATAATTCAAATATATCTAAATTTAATAACATCCAAACCAAGACCTAATTAGATTAATTATGCACTAAATTGAAATACTTTCAGAAACTGAAAGGTGCTACAAAGTCATATTACAAGTGATTTGTGAGGCATCTGGAAATAACTAGCATACACAGAAAACTAACAAAAGAAAAATGCACTATTTTGCAGGAGTAATAAAATGATGTAGAACCTTTTCCTCATTAAAAAAAACAACAAACAAAATGAATATTTTGTACATAAAAGGAGCAAAGCATCAAGATTACAGGATTGAAAAATAAAAAAATATCAGAGAAAATCGGAAACATTAAATAATATGTACAAAATATATATAAATAATCACAAGTCAAAAGCAAGGAGGAGTCACTGTGGTTCAGTGAGTATAAGGCATTGGCCAAGAAATTTCAACTGGATTTTCCGACATAGTTCCCACACGTTAGTAGTGTAGGACATGGCAAGGGATAATTGGGTATAAGCCCAGAATTGAAACTACCCCCACTGCGTTTACTTTAAAGAACCCTTGACAATTGAATTATCTGACTCAATGACAGACCTTCTGATCCAATGTGCGTGTGTTAACCATTCGGCCCTCCTGGGTTCCCTTTAAACAACCCTTGACAGTTGAAATATTTGATATAAGAGTAGGTTGTAGGGCAGAATCACCATAATAACACAGAAAAGTAGGATCTTAAACCCTATTTCATTTCATAAGCAAGGGAAAGTCACCTTAATGTAGGTCAAGGTTTTTTGTAATTCTGGGTATATTTGATCTACATTTGGTTTCTAGATTATGCCTATTAAATACTTTATAATTTCCGACCAAATTCTAAGTGATTAATATGTCACTTTACATTCTATATTATTCATAAATTTCTGTAGAGAATTAAAATCTAATTGTGTTTGGGAAGAATATTTAACAGTAAAAACAAAAAATAAATATTCAAAAATTGGGTCAAATGCATTCTTTTCCAGAATTATAAAATATATTGGTGCTTGGGATCTCTTGTTGTTATCATACATCAAATAATCTTCCAGCCTAAAAAATAAAAAGTAGGCAATAAGAATACTTTCTTACTATTTATGGTTCACAATGTTTAAATAAACAATTTATTTTGCCACATCAAGACTGAGTCTCTATTTTGTTTCATCTTTGGGTAACACTTATTGTGTCTTGTCCAGTAACAGACCCAGGCAGATTATTATATTTAATTTCCATCGACAACAAATTGGATATTACCTATAAAATCTATTTGAAAAGTAAAATATTGTCCATCATTTTTATACTGCTATTTACTGTAAAAATACACATAGGGTCTATCACAACTTGAAGAAAATCAATGGATGTGATTGTCAAAAATCAAGAATGCCACGACTTGAATAGGAGAGTCCTAGGCATTGCCCCAAGAAGAATAACTAGATTACCAAGCAAGTGTATAGAACTAGTTGATGATAAAAAATACAAATATGTATGGTACTTACATTTTACCTGATTATCAAGCTCTGTTAGAAAAAGTTTCCATAATATGAATAGCCATTTCCAACTGTCTTGATCTTTCTGATGTAGTTAACTGAGAAAAAAAAATACTATGTATTAGTTGACTTAAATCGACTCGACAGTTAAAAGATGAAAGTTTTAATTTAATTACATTGTATGGTAATGTGTTGGTTTGCTTTGTCACAGATGAGACAAAATGAAAAAAATGAAATGGGGTTCGGCATCCTACTGTTCAGCTCCGACTGGGCTAATGAGGTTGGGCATATGCCATACAGTGTGCTACGAGAGAAATTTTGCCGGGTACCGTGACCTTAAGGCCTTCTCTTGTATCAAATTCTAACTGCCAGGGGATCTTTTACATGCACGCCAATGTGTACACGGGACCACGTTTTTTTGTTCAATCTGAACGACTAGACAGCTGTCCTTGTAAGGCCCTCCGTTCTGCATTGTCTTACTGCAAACCCGTGTCTAACCCACTTGGTCACCGTGGGTCCCCACAGATGAGATAGTCATATCTACATGTATCTGGACATAAGTAAGATTCTGTCTGTGCACATACATGTACGTTCACAGTTTTACTATACTAAACTGAATTTTAATTTTCAAAATATTAAAATGAAATCGAGGTTTATGTCACATCAGCTCCAACCGGGCTATATTGTGCCAAACACATTATGGTGAGATTCCAAAATACCACAACAACAATCTTTTCTATTAGAATTGAACACTCACCCTCAAAAAACACCTATGAAAAATCATAGGTGCTCAAATCACCATTTCTTCAGCTCTTTCTTTTCCCATATTTGGGTTTTTTGACTTATTTTATTATATGATCTTTGATTTGCTATGGCATCTAATATGGAAACTGAAACATTGGAATATGTGACATGTAATTAACGTTTAAGATACCTTACCATATACAAACTGTGTGATATCTAAAACCATTTGAATCCCGAATATCTTACCCAAGCCGTGAAAATCTGTTTTAATAACCCTTGTTTGTCATGTGACTGGACTGTCACAGTAATTAGAAGAGAGCCATGTGGCTTAGTGTGTAAGGCACTGGCTTGCTACCCGGGAGGTTGCGGGTTCGCTCCCAGTGTTGACCAAGAAAGCTCATTTGGATTTTTCAGAATGGATTCTCTGTCTAGTCGTCATGGTGGCTAAGTGGGTAAGACGCTGGCTCGCTAGCCTGGAGGTCGGTTGTTCGATCCCTGCATTGGCCGAGAAAGTTCACCCAGATTTTCCGGCATGGTTTCCTCTTGTTAGTGATGCAGGACGGAGGGCCTGACAAGGACAGCTGTCTAGTCATTCAGATTGAACAAAAAAACGTAGTCCCGTGTACACATTGGCGTGCATGTAAAAGATCCCCTGGCAGTTAGAATTTGATACAAGAGAAGGCCTTAAGGTCATGGTACCAGGCAAAATTTCTCTCGTAGCACACTGTATGGCATATGCCCAACTTCATTAGCCCAGTCCTCTGTACTGCATTGTCTTACTGAAAACCCGCGACCTTAAAATATGCGAGCCAGTGTCTAACCCACTTGGCCACCGTGGTCCACCACAGATGAGACAGTCATATCTACATGTATTTGGACATAAGTAAGATTCTGTTTGTGCACATACATGTACGTGTACAAATTTACTATACTAAACTGAATTTTAAATTTCAAAACAATAAAATGAAATGGAGGTTTATGTCACATCAGCTCCAAACGGGCTATATTGTGCCAAACACATTATGGTGAGATTCTAAAATACCATAACAACAATCTTTTCTATTAGAATTGAACACTCACCCTCCAAAAACACCTATGAGAAAGCATAGGTGCTCAAATCACCATTTCTTCAGCTCTTTCTTTTTCCATATTTGGGTTTTTTGACTTATTCTATTATATGATCTTTGATTTGCTATGGCATCTAATATTGAAACTGAAAAATATGAATATGTGACATGTAATAAACTGTTTAAGATACCTTACCATATACAAACTGTGTGATATCTAAAACCATTTGAATCCCGAAGATCTTACCCAAGCCGTGAAAATCTGTTTTAATAACCCTTGTTTGTCATGTGACTGGACTGTCACAGTAATTAGAAGAGAGCCATGTGGCTTAGTGTGTAAGGCACTGGCTTGGTACCCGGGAGGTTGCGGGTTTGCTCCCAGTTTTGACCGAGAAAGCTCATTTGGATTTTTCAGCATGGATTCCCTGCCTAGTCGTCATGGTGGCTAAGTGGGTAAGACGCTGGCTCGCTAGCCTGGAGGTCAGGTGTTCGATCCCTGCATTGGCCGAGAAAGTTCACCCAGATTTTCCGGCGTGGTTCCCCCTTGTCAGTGATGCAGGACGGAGGGCCTGACAAGGACAGCTGTCTAGTCATTCGGATGATACGAAAAAGCGAGATCCCGTGTACACGTTGGCGTGCACGTAAAAGATCCCTTGACAGTTGGAATTCGATACACCGCAGTGCCGCTGTCCGGGTAAAATTTCCCTCATAGCTCACTGTGTGGTGTATGCCTGTCTTCATTAGCCCAGTTCGAAGCAAAACAGTAGGACGTTAAACCCCATTTCATTTCATTTCTAGTCGTTTCAATGGAACACAAAACCTGAGGTCCCATTGGCGTGCATTTAAGCCGATAGTATGGTAGTTGGAATTTGTTGGCTGTAGCACCCGTGTCACAGTTCGACTGCTAGTTTGTGATACCCACTCGATATGAATGAGTGGTGATTGGCTAATGAATTCTAAAATCAGATGAATGCTTCGGCGAAGCGGACACACCACTCAAATACAATTCGGCCAAATATATCAAACATGTTTGATTCAGGCGTATGTCAGTGGATAAACTAGGTGAAGTTTAGCGCCAATTGATTCAGCCGAATCCTTTGGCTAGTTTATCCAACACTGACGATTTAAGTATGTACTTTCTTTATATGCAAATATCACATTTGAAAAGAGGCTGTAGGCCTACTTTCTTTATATGCAAATATCTTATTTGAAATAGGCCATTATTATGTGATTCCCCACTTGACTAGGAATAGGGTCGCCTGTCCAGCCTTGTGGGTTTTCTCCGGGTCCTCCGGTTTCCTCCCTTTGCTAAATACCCCTAGGGTGTATTCGAAACAGTGTTCCGGTGCAGAGAACGGACGGAGAATGGGTTCTTGTCGGACTTGAGCAGTCTGGAATGCGTTCACGAACACGTTCCCGTTCTCAAATCCCACACTACCTCATAGCTGGTGTGAGGGAGAACAAACATGGTCGACGCATCGATAACTGCTGAGAAAACAGCATCATGGGTGCATTTATTAATTTAAAAGTTTAATACCGTTCGAAAATTGGATGTAGTATGTGGCCAGTATAACATCAAGTAAGTTAGGTTGCCAGGCAACGAAACATATGCCCATAGCAGTTTAATCGTTTGCGCAGTCAACAGGGATTGTCGCGTATTCATGTGGGCATTTACAAGAAAATTTCATACAAGATTATAATTTTCGTCGTTTGTGGGTTTACAAAGGTTCTACAAACTGAAACAAGGGCCTTAATTGTTGAAATTTGACAGATTTTTTTGTTTTGTGTTTTACTAATTTAAATAATGCATACAAATTTCATACAAATCGGATGATAATTTTGTTGTTCGCGCGTTCACAAGTTTCGAAAAAGTGAAACATGGGCCACAATTCTAGACATAATTCACGGAAATCGCAGAAATTTAATAGACGTCTTCGTTTCACTAATTTAAAAGATGCAAATGAATTTCACAAAGTGAAACAAGGGCCATAACTCCAGAAGAAACGGAAATTATTGAAATTAAATAGGATTCATCTCATTAAAATAAACAACATATCAATTTCAAAATAATCAGGTCTGTAGACGACGGACAAACCTACGGACGAGGGCGATGACAATATGCGACCACATTTCCATGTGGGCGTATCAAAAGGTGATGTAATCGTCATCCAAAGAATTGAAAAGGAGTAAAATGGAGTCATAATTTATCAAAATTATGCTTACTGTCTCAGTCTTGGTAAATTTTAAACGGATTTCTTCGATTATGAACAAACTACTTAACTTTGGTTATTATAAACTTACCTGTGTGTTTGTAATGAACTCCCGTTCGATAAAATCCATTGCACAACTAATTATCACAACGATGAAAACAAGTTCTCTCTTGAAAAATTGAAATATCACAAACTTTTCCCAGAGAAAAATACCAATATGGAAGATGGTTACGTCACTCTGCGGAAGATATCATTTCGTATTAGGGGTGACAGCATAGGAAATTCAAGTACAATTACGACAAGAATCCATGACCACTCGGACCAAAGACCACTCGGTTCAAGACCAGTCGGACCAACTGATAGACCACTCAGCCCAAACAAATAGACTACTCGGACCATACAAAAAGACTATTCGGACCCAACAGAAAGACGACTCGGACCAATAATAAAGTGTTGTTTTAATAAATTGATAATTGCGTTTGTTTTAATATGATTACTCGAACCAATAATAAAGTGTTATTTTTAAAAATTGATAATTGTGTTTATTTAAATATGACTACTCGAACCAATAATAAAGTGTTATTTGAATAAATTGCTAATTGTGTGTGTTTTAATATGACTACTCGAACTAATAATAACGTGTTGTTTGAATAAATTGATAATTGTATTCCAAATCGCAAAATATCGAGAACCACACTTGTAGTCACGTTTAAAAAGGGGCATATAAACGTCCGGTCTTCGTATTATTATGTGCTGTTTATATTAACGCATCAAAGGCGGATAACTTGAAAACGTGTCCCCCCCCCCCACATACATGTATATAGTAACCCAGGGATTAGTGGGGTAGAACGGAATGAAACCACTGGGGATACCGCGAATGTTTAAAAAGTAAAATTAGGCTATCAGACAAGAACAGAATACATGTATATGTAGAAACTGTCAAAAGTCTGGACATACCGAATCTCATTGCAAGAGTAAATTAGAAAAATTAGATTGATATTTTTTTTGGCACCATTATTAATTAATTTTAAAACTAATCGTTGATTTATTTTCCGTACACAAAATTGAACTAAACAACTCTAAATATAAGAATTCCGTATAAGAATTATTTGCTTCTTTGTATAGTGATTTAATAATAAATAAATAGCATATTGTCTAGCCTTATAATATAATTTAATTGGTCCGACTGGTCTTGTTTTGGTCCGACTGGTCTTAGTCCGAGTAGTATTTGGTCCGAGTGGTCTGGATACCTACGACAATTGGCATTGAGTTTGAGCGTTCGCACACATAACTACCCGCATTCCTGTATTTAGTTACCGTCTTTTACATTCTAGTAAAATCTCTGCAAATTTTATAGCTTTACTTTTTGAAATATTTTGTTCTAATTATTTGATTAGCGACTCGGATGGGATTATTTACTTTTGAACACGCATGTCGCACAAACACAACTATACATTCGTTTTACGGGCTTTATCACACTTCGGTCAAAACTGTCGAATCGAGAATTAATGTTCTGCTTCTTACGGGGTCATACGGGCTTAGTAGCATTATATACCATTATATATGTTACTGAAGCTGTTATTATTCGATCGAAAGAATGCGTATAAAATTAAAAATACACTCAGAGAATTCGGAGGTAAGCTTCATGATCCTTGTTAAATTATTTATAACATAAAGAAGATAGGATATTTATAGTTTATACATGACTTTATTTTTACGAGTATCCGTGCAATCAGTGATATTTTAATTGTAAAGAAAATTTGATAGACTGGCGATCAATGGTGCCTTCAATTGATATTTTTCGTCGCCCAAACCCATATACGATCAAAATGATCGCGCTGTCAAACTATCTTTCAATGTTAACCAACCCCCGCAACAGGTATTTCGACCAATACGTCACGAAGACATTGTTGACATCGACTCTGTCGGAATTACAAGTAAATTTTCTAATTTTTCAAGAGAGAACTTGTTCTCCTCATTGTGATAATTAGTTGTGCAATGGATTTTATCGAACGGGGGTTCATTACAAACACACAGGTAAGTTTATAATAACCAAAGTTAAGTAGTTTGTTCATAATCGAAGAAATCCGTTTAAAATTTACGATGGTTCACACAGTAATAGCGAAGTCAATACCAAACAACTTATCGTAACAGATTGTATAAATTTAATTCATCTTGTTACTATGGATACCGTTCTCTCATGTTCGAGACTCATGAAAGTGTTTTCATGTTCTTCAGCCGTTCTCGAACCTGCGCGAACACTGTTTCTAATACACTCCTACGGTACGCGCAAGCAAATCATTCAAATAAAATTGAACAATGTTAGCCTCGAAATTACCTAGCGCCAGTAAGTATAAAGGATCTATCCGACAAACACTAACAACAACTCTAGGTTTATGCAGTATTAATATAACACAACATACACAGATGGCAATAGAATGAGACAGTGTTCAGGAAAAGGGCGGAAACGGAAGAAGACTACCTGTCCTACATGATTCTAGGACATATATATGGCATGGACCTACTTGATTCGACCAATTTAATACAAGGAAATGAATGGCATAGTTTGTGTCAAATGAATTTAGTGAACTTTAAACCCCATTTACTCGCCCTCTCTCTACAGAGATAAATACTTTTCATGTTACATACAATAACAATTATTGGCCATTATTAAAAAAATATATTAAAAGGAAATGAAATTCTGTTACCTGTTTTTCTTTGTGTAGTACATGCTAACATCAATGACTGGAAAAAAAAATAACGAAACTGTAGAGAAACTTCTGAATCATTGAAAGTCTAATATTAGGCCTACACATTGATGACATTGATATAAAAAAAGGCTGATTTGTTTGTTGTTGTTTTTTTCTTTTACAGAAATAAGATTACATTTCAACTAAACAACTAACACAAAAGTTAGTATCTAGCTATAGTCCATGTCTGGATATACATTTCTCCTTTTGCCCGAACGTCTATAAAAATCAAAGATGGCGGCCAATAATTGCAACCGGGTATTACTATAAAATCAAAACAGATTCTTACCTGCTTGTCCTAGTCGGGGGTTTCTTGCAATTATAAGTATTTGAACAACGGTGTAGCGCCGATTAGCTAATAATAATTAAGCACGATTTCAGAAAAATTAAGACAGATTCATTAGATTGCTGAATTAGCGGAACACTTTTAGAACACATCAAAAAAAATTTCATTGTGGCGCCATTATATAAATAGACTTCCGGTGCAGTCAGTGGCAGTGGTTCTAAATCTGACTGTTTTAAACGCAACGAATTATTATATACATAGAAGCAATATATACATGCTAAATTAAATACACGGTTTTATTTTTTGTAAAAATTTACAAACCTGCGGTCTGGTATTCTATGTGACCATTATAATTTTTTAAAAAATATCACGGCTAAAGCACTCTGTTGATGCTAACTTCACTACATCTAACATTCTAACTGAATGTCGCTGATATAATATCAAAGAAAGAATTTGTCGCAATGACTAAAGTATAGATACTTCTTCTTAGTTAGTTGTATTTCACGTCCGCTTCCACCGAAGTGATATCGCAGACAAAAAGTATAGATAACTTGGAGAACCATTATATCAATAAGTCGATTATGAGATACACGTGGATGATCAATTAAATTTGATTGGTTACTTTTCAGTTAACCAATACTGTCCAATTTCGTTTAGGCCTACATCAACCAATTACATTATTAAGAGTTTTACTCATTTTTTTGTTCATTGCACATTGAATCAATTTTCGAAAACACCAGGGTGCTGAAAATCACATGTACACTATATATTCATTTGATCTATCAGTTTATTGGGTCAATAAAAAAAGACAGACATTTTAACTCTACAGACAACTAAACACCAATTAACATTCAAGTCTGTCTGGCAATTGTCTGATTAATTGGTACTCACTCCTTTCCAGTGAAGAACAGCATGTGATTTTCGAGATGTGAATTAAGCCCTTTATTACTTTTCTTAAAACTTGACGACTCCCGAATTCAGACTTTGTATGGAGTTTTTTTTTTTAAAAGAAAACAAATCGTGGAAGGTACACATTACTTGTGTTAATGATATGAAAAAACACACAAGATTTTCTAAATCGACACAAGTTTGTGTTAATGCAATGCAAAACAACACATAACTTGTGTAGATTAGTTTTAACACAAGTACTTGTGTTGAGATCAAACACAAGTGTTTTTTCAGTGTATTCCCTGCTGATGAGGTCGTGACAGTTCATCAGGATCCATCGTTTACTGCCAGTTTAGGCGATCGTCTCAGAAACTTCTAGAAACCATTTTAGGCGATAGTACTTTCTTGGATAATATCGGAAACTTTTAGAAACCATGGATACTTCTGGAAACAAGTTCATAAGGTTTGTGTCAACCGACGGTAATGCCGTTTGGCATGAAGAATGCTCCATACATTTTCAGCGATTGATGAATGAACTAACTTGTCACATAGAAGCAATTTGTCGTATACTTCGAAGATGTGGCGGTATTCAATGATACTTGGAGCGACCATCTGACCGCATACACTGAGACAACTCTTCGAAGCACTGTCCAGGGCAAATCTCGTGTTAAATCTGAAGAAGAGCGAATGCGCGAAAGCTAAGGTTACTTATCGGGGTCATGTAATAGGCCAAGGTCAAGTCGGACCCCGAGACGTTAAGTAGTTGCTATATTCGTACTTATAATGATTTGTTTTAATATCACATTATTATTATTAATAATATTATTAAATTAGTTGTTATCTAGATTATTCAGATCAAGGTATTGTGTGGATCGTGAATCTGTAAACTCAGAGATTGTAACATCGTGAGAAGGATTGAGATCGCCTGTCCATTCGGCCACCAGCACCCTCCCCCATATCATTTAGAATGAACCTGAATATAGACCAAATCTGCCCTGATGGGGTTTAATAGTAACGGATCAAACGACACGTTACAATTCATCGTATCTGCAGCTTCGATTTTCAAAGATTTTCTAGGTGTTTCAGGTGTAGGACCTGAATCGCCTCAACCACCAGCGGAGAATAACCCGACCCCTCCCCATTCCAGCCCTTTGCTCCTTTGTCCCTCTGCAAAATATTCGTACGTACGTACTTCAAAATACAATATGCAACCATGAAAATATTCGATCAGATCACAACACCGCCCCTACCTTGATTATATCAATTAATCTTCGAAAGAACACAGCAACCCTTATATATGTCACTCCACACAACCAACTTTTGTTTGTCCAACTGCTAGCCCGTCAGACCTAAAATTCGAACCTGAAGTTCCCGTGTTCGATCCCGGTGTGGGCCGAGAAAGTCCACCGTATTTTTCCGGCGCGATTCCGCTTGTCAGTGGTGTAGAACGATGGGCTTGGCAAAGGACAACGTAGAGTTGTTCGGCTGTGTTTCGGCAAAATATCCTTTCAAGCTTTATTAAATCAAAGCAGAAATGAAATGGCTTTATCGTCCCACTGTTCTGCTCCGATTGAGTTAATTAAGACGGACATACACCATACAGTGTACTATGAAGGGAAATTTGTCTGGACAGCGGCCAAGAGATCTTTTACGTACACGCCAATGTCTACACGGGACCTCGGTTTTTCTTCCCATCCAAACGACTATACGTTCGGCCCTGCACCACGACAAGGAGGAATCGGGTCGGAAATCCCGATAAACTACACAACTTGACTTAGTGGCAGTCCCGATAAACTAAAGCGAACGCATTAGTCACCCCTCCCACCTCCTCCGAGAAAAGTAGCATGTGTGCGGTGATGTAAGTGAATGCCTTACATATCGGTATCTGACTGTTTAAAGATACATTATGGGAGATTAGATATAGAGCTGGCAGTTCCCACTATAATAGTGAAAAACTAGATAATGTGAAGAGAATTTGCTGAAAATTTCAGTCAAATTGATCCACTCTGTACCGTAAAGTCGGTACGATAAAAAACAGAGTCTCGATTATCCATTTCATGGATAAATCATAAATGAAAGTTGAGCAGCAATACGGATCCTAATCCAGTAAATATCGCAGGCTAGCGTTGACATCGAGAGTTTATTATGGTCTAGATAAATTATTTAGATAACATTTCAGGCCTAAGGAAACAATTCAATAGGCAGATTCAGCTCTTACATAATGTATGTTTAATGATTATTTGCATCGGCGTGACAATCATGTGGTGGAACTCAAACTAAGGCTCCATGTCTGTACTACACATATGTGTGTGATGATCTACGAGTAAATTAATACCTTTTTAATTGTCACAATCATGTTTTGTACATCTGAATTATATTCGTTCACAATTGATTTGTCTCATTTGGATCCCCCAAACTCACTGTTAATTGTCTCATTTGGAGGCATGCAGCTTGTGGACAATATAGGTATAAAAGCAGAGGTGGATAGTACATCATGGTCAGTCTTTATAATATTGTTCATTCAGGTTGATCAGGGGCTAATTTTAGCAGACTTTAGGTAAGGTTATGTTGATCTTGTGTTTTATTAAAAAGTTAATGGTTTAAATGTACATTTTGTTATTTGAGATACGTTCACTGTACCTTGATAGATTAATGTATATTGAATAATGTATATTGATCTATATAAGAATAATTTAGTGATGATTTGTAATTTTGTCTTTTTCAGCCTCTTGTTTTTTGGTTTTTCTTACTCATTTGCAGTAAGGTTATCGGGGAAACGTTCGTAGACCTGGGCCCGGTTCCTAGAAAATTCCTAAAGTTAGCACTAAGTTATGCTTCACTTTTTCTTACGTAAGAAACTTATACAAATACCGTCCCTAGAAAATTCTCAAGACCTTTCTTACGTAAGCACAAGTCAAGTATAAGTCTAAGCACATTGTGACTGGTAAAGTTTATCTTAAACTGGGACTACGATGCTCTTTAAAGTCATAAAAACAACTTTGGTATGCGAATTACGTCATAAATTTGTCGTTTGCTTCATTGGCGTCATATATGGTTGATTTAGATGCATTTGACATGTCCCCTATAGGCTACACATATAAAATGTGCCACAAGATAAAAAAACGCAGACACATGCAAACTTACTGAATAATTGTGAGAGCGCCTGATCTTAAAGTAGCCTGTGTGTTTGTAGCCTATTGTTTACTAATTGGCAAATAAATAAAATGGTTTCAGGGCAGAAGCGAAATTTTCAATATTGTCTCTTTGGTATCAAAAGGTGTCGGAAATGCCGTCGAATAACTCTACGGTCAGCCATCTTTTTGAAGCAGAAACAGACTTAAGGTTGGTAAGAAAGCCGTATACCTTGCTTGGGACTTGTGCTTAGATAATGTTTAAGAACGAAGTTGTGCTTAAGTTTTTTGTTGGAACGCATAATAACGTTCTTGTGCTTACAATGAAGTCTACTTAAAATCTAAGCACAAATCTTAAGAATTTTCTGGAAACACAAACTAAGCTAAGTTTACTTAAATGCAAAGTCTACTTAAAATTTAAGCACAAGAACGTGCTTAAGAATTTTCTAGGAATCGGGCCCAGATGTGAATCTGTGTATGGTTGATATAGGACCACATTTTATATGGAACAACGTTGGGGCCAAGTTTAACCATTTAGTGTCGTCACAGTATAATATTGAGGAAACAGAATGCTCGGTTCGGTTTCAGATTAGGATCTACAGGCCTAAATTTTAGACTTGGCTGTTCAAATTACTGCGCGAGTGTTACAGTGCAGATCTATGTTTAGTAGTGTTTATAATAACGCGTTTTCAGGGACTTCCAATGGTCACGAAATGACCCATCGACATATTGAACTCTGACATTGTTTATTGATTTTGTATAGATTGTAATAAATCATACTATTAATGCCATATTTTTTTTTGGTTTTCTTTATGCTTTTGAAGACGCGACTGGGGATTAGTTTGCACGAGAGGCAATATCCAGGTGTCAAGCGTGACATTAATGATTATTCGCATCGCTGGCGTGAATATCGGTGAAGATCAAGCCCATGGTAAAAACTACACACATCAGAGTATAGATTTAAAGGTAGTACCTATCCTCAACTGTTATTAATTTATATGTAGGTGTAACCGCGATTCGTTATTAAATTTACATACATACAAACACATGGGTGTACGATTTAAAGGGGTGCTGGTAGTGAACAATGTTACATCATGAGTGTTGCAAATAACAGCCCAAAAAACACACACACGGAACAAACTAAAAACTTTAATTTTGAAACATTATTATTTGTGACAAAATAATATAATGATTTGAATATGCTAGTATGGTAATCATGAAAACAAATATTAAAATTAGGGTAATTAAAACATAATCGACCAGAAATTCTACTTTATATATTTTATATAAAAAATCTCGTTAAATGTTACATTGACATACAGAAACATGTATTTTCACAATAAATCAATTGTTTTATTGTTGCTATTCTTTTTACCTTCTTCGTGTATAAGTAATGGCCTGCGCAGGTTAAGCTACTCAAACTGAAATTAAATCACCAGCTTAACCTAAAAACAAAACACAAGTAATATTAAATATTGATATAAAACTAGAATAATACTTTACCATGGTGATTTTGAGACCAGTATACGGAGGAAAGTTTATTTAAGGGAATGGTTAGGGTGGCAAGATTAGATTAACACGGATAAGGTTTAAAGGGGGAGACCAAGAATTTAAAAAAAAAGACAATCTGTAAAACAAGCAAAACAGCTTTTATAAGCGAGAAATTATTAAAACCAGAAGTGTTGTAATTGGTTCAACACGATCGCTGCTCCTCATTATATGCATATAGACTTGGTGTATGTCAAGCGCTCTTTTGGTGTTCATATATCGTTATTTAGCCGACAATCTGATCACAGAAACTGTTTCATTGGATATTATTAACGTTTAATAGAGAAATCAGTCGAATAAATTCGCTCATACTGAACAGTACGCCACACGGCTAATTGTTTACATCACGTGGTTTGTTTGACAGCTTGCAAGTGACAGATATTTGTCTGATTGAATGTTTTTTGTGGGTAGAATGTTTACTAAAAGTAGCATTATAGTAAACATGTAGCCGTATATATTACCGACATCAACCTCTGTTATTGATAACATGTAACTAGACACCATAACCAATGTCTTAATCCCTGTGTTCATATCACCGTAACAAAATAGTGGTGCTGGTGGCCGTGGAAGATTTATTAATAACATGTAACTCTATACTGTAACAGAATAGGTGGTGGCAGCGAAAGGGTTATTAATAACATGTAACTCTATACTGTAACAGAATAGGTGGTGGTAGGGAAAGGGTTATTAATAACATGTAACTCTATACTGTAACAAAATAGGTGGTGGCAGGGAAATGGTTATTAATAACATGTAACTCTATACTGTAACAAAATAGGTGGTGGTAGGGAAAGGGTTGTTAATAACATGTAACTCTATACTGTAACAGAATAGGTGGTGGTAGGAAGAGGGTTATTAATAACATGTAACTCTATAACGTAACCAAATAGGTGGTGGTAGGAAGCGGGTATTAATAGTTACTACTAAAGGGAAGTTCAGGGACCTTAGTCAATCATAATCATTGTTGATAAGAGACCATTTGGAATCCTCCGACCACAACCCTTTCTACACAGACTGATTTACAATGATTAGGAAACACGACTTACTTGTATTATTGAAGCATTTCGGATTGTTGAAACCAACTTGACAGCCATTATGACATACGCCATCTTCTATTCTACAGCCTCCTGTATTACAGTAGGAACATGTCTGTAGACACAAACCATTACATCCCCAATATCCATCTTTACAACCAGTCAAACAAACACCATCTAATTGTCGACATGGACCATTACAGGTAGAACATGATTCTTCACACACATCACTATAGTAACCATCTTTACATCCGATACATTTCCCTGTTCTGGCATTACATTTACCATTCTTACATCTGGTGCTACATGACAATTCACACCTGTTACCATAAAGATCTCCCTGACAACCATTAGAACATGATCCTATCATTTTCCCACAGACGTTGTCTGCACAATTCGCTGGACATCTAAGGTTACAATTGGTACCGTAAAATCCATCAGGACAACTTTCTAAAGTAAATATAAAATTCAAAACATATATATATATATATATACTCTTTCAGTAAAGGAACATATAAAGGAAGAATAATATACTGTTTAGTCTTTGAAGACATCGTTTGTAGACTTTGATTCACGGTAAAGATACACAGAAATAAATGAACAAAACCTTCTCTTACTGCCCCCCCCCCCCCAAGTAGTAATCCCATGTATCATACTGAATTCTCCTACTTTTGACCAAATAGTTATTTGAAGAATGGGGATTGGATGGCCGAATGTTTAACACGCTTGCGTGTTGCATCATAAAGTCTGAGTCAACTTGCGTGGTTTCGATTCCCTGCTTGCACATGACAAGGAGTAGGGTCGCCTGTCCGACCTCGTGGATTTTCCTCGGGTTCTTTGTTTTACCCCACAGCCAAAGACTCCTTCGCGCATGCGAATTATCGAAATAAATATATTGAACCATTTGTTAGTACCGAAATAACCCTAGTTTGTTTCGAGTGGACAGTAAACCCCATATCTCCCCCCCTCTCTCTCTCTCTTCAAAGGAATTCGCACTGGTCAGTAAGCATACCATGACGTGATAAATAGACAATTGAATGTATGATCATGAGAATTATCTATTTTTCCCTATTGTCAGAGGCTATATAACCAGAAGTTTGCTGACAGTTCAGACAGTGGGGATGAGGAGCGAGACAGAGAGACAAGAGGAGCAGAGACCGGCGTATGGACTCACCCGAGTACAGCCGCTGCCGTGACAGGAGGACGGAATGATTGTTTTAATGTACCATGTTAATGTTATCGTTTATGTTCCTGGTATAGTTTTAGTTCCTGTTGTATTTATGTAGTTGTTTTATTTTCTGTTCCGATGTAACTGTTATCACTAAGATGGTGTTACACGACTGCTATGAGGTCACGTCATTACGTCAGTCTAGATATTCGTGAATATTCGTGCTATGTAATAACGTCATTTCGTCGTTCTAGATATTCGTGAATACAACTGCTATGAAATCACGTCATTACGTCGGTCTACCTATTCGTGAATACGACTACTATGAAATTATGTCATTACGTCGTCCTAGGTATTCGTGAATCACATCATTATTCGATCGTATATTTGTTCCCAACTAGTCGTAGGAGAATCTTACCATATCGCGGAATTCAGTTTGAATAGTCGTAATTTGGTTCTTAACACAGTCGTCATGAACCGTAAAAAGGTCGTGTAGTATCGCAAGGCGGAGCCGATTGTCATACTATTTGAAATCATACGTAATCGAAGTTATTCTTATGGAAAATGATGTCACTGTGGCTTCAAAGCAACCGTTATACTGTCGTATGAGAAGCCGATCAGCATGATTTTGAAATGCGTGTGTCATCGTGGATATTCGTACACACAAATCACTACAGTGTGACAGGGGCTTTAGACTTATTAGACCTGTTATAAGTAATAGACCAGACCTGTTATTAGTAATAGACCTACCTGTGAATATTTGTAGTTCACATATGAGCATATGTGCACGTTTAACTGACACAAAAACAAATCTAGCCGATAATGATGGTACAGATGCTTGATTACATCTCTCTATGGTATACACATATTGCGCTATTGATGTGTGGTCTTTATAACATGGTGTAGCTGATGTAAATCCTGCTTCATCACAGAGACCAGTAGAACTAAGTCTAATCTCAAATCCTTTGATGTGGACGCGACCTAGAAACAATATGAAATGTATGTGTAAATATAAACTGTCTGCTTAGAAACATAATGTGACCTGTGGTGGCATTTTGAGTCGCAATGAGGAAATTGTTATTTTCACATTCTCCAGCTCCATATCGTTTTCAATTTGATGTATAGTTTGTTTGAATCGGGCAACACTTGACTGAGCTATGTCCGCTTGAAGCTACCCAACTCACAAAAGTAAGTTTTCAGAAAAAAGCAAGTCAAAGATTTTCTTTGTTTCAAAACAAAATCCCATAGCAACCAGACCATTTATTTGTTGTTTTGTCGTTGAATATTGTTTTCTATAGGTTTCCACGGGTGCTGAAGTAAAAATTGGATCCGACAATTTCCACCATCTTTTTTTTCAAAATGGCCGCCAAAATAACAAATTTTCGAGTTTTCACAAGTTATGTGTTGATTAATATTATTGTATGGGTTTTTAGAGGTGCTACATAAAACATTACAGTATAGGAGTCAATTCGATAACAGACGTCATTTTATTTTTCAAAATGGCTAACGAAATGATAATTGCCACGTTTTAATCTCATATTTGCCGTGTCGTGCATAAAGGTGTTTTAAAATGTTTTATTGCTATTTTGATCTTTTGGGTCGACAGATAGTATCAAAATCAATATTTGCACTTATTTTTGACTTATCTCATTAATAGATTGTTTGGATCCCAACTCATTAATAGATTGTTCGGATCCCAACTCATTTTGCTGGAACGTGTCACAAATACATGAATCTGTGTGACAAAGCTGAAAATAATCAGAAACTATATTGCCTCTTTTACTAATTGCCAAAACCCACACTTACAAAGTAATTTTAACATCAACAAATCTTTTTCGGTATATTGTAAATAACAAATGGTGTTCAAGTCTATTGTAGAATTTTTGTTCTTTAAATTAATGATAAATAATTTAGTTAATACATTCTATAGAAGTCGTATCTAATGCACTCAAATAATGAGTGACGGATTTGCCCATAAAAAGAGTTATAATTTGGTAAACATAGCTAGTTCCGTGGGAATCAGAATATCATGTTTAACACGTGATTGGAAATTTACTAACTGCATCATTTGGCTTAAGTAACCAATCATATCAGATGATGTAGCAATTTCTAACCGCAGACTCGCATATCCATCCTGACATAAATGTAGAACTGAACTGTTGCATTGTTATTCCTGGTAAGACAAATGTCTTAACTAATGAGACGATAAACGTCTTAACGCGATAGTAAGAAGAAAATACACAACGTGAAAATGAAGCAAGGCTATTAAGATATGTAGTTTGAAGTGAGTGCATATGTCATACGTAGGATGTGGCGACCGGGGTGTGGAAGACCCACTTTCCATGTCTGACAGACGACCCATGGTACTTCAGTGGGGTCTTTTCCACATCTACAAACAGCAATTTAAAAACTGGTTTGATTGAATTAGATATATTGCAAACTATTGTTCTAATATTTAATCCTCAGATATCATTCTACTTTCAAACACAAAGTTTCAAAATGTAAACTGTGAAGTCATTAAAATACAGAACTAGCTCAACACAAAACCAGTTTCAGGTTTGATATTGTTTTTACTATGACCTGTTGTATTTACTATGCTCTATTGAATGTTGCAATTCTGTTTAGTTATATTCTTACGTACCACCATCTAATACGTTAAATATCTTTATACTACTGATATCAAAACTCTGTTTTAGATCCACACAAAACCACTCGCTTTCTCCTTTGTTAGTAGTGGCCGCACAACTTCTACCAGTCCAAACTTGATTCATATTACCATCCACAGCTCTAGTTGATACGGCCCCATCATACGTTGAAGTTTGCCATGTTGGTTTATTAAGAGCCACATTCAAGGATCCTGAAAAATATGAAGACATTCATGTTTAATGACAAGGTTTGTGTCACGCCCACGGGCTGACTTCGTTTTTATACCCCTACACTTAGTTTGGGCGCATAAAGTCGTCACGTTGTTCGCCTGTGTGTCCGTCTTTCCGCCCGTCCATTAACAATTAGATTGTAAACACGATAGACTTCACTTTCTGACGGATCCTTGGTATGAAGAATTCTGCGCTTCTATAACAGAGTTATGCCCCCTTTGAACGCAACAGAAGCTACAGCTCTTAACGGATTCTTTTCAAATTTGGTGGGAAGTACTCGGGCCATGAGAGGACGAACCCTCTCAATATTCAGAGTTCCCCCCTTTACTGCAAACCTTCTGAACGCAATAGAGACAATAGTTTATAACGGAATCTTTCAAATTTAGTGTGACGCAATGGGGTCATGCGAGGATTAATATTCAGCAACGTTCCGTTCCAGTGATGCCCCCCTTTGCCTTAAACTATGGGAATGCCAGCGGGGCCATAAAAGCAGTAAAACGCGTTTGCGGCCGTCTAATGTTATAAATTGTCTTGTGGGGTAAGAGGTGACTTCTGTTTTAATTCTTTGGATACAACCGTTTTTGACAGATTTGTTCAAGTTTGTAAATACGAAAGATATCATTTTTCCCGATGGCATCTCTGATCTAACTTGTCCTGTCAAATCAGCTACTGCGTGGCTATCGTTATTGTCATATTAGAACGAAAGGCACCCCTAAGATGTAGAGACAGCACACGATCTCTATAGTTCATAACCCGCAAGCATTCCCCGGGTCGTGCACAAAATCCAGTATATAGAGAAGGGAATTAACTAGGATCACATCATATGTAGAGAGGGCAAATAACTAAGATTACTATATTCATTATATGTAGAGCGAGAGAGAGAGAGAGAGAGGAAATGGGGTTTAACGTCCACTCGACACAAACTAGGTCATTTCGGGACTAACGTGGTTTAATTTTATTTCAATAATAATTCGCTTGCGCGTAGGGGTCTTTAGCAGTTGGAGGAAACCGGAGGACCCGGAGAAAACCCACGAGGTTGGACAGGCGACCCTACTCCTTGTCACCTACAACAGGGGAATCGAAACCACACCAGTTGACTCAATGACAGACTTTATGATACAGTACGCACGTGCTAACCATTCAGCCATCCAACCCCCCATGTAGAGATGGGAAATAACTAGGATTACAATATCCATCATTTGTAGAAATAACTAGGATTACAATATCCATCATCGTTTGTAGAGAAGGGAAATAACTAAGATTACAATATCATCATATGTAGAGAGGGGAAATAACTAAGATTACAATATCCATCATTTGTAGAAATAACTAGGATTACAATATCATCATCGTTTGTAGAGAAAAGAAAAAACTAAGATTACAATATCATCATATGTAGAGAGGGGAAATAACTAGGATTACAATATCATCATATGTAGCGAGGGGAAATAACTAGGATTACAATATCCATCGTATGTATAGAAATAACTAAACTGTTAGATACAGTTACCATAGATATAGAATTATACTGTTAGATATTGTTAACATGGAGATGTGGAGACAGATTATATAATTAGATATAGTTACCATGGATATAGAATTATACTGTTAAATATGGTTACCATAGAGATAGAATTATACTGTTAACATGGAGATGTAGAGACAAATTATATAGTTAGATATAGTTACCATGGATATAGAATTATACTGTTAGATATAGTGTGATATAACCACGGGTTCATAAATCACGGCGCCACTTAAAGGTCACCGGAAAAGGTTCATAAATTTTTTAAATAATGCAAGTAATTATGTCAACATATCCTTTCCATAGGTATAACACGAACCCAAACGTCAATATTACCTGCAACAGGTAAATTTCAACGTTAGCAATTTCCGCCATTCTCCGTGGGTAGTCGTAACTTTCTGTAAATGTGACGTCATTTTAGTCCCTCTGCTCATATTCTAGTCTATATTTCTATGTGCAGAAGGACTAAAATGACGTCACGGATTGCTTATTGACGGAAAGTTCCGACTACCGACGGAGAACGGCGGAAATTACTAATGTTGAAATTTAACTGTTGCAGGTAATTTTGACATTCGGGCTCGGGTTATATTTATGGAAAGGATATGTTGACATAATTACTTGCATTATTTAAAAAAAAATTTGATGCTTTTCCGGTGACCTTTAAGAGTATGTGATAGAATACATAACTCTTATTTATTAAAAAGATATTTTAATACTTGATAACATATTTACAGGTACATATGAACATCATGTGTTTGGGTATAGTAACGTCTAGCTATAGCTGTTTCTCCTCGGCCTCACATGACCCCTCTCTCCGGGGTCGAGGGCAGGCGCCTCTCCAGAGGTCCGGGCCGAATACTCTCTAGGTCTCTCTCTGCGCCTCTTCTGTACTTCCCCTTCCTGCTTCTAAACTAGGCTTTTTTTTATATCGGCTAGGGCATGCCATAGTTAATACCATTAGTAATCAGAACAATGAAAAGTAATTATTAAGATTCACACATCTTAGCTCAAGACAAAAGGTGTCAATACGTGTTAAGCCTAAATCTTATATCATATAGACACTCCGAGGATACTCGTTTGTACAATCCATTAAATCTTACATAATACTATGTCAACTCCCCACACCTGATATAGATTAAAACTTACAATTAATCTGTCACTTAATATATGTTCAAAATGAGTTACAAATAAAATATGAATTCAGAATACAATATTGAAATTTAGATCCCAAATGATATTGTATTACAATAGTTACCATAGAGATAGAATCATACTGTTAGATATAGTTACCATGGATATAGAATTATAGTGTTAGAACTAGTTACCATGGATATATAATAATGCTGTTAGATATAGTTAACATGGAGATAGAATTAGACTGTAAGATATAGTTACAAGAGAGATAAAATCATACTTTTTGATATACTTTTCGATGGTTTCCGTCAATATTTCATTATAGCCTGTGTTAGAATATGTTTGATTTAAATCCCTCTTGATCAATTGACTTTACCTAATAGATAATGATTTATTAAATATATAAAACTTATCTAATATATAATAAATATGATTGGATATAAGCAGACAGATTAATACTCTATATATAGTCAACATTTTATCTATAAACATTGTACCAACTATAATAATGATTTATTAAATATATAAAACTTACCCAATACAAAATATACATAACTGAATATAAGCAGACAGCTTAATACTCTATCTATAGTCAACATTTTATCCATCAACATTGTACCAACTATAATAATGATTTATTAAATATATAAAACTTACCCAATACAAAATATACATAACTGAATATAAGCAGACAGCTTAATACTCTATCTATAGTCAACATTTTATCCATCAACATTGTACCAACTATAATAATGTTCTTCTTGTCGACCAGTTCTCCTGTACTAAGATGCACATACAACCTATTTTATAAATTATGACACGACCCTTTGTACCAGCGTCTCCACTGAGCACAAAAGATTTCGTATAAACGTACCAGAGAAATGTTAGCAAACTTTAAGCCGGGTCCAAACGTTTGCACGCACCCTTGTCAAGCCGACTTTGTTTCCAACTTGTCTATCTCTTACTTGTTATTTTATCTTTTATTTTGAGACAATCTCAATTTGGAATTGGCCAAAAGCTTTCTCTGATGTTTGTGTACAGGGTGACCATATGATAACGGAAATTATTTCTGATCGACAGTACGATTTTAACCATCTCTATTATAAATCCCAAATGCCTTGTGCTGATTAGCGCACACAAAGCCAACCAAATGTTGGGCCACTGTTGATAAACAGCAAACCCACATTTTGTCGTGTGTATAGGCCTTAACAACCAACCTCAGCCCTTTTTTATCCAAATGATATGCATTTGAATGTGTTTTTATTATTCAAGCCAAACTATTATATAAAGATTACAGCGATTCGAACAACTACAGTTTTGTTTAACATCTGGGGCAACAGGGCGTCAACCAGGATTCATCTTTCATATCATTGAGTCATACTGAATATACTAAGTTAAAGATGCATTACCACGTACCAACTAATTACTAAATACCACCACATACTTCCCACATATCATTAACTAATTACTGCAGAATACCACCACATATACTTCTCCATTATACCACCACATACTTCCTCGTTATACTGTGAAAAACACAGTGGTTGAATAACTTGAATTATACAAAATTATAAACTACGTTAAAGATACATTCCCGCATACCAATAACTTGAATTATACAAATAAACTGAGTTAATTGGCGGAATTAGTAAAATTGTTACGATAAACTGGAAAGTTTACTTATAGCATCGGTTCCTTGCCGAAAATGTCACTTTCGTCAGAACGGTGGGGTTGTGGGTGCAAATGTCCCCTGCCAACACCAACCCCCATTTAGGTTCAAAAGAATAGCGCTTTAGCTCCTTTAAATTTAGTTATAATCCAAATCACCTCACAAATGATCAAATATGTAAAAGACATCTTCAGGTTTTACCAAACACCAGTGACACAACATTTATAAATGGTCGTATATATATTCTTCAACAACTCGTATATATATTTCAATAATACGAAAGAGCAAGCTATGAGGTGTATTCGTTGGCACCTGACGTATTCTTTCTTCCTTCATGGAGTTTTAAGTCCGCGTCCAGCTAGGGTGATATCGCAGACAAGTGTTGGCGTATTCCCGAATCTCACGTGGGTTAGGTGACGGGAGTGGGGCTGGCAATGACACGCTTTGTGCCATTAGTTTTATAAGGGAGTTTCCAGGTTACATGTGCTTGGGCTGTAACAAGAATCCCCATGTTCACATTCTGATCTTTATTATCATCTTGCTCAACCCTGGTAAAAATCCCGAATCTCTTTCCTCGTACAAAACCATCGGTCACCTCGACCCTGTAATTCTTAGCTAGTTTGATGTTTAGCTCCTTTAATAAAATTGTGATTATTATAAATAATATCAAGTTTGAGGTTTAGCTCCTTTAATAAAATTTTGATTATTATAGATGATATATATACATAACGATTAAGCACTTATATTAATTTTTTATTATATTCACTGTCTGTAATACTTGTTTTTATTTATGTCTATAAAAATATTTTAAAAGTGATATTGTTTACTTTGTCCATTTCATTTCTTTTTATTATCTTATTCCGTTACGCTCCAAATTAAAACTGATAACAAATTTAACGATACAAATTTACAAATTAATTCAACATTTCATACTGAAAGAAAACATCTGAGGCTATCAACTAACACAAATAATTAATTAAGGGGAGACAACCACATTGGAATCTAACACTAGTTTTTACAATGCTAATGTTGTATTTTTGAATAACTGTTTTATATTAGGGTTATTTATGCATAATAACATCAAATATCTATTCAGTGAAAGAGAAAACACCCTGCCATTTTCAACTCTTCATAAAACCGGAACTTATACCTCACGATCGAAACTTTTTAATATTAGTTCCGGGTCATCATATATACAAACGCCATTAAACGATTAGGTCAACAAATTGTAGGTTTTCAGAAATCGAAAAAGATTTAAACTAGAACTGGAATAAAAGTAAACAAAACGGAAATTCAACATTGGCGCCCAAATAATTGTACCCACCTGGACAAGCTTTAAACAAACAAAAGAGTTTCCGAAAATTGAATTCAAGATGGTGACTGAATATCAATTTGAAGCTTTTTTTTTATAAAATACAATAGAACATATGGCGTCTAAAACATATTGAAAACATAACGTGTTTCGTACTGAAAGGTAATTAAAGCAATACAGCTTGAGATAAAAGATCAACTTTCTGATGTTTCCGAACATTTGTTGAGAGTGTGTGTGTGGGGGTTGGGGGGTGGGTGGAGGCGGTACCGGTGGCTAAGTAGGTAAGACGCTGGCTCGCTAGCCTGGAGGTCGGGTGTTCAATCACTGCATTGGCCGAGAATATTCATCCAGATTTTCCGGCGTGGTTCCCCATTGTCAGTGATGCAGGACGGAATTCGATATAAGAGTAGGCCGTAGTGCCACTGCCCAGGTAAAATCTTCCTCATAGGACACTGTATGGCGTATGTCCGTCTTCATTAGCACTTTACGGAGCAGAACGTTAAACCCCATTTCATTTCGTTGATTGTGTAGATATTCAGCCAGGCCCGTAACTAAAGGGGGGGGGGGGCGAAACCCTCCCTGCAAAAAAGTTACGCCGCCCACCCTGTGAAATAATTGTCGACCATAAAAACAATAGATGTACATTGTCCGTAAATTTTACAGCACCCCCTGAGAACACTTCCCGCAGCACGGTACTAGTAGTAGCATCTCTATGGCACAGTGTCAATGATATGAATCCTGTCTAAGAACATCCACCAGTTTCTGTTAGCCATGTCTCGTATCCTCTAAGTCTTTTCATGTATTCATCTACAACAAGAACCAATTACAGATACTTTAAAGGACAATATTGGTGTCAGTCATTATCACATAATGTGATAGAGCTGGTTAAACACGTTCCAAATATTATTTTAACACAGAGATCATTGCTACCATAGATGCGTAATAAAGGTTTCAAAAAAAAGAAGAAAAAAAGGAAGTGACGAAAGCAAAAGGAAAACACGAGTTATCCTTCTATATAACTGACTGAAGTGACGAGTGATAACAGATACACGGACGAATTTCTGCTCACTAATAATTCCTTTGAAGAAAAAAGTTGTTATGTGAGACTGTAAGAGGATATCTAACAATTCAAAAAAGTAATTGAATGTCACTAGATAAGAGAAAACGAGAAATAGAGAAAATGTCCGTAGATGACCATGTTTTTATTAAGTATAGAATGAATAAAAACAAGGGGATGCACGAACTATTTCTAGCTTTCTAGTTTTCTCTTATCTAGTGACATTCAAATACTTTTTTTTGAATTGTTACATATCCTCTTACAGTCTCACATAACAACTGTTTTCTTCGAAGGAATTATTAGTGAGCAGAAATTCGCCCGTGTATCTGTTATCACTCGTCACTTCAGTCAGTTATATAGAAGGATAACTCGTGTTTTCCTTTTGCTTTCGTCACTTCCTATTTTTAAAACCTTCATTACGCATCTATCGTAGCAAAGATCTCTGTGTTAAAATAATATTTGGAATGGGTTTAACCAGTTCTAGCACATCTGTGATAATGACTGACGCCGCTATTGTCCTTTAAATAAGATATAAAGCTACCTAATGCAGATTTTTATTTTATGTTCAACTATTACATAAACATTTATACATTTATGACAAGCCGAAGTCTGGTTTTCAAGTATTGATCTACAAGAAGAACCAATTGCAATACAATAAATAATAAAATAATAAAAATCCGATTTTATATTAAGTTTATACAAAAAATTCTCGAGAATCACATTTCGGATGTTGAAGTGGTATGAGGTGTTCAAGGGAATCAGCTTACCCAACATAAGGCGCGAGGGGTCATTTCATAACCAATTCCAGCGATAGTTTTATAAGCATACCCTGCCTCGTGAACGAAATTGTCAGTCTTCATGTTTATGATATACCACTTACATTTTTGCTCAAATTTTTGCTCAGATTTATAATTTTTGCTCAAATTCACATGTCATCGAATTCATCATTATGCGCGAATTCATTATTAAAGGCAGTGGTCAATCCGTTAATAGAGTCCAAATAAGAAAGACGGTGATTACGGCTAATCGGATTTATGTTGTAATGCTATGCAGGATACCCTTGTCACGGTTTGTTAAAAATGGTGTCCTATTTCGTTACCGATCAGACATCAGGCCCCAAGTTCACAAAGTATTCTTAAAAACTTACTCAAGATTGTTTCGCCTTATTTTAACTACGATATTGTCCCCTATAAAACTTTATTGTTTTAATGTATCAAATACATCGATAAGAAACTATGTGCAAAGTTTTGTGTTTCTGAATCAAAGATATTTCTCATAAACAGTGATTGAAAGTTGAGTAAATTCTTAACTTGAGTCTGAGAATGCTTTGTTAACTTGGAGCCAGGTCAGACCTCTTCGCACATTTGGTACAGATTAGCCCAGTTTTAAGTTGACATAACTGCGTGCTCTAATGAAACACTTAACCAAATATGTTTAGGGTCCGCTTAAATGGTTGACGCGTCAAAGCTTTTTATATACATTAGATTAGCGCGTTCCCCCCCCCCCCCCCGGGGAGACGTTTGGGCGAAATATCTTGGGTAAACATCGCAGGTTTTAATCGCGCGTAACGCATAAATACCGATAGAACA